TATCGATAGTGGGGATGGAAGATGGCAGATTGATGGCAAGCTTGCTATCTAGCTTTGCGTATACGCCATCCTACTTATATAGATCATGATGCACAGGCATATCACTTGATGTTTTTTACCCTGTAGTTAAGTGTGAATGTATGAAACACTCATAAGGAGACGCGGCAGACCTCAAAAAGTATATACACTCCTGATCAGAATGACAAACCGAGTCGATATCGCCGTATCGTGGGGATCTCAGAAAGTACAAGAGCTATAATAGGAAAACTTGGTTTCCAGATTCTACAAAGTCCAAGAAAGTATGAGTTTGTATTTTTTGTGATACCTTTTTTTTATTTATGTGGGGACAGGGTATTAAAGAGTTGAACCCCCTCGAATTTAGCATTCCTTTTTTGTTTTTTTCTTCTTTTTTTTTCAATTATTGTTTTAATTTAGAACCACTTTTACTTGATATTCGAATCAGTTAACAATCAAAATTAAAGAGACACCTATGGCTCATTTTCGTTATACAATTTCAAGCTCTGACCTATGCAAGCATAAGCTTTGGGCTATATGCATTTTGTTTATAACAAGAAAGAGTCACGGTATTGAATACATCCTGTCCAGACAGGAATATGTACGTTTATAGAAACGGGTGGAAATGGGGGTCAAGCGCGATGATGTGCGGCTTATCCGATGGCATTCACAGCCTGGCCACACATCCATATACACAGACATATGTGAAAGTGATGATGACGATGATGATTATACCGCCCATGAAATCAATAAACTGTCCTCGAGCATGTGCTTGTTTGTGTGTGGGTTAACCCAAAGGGGGTGATGAAAACTCAGAGGCAACAGCAATGTTGCAAAACCTTTTATGTGTACATTGAAAAATTATAAATAAAATAAGCGCCAGTGGTGACGAACAAAGAGTTGCTCCTTTTATACTACAGGCAGCCAAATAGGCACCCAATGCTAACTCGTTCCGTTTACACAACACACATCTACAGTATTCCCGCTTGCTGTCCTCACTCCGTATATTAACTGGCTTATAACTCATGTATGTGGGAGTTTGCCGTTTCCTATGTACATATATGTATACGGGTGTATTTGTATTTTATATTAAGCGTATTATTTTAAAAGCCAATAAAAAGGGCTCATGGCAATTTTTTTTACAATGTTGCTTTTTGCTGATAAAATATGTATCATTCAACAGCTACAGTTACGAACGATTTTAGAGGTTGACAAGCGGGCTTTTATGGAAGTAATCAATCATAAATATATATTGATAAGTAAATTTAAATATAAAGCCCAATTAAATAAAGACGCAATCAAAGTGCTCCTTTTAATGGTTAAGCAGATACTTCATGTGTTTGATCAGCTTTTAAAAACTCTTTATGGATATGTATGTATGTAGCTTTTACTACTAGTTTTTACACTGCCATGCATGTATTGTATTAAAATGTATGTTCAATATTTTGTTTGTCAAATTAGGTGGAGTTTGTTTTAGCAACAGGCGAGTTAGTTGTTGTTGACCCTTAATAACCCATTTAAATAAACAAATAAATAATGATATGCAACATTGAAATTTGCGCTAAAATTGTTCTTCAAGATAGATGTAAGAAATTTGTGACTAACTCGTTTTCAGCGACAAAAACATAACATAAAGTTACAAACTTATCGTTTACGTCACTTTCATTATTCGAATACGTGTCAGTTCAAAACGAAAATAATAACAAAAATATTTGTTTGCAATTTTAAGAAGGTATGACTGTGAAACAGTATTTGTATGTGATTAGCATATGAGTTTGAAGAAAAAAGCACAAATGTATTAATATGTATGTATATACATGTATATATATATATATATATATACTCGTATGTGCAAATAAACAAACTGGAAATTATTACACGTGCCTTTGAATAAGCGCTGCGCATTACGCATACAACTACCTCATGGGGCCTTGTTACTGCTTGTTTTGCAATTGAGTGAAATAAAGTAATAACTCATACGCAACGGAAGCTAATTTAATAGGACATTGGGAAGGAAGAGTGAACATTTGTAATGGATGTAAATTGTGTCTGTGTGCAAAGTGCCGGTGACATAGAAAACAAAACCATTGTGAATGTGGCGTTGCATGTCAATGTCAAATACCTATGTACATATATATATATATACATACATATGCACATATGTATGTAGGTTCGTATGCACTGTCGTTGAGTGCTGCTGATATACAAACGTATAAAAGGGCACACAAGATTCACGCAATTTGAAATTTATCACAGCATTTTTCATACTACACACACCACAAACATACAGACATAACAGCTCATATATGTATGCAAGTATCCATAGGGTAAATATTTTGCCTTGAACATGAACATAATGGTAAGGTTTGTTTACGAACACCCGATGCCCTGACGAACTGTTACTAAAATATGTATGCCCTGGGGGTTTAAAAGCTGCTGTCTGCCATGCCTCTCCGGATGTCTGTCATGAGAGAGTGTAACTTAAGAGCTTCTATAAGAATATTTTGTACGCCTTATTTAAGTTTCCGAATCTATCAAACGTAGCCCTGAAGCTTACACATATCCACAACAGATACATTATCAAGAATTTTACAACATATCGACGGAAATATGCACATACTTGTACATACATATGTACTTACATATGTATGTATAAATGTATGTTCATTTGTATGTATGCAGAGAAGCATAAAAAAGCAACCAAATGAAATGGAAAAATATCGGAATGCACACACATTGACGACAAGGTTAAAAATAAACTATGAATAAAAGTTTGAAATGAAAGAGAGTGAAACAAAATTGTGCATGTGTGGTGTGGTAAGAAAAATTCCCACACTCACACACAAACGCACCTGGGGCGAGAGAAACACACCCAGACGAAATCATATCGAGATTACTGACCGCCACGAGCGACGAAGCTTTCAGCAGTCTCATCTCTCATCTCGACTCACATTCTAGTAGTGATACCACAGCAAATACTTAAAATTATTCATTGAAAAATTTGAAGTGTAGAGAAGAAACTTGAAAAATTATTTGCCGGCTAATTTGAATATACAAGCTCAATCACCCACGCGCTCTCATCGATCAAGAACGAGAGCGATACGGTAAAAACAATGATGAAAATTAAGAGAAAGAGAAGGCAGCGGGATCGCAATAAAAAACATTGACCCTTAAGCCATGTGGGAGAGTTCTTGGCCTGCCTGTCTGTCTGGCTGTGGTTTTTGACAAACATTTAAACATTTCTTTGATGGCGCCGCGCGTTTTTGGGTCAATCGACTTTGTGTGGCGCCGCGGTAAATACAGTGATTGCCAAAAAAATAATCAGAGCATAACGTATAAATATACTACATATGTATATACTGATGTACATCAGGTAGCAACATAGTGGACCTGTCCAAAAAACCCTTTTGTTTGTGCCTTTAGCAGCGCATCAATCAGTGTGGCCACGCTTGCCACTCCCTGCATATAGTCACACAAGCAAGCATACATATAAGTACATATGGGCATACACACATACATATGTACACATTTATGTACGTTATTCGATGGAGAAGTATATTCCAAATACCAGCTGTATGCGTCATTACTGCATGAACATTGTGTCGCATAGCAGCCACTTCAAGAGGCAACAACTAGACACATAAAACAACAGAACAATAATGGCCAATAGTGGCCAAGTCGTACGGTCTAAGCATTGGGATAACGGCAAATAAAATTCGAAACCGTTTGTAAAATTTTACGATGATGGCAACTGCAAATCTTTGTATTTGTATTCATGTGTGTCTACATACATATGTATATGCATAAACTCAACACACCGGGCGGCTAAATGAAATACACCACACCGGCCCCATGACGATGGCAGTGTATTGTGTAGGTAGCAGAAATTCCGATGCAAAGTAAAGGCACAGTGAAGCAACGCTATAAGTTATACCTGTAGCTTGCAATATGTATCAATTGAGTGCAGCTTCATCTGCATTGTCCGTTAGTAAGTTATTACTGTGGCGAAGCAAGTGTGTCGGCACGTACGAGCGGGCGGCGTATGAGGTGCGCAACAAAAGTATAAAAATAAGCGCGCGAGAACGAAGCACACACTCAATGAGAGAAAGAGCGAAAATTCTGTGTTGAATTGAGACAGACGTAACCGCATGTGCCCGTCGCAACCGTGGTGAGTTGTACGACACAGAAAAACCAATAAAAAAAATTAAAGGCTGAAAATTTGTCGACCAATTTTAGTTGACAAATGTTGGTACATTTATTAAAACTCGGTATGAAAGTTGGTCAGAAGCAAATTATTGTTCATTAAATATGCCTTCAGGAATGTAAATGTGCTTATGGCCCGTGCCAAATTGAAAAGGTACAAAGTTAACACACACACAAAATATGAACACATACAACGTATATGTATATGTATGTACGTACATACAGATGTGTGCATGTATAAGAGTACATATACATACATACATATGTAGATATTTATTTGCCGCTAACCGAAGCCCAAAAAGCGGTTGACGACCAAAACGCCAAGCAGCCAGACAGGCACAGCACACGTCGCACAAGCGAACATTGCTTCAGCATGTGCCGCTCTTACCACGACCGTGCCCGCTGCCTATAAGTCATCAGCAACCGTCCAAACGAACGCATGAGAAATACGAAGCTACGAACGAATCTCTCCCAAACACATTTATATAGTCACATAAAGACACAGAGATACACTAACACCCATGCACGGCGGGCATATTTTTGCACAATTTCAACTTTTTCGTCTTTTTGCGTAGTATTTTTATCGATCGCTTATGGAAGCGTATAGAAGTTTTTTTCACAAATGCGACTGATATGTTATTAGAATTTTACATATGGTAAAATCAATAGAAACCGCTACATATATTTTTGTTGCACGTGCTTTTGCATGGGGTACTGCGAGTTTTTAAAATTATACATATTTCTTCAATCGCCCCATATTACTAATGCAGATTGTTACTTACATTCGATTCACTCGAAACGACAACGACGACTACCAACGAATGAAAAGCGAACGACTAAAAGTGACGGCAAATGTTGCACACAGTTTGTTCTGTATCTGTATAAGTGAGTGTAAATCTGTGTGTAGTTTCATGCGCCACAACTGCGGATGAGCGCAAAAGAGCTAACTAAAGGCCAAGGGAGTATATATGGTGAATTTAGTGACGACAGTGTTGCCAACTTGGTGTTATTTTGAATGTTACCAGGTGTGCCACAACTGAGATGTATGCGTTAGGTTTGAAAAACATTAAAGTCGTCGTAAAAAAGCCCAGAACGTGTTTGCACTTATCAAACAAACGATTAAATCGCTGATAACACGCTGATAAGCATGATTTTAGCAAAGTAAAAATTCATTTGCAACAAATATTTTATGTTTGTATGTACATAAATCCATCATTGAAAATCGTTGATTTTATTAATATGACAACTGTTCAGATGCGTGGCTGGCGCCAACACGTGACAACACTTAATTATGCTGTTTATGCGTTTGACAACTATACGACAATTGAAGTTACTATTGCAATGGCAATTGCAATTACCTACATGACTATATATGTATGCATATGCATGAATATACGTAGATATATACATACGTGCTTGCCCATTGCAGCCACGGCATGACGCATGCCCAAGCAACGTTGTTGAACAGGAGGAGAGCGGAAACTGTTTGCGCGTCAATTGTGTGCAATTGTCATTTAATTGAGTAATTTGAATGAAGCGAACGTTAAGCACAATCATGCTTATGTTTGTATGCACATAGCTCGTCGTTCCCATGTGTGTTTTCAGTACACATTTTGAATTCGAATATATATTACAAATTATATTGTGCGCTCTTAATACTCTTGTGTGCTAATTTAACAAAAAATTACTATGAAATTACAGATAATTCAGAAAAGTGCGAGCCTTGAAATTATGTAGTACATGAAGATAACAATGCTGATGCAGAACCCAACTGAATTGTATTACAATGCGTCTTATCTGAAAGACCAAATACAAAGCCGCACTACCTGTTGAAACCTTTAAAGCTTATCTACAGGCCGATAGGTTTGATAGACGTTAACGAAGGCGGCACCACCACCGTTAGCTTATCAGCTGCTGCTTGATAAGGGTCAAAAAATGGCCTTAATGCCAATGTTGGTAATTTTACGGAATTTTTGCGGAGCACCGCTTAGGCATGTCCATAAAAAATATTGCACTTTCCATGGATTTTAAATTTGAACTGATTGCGCACTTGACTTTTGCCTGGCAACGCCGCTGTTCCATTCGACGTCTCACCCATGAAAAAAATTACGTCATCAGCGTCGCGTCCCATTTGTGTCGCTGTTAAAGCATTTCTTTGGTGGCATGCGATTGACAAATTTCAAGTTCTAGACCTTTAATTCTTCAATCAATGCCACTATACATACATGAATCTGTGCACATCCGTGTATGTGCAACGGCTATACCAGAAAAGTTATGACCAAAAGTGGAATCCACTATGTGCCTCTTTTTAATGCGCAGTACAATAAAAATGTACAATGAAATGTGGTCGTGTCGACAACATGGCGCTCACAATCTATGCATTGCAGCTGAAAATTTCTTGCTATTCACTGACTAATGAATAAGCCCGCACGTTTATTATTGTGACGCATTTATTGTTGCGTATTTTAAATCACTTACTCAGTATATGGAATATATACACACCAACAGCACACGGATAATTTATAACAAATTGCCGGTTGTTTTCTCAACGACACTATGACTACTTCGTATTGCCAACATATCAAGAAATAATTATATCAAAAAATACCAAATGTGGCAGCGAAGTTGGCAGGGTCTTTCTCAGCGAGCTGGCATCCCCTGCAGGTCGTGCTCGCACGTGTCTTCTGTTGTTTAAAAGAGGGCATTTTAGATTGAATTTTTTTAATATAACACAGCAAAATGCCGCGCTCTAAACGAGACAAAAAGAGTAAGTGAAATATTCGAGATTTCCGTAATATCGGTACTAACACTATTTTTAGTATCTTTGACGAAGACTGACCGCAAAGGGCTCGCTTGGAAACAGCGCATTATTGAAGATATCAAATTCTGCGTGGGAAAATATCCTAACATATTTGTGTTCCAGGTCCAAAATATGCGCAACAATCTTCTGAAAGACCTACGGCAGGAGTGGAAGCGCAATTCACGTTTCATATTTGGAAAAAACCGCATCATGCAAATCGGCTTGGGCCGTACTAAGTCCGAGGAAGTGGAAACAGATTTACACAAGGTACAAATCCTATATAAGTAAAGATTTGTATAAAATTCCGTACCTAATCAATGCTTTTCTGCAGCTATCGAAGCGCTTGACAGGCCAAGTGGGTCTGCTCTTTACAGAAAAGTCTAAAGAGGAAGTACTAGAGTGGGCTGAAAATTATTGGGCAGTGGAGTACGCGCGCAGCGGTTTTAAAGCAACGGAAACCGTCGTCCTTCCTGCAGGGCCACTTGAAGAATTTGCTCACTCAATGGAGCCACATTTGCGTTCCCTTGGCATGCCAACAAAATTGGAGAAGGGCATTGTAACCATTTACAGTGATTACACGGTTTGTGAAGAGGGTAAGGTGCTTACCCCGGAGCAGGCAAGGATACTCAAATTGTTGGGCAAACCAATGGCCCAGTTTCGTTTGACAATGAAGTGCTCGTGGACAAAATCTGGTGGGTTTCAGTTACACGTCGATGACGATATTAACGATGAAACGCTGGCCGATAGCGCTATGGAAGAGGACGAAGCCTTTGAAGATAATAATAGTGATGATGATTAGTTTTATTTGCAATAAAGTTAAGGTTAATGTATATACGTAGCTATATATATCGTACACCCAATGCAAGTCTTCTTCATAATGATCTGACGAATGTGTCAATCTTGCAGTTGAAAGTGTGTAATCGCCAGTTTTCTTTGTCAAAAATATCCCAGTTGTTGCTTAAGCTGAAGATAGATTGCCACTGCCACTTCCTGCGCTCTTTTTTGTGGGCCTATAGGCAATTACATATCGCTGAGCGACTGGGAGTGGTTCAGCATAGCCGTTCATATAGGAAGAGTCCTCAAAGAGTACCTCATAGTCTTCTGTAGCAGACTGTGGTAGTCGGTGCACAATAGCCTTGTAAAAGCACGTCGTTTGAGGATAGAGCGCCATTACTATAAAAAATTTATAAACATCGTTACCTAAATTTTGTTTACAATTACTTACCTACAGTGTCCTTTGGAAAGAGCGCATGTCCATCTGTCTCAGGATTAGCACGCATCAGTGGTAAAGGAATTACCTTGCGTTTGCTCAAAACGTGCCGATCCTTTTGCTCTTCGTCAATGTCGATGACATCGTATTTGTTCTGTCGATGCAAAAACTGAACTACTTCCGCCAATATCCAGTTCTCCTCGTCGTCAATGCCCTTAGCCAGAGCGGCGACATTGTCACCCACTTTCGCCACGTAGCTGCTCTCAGCCGGTATGGCGCCACACAGTGCAGGGGCACGCTCGCCTGGCTTGCCTACAAACAGTGGCAACGTCTGCGCTGACAGCTGTACCATTTTCATAAGCGCGCCACGTCTAATGGCCTCTTTGTTCCCGGCATTCCTTGCCTGAATGCGTCGCTCATTACGGATGTTTCGTATTTCATGTATCTTGGCCAACGCCGCTCTAATGGTGGCTTCTTCTTGCGTGGCTTCGATAAGGCTAGTCTTCAAAAGAGTTTTTAGCTTTGGGTTTGTTGTTTGCCCTTGCTGGGCCCGCACTAGGGTCGCGATAGAAGTCTCGGCTCGACGTCGTTCATCATCCACCTTATGTATGTGCTGTTGTATATCCTTCAGGCGGTCCTATTCAAAGCAAAAGCGTTTAGCTATACCTTTAAGGTCAAAGGTACTCACCTGAATTTGTTGAGCTGCACTCTCAGCCGTTAAAGGCATTTTTTAGTTGATTTCTTATAATTATATGGTTCAAAATGTTTACAAAATGGTAATGCGAAATCTTTGTTTATAACAACAATAACAACACAGCCGCACAGTGTTGAAAAACTTGTATGTAGCGGCAATCACGACTCACGCTCATCACTACGACGCAAAGCTAAAACCGTCTGTTTTCAAAGCGTGATAAGAGATTGTAATAAGCTGTAATATGAACTATCGACACAAAACTCCTCTTGTCGAATGAATTAAATAGTTTCCTGCCCATTGCTTTGTATATATAGGATATAAATTATAATAAAGTTCACTTGTTTCAAAGTTTCTTGTTTCACTTGTATTAGACGGCTTCTCTAAAGAATTTCTAAGCAGTATAAGCTGATATATGCATGTATCTTAATTTAACAGATACATACATATATATTTAGATATATAGCATGTGAATTTTTTTTAAATTTATTTTATTATTACGTTGCGCAACAACCTGCAGCTTTGGCAGTTTTTACAGAATTTTAAGGCTGCAAGTAATTTGTAAATTATCAATCATGCTTATAAAACAATGATGGTAGGCGCCGTGAATTGAACCGAGTGGAAAGAACTTACATTGTGAGATCCCTGCTAGCTCGTTGATCTAAAATATAATTATTGATATTTTCCATAGTGGTGCTATATATTGTAGGTAACGTAACGAAATAAATATTCACGTTATTCGAGAAATTTTAGGGTTCTTTGGAAGCCCCTCATATACTATACATATGATATTTACATTTATGTATGTACATGTTACTCATTTAAAGGTTAAACAAAACGTATTGTGTGAAAAGAGTTGCAGTTGCAGCGCTTCAATGTAAGCAGAATTGTTATGACGCCTTTAACTCACCTGGTATTGTGCCGTTGATAATTAACACTTATCAGTCGATTGTGTTTTCCGCGCCGATATGATTAAAGCTTTTTATAGTTCGGCCGCCACTTAAATTATGAGTAATGTCATTTCAGTCGCAATTGTGCTAAGCAAAACATAACAACCCATTTTGTGGTAAAGGCTGTGAAGTTTTTAATCTTAAAGTACATAAATAATATATATTAAAAGATCAACATGTGCAACGCTCTATGGGAATGTATCAAGTGTCCCGGCAAAGTGGTTTGCTGGTACGGCTCTCTGTAATGGTTTTGAAAACATTATAGTAATTTTGATTATTTTTTCAGTTGCTGTGAATGCGCTTGTAAAATGTTGATGAGCATTATATGTTCGGGAATCATTCTGTTGGTCGTCATTGGATTGATTGTTTATTTCGCGGTATATTATAACAAGGATAGCAGCACTCCCGAACAAACTGCCAAATCCATCGAGCCCCTTAAACAAAGCTTCCGGCATTACTTCAAGAGTTTAAATGAATATTAAATTTCAGTTTTATCTATAAATAATAAACCAACTATTTCCAAATACACCATTTTATACTGGACACGTCTTTTATCTGTAAGTATATTGGTACATAAATTCATATAGTGGCATGAACTAATCTCAGTTTTTACAGTTATCGCAAGCACTGTTAACCACCTAAGTTCCGTAAAAGGGGTTTTTTGTTATCTGGTACACTATTGATAATACTAACCTCAGTACATTTATCTACAAATATTGGCCATTTAGGATTTTCCCTTGTCTGTATGAATCGATTACTTAAAATATAGAAATAAGTAACTCGCCTTGACTCATTTCAATAGACATTGACAAGTTGTCATAATAATATTTAACAAATAGCATTTGCAGAATTCAAAATTACTTTATTAAATATAGTTTATATTTATATACACGAATTCCATTTATAAATCGATACTAAACTGTAATAAAAGTTGAATCAGCTCGGAAATGTTCCGAGTCCAAAATCTTGCCGTATTTATATTTTAAAAGTTTTTGAATTTCTAAAAAAAAATAATTTATGCATATGATCAATGAAAAAACTTCAACAAATCCAACTCAGTTCCATTTTAAGGCGTTATACTATATATCTTGCGTATATCTTGCATTATTTATAAGGACTGGGACGATCAAGGGAGTAGGGCTTGATATTTGAAAACCTTGTAATAAACAGGATAACGATTTCCTATAAGAAAATTTGCCAGAAATTATCACGACAATAATTTTTATATTACCAAATTTTGACAATTTGTACAATCATCAAATAATGGTAAAGCTTTTATACTCTCCATTACCATAAAGTAAATGTTTTCTTAATTAGCATGAAGAGATAAATCGACCTAGATACAAGTATGTCCCCAGGCAATAGGAGTTTATTTTATTTTTCCCACCTTCCCCCGCTACAGAATTTTGTCAATACTACCAATAGTTCCTTACACTGCTTGTCACGTGATTAAGTGATTGAGGTTAAACAATTTACTTTCTATTATATTTTTATGGTAAAAACGGTAGACAGTGAAAACTCCTTTATATCCGCACACCTAAATATGTTAGGCGACCACCTTTTCGTTCGGCGTATTAAGCATTTAAATCGCATGACGAGAGAAATCGATCTAGCCATGTCCGTCCGTCTGGATGAACGCCTCACCAATCAGCAGCCAAAATTAAATCCGATTTGGGTATAAAAGCAATGGTTTCAACTGTGACCCGTTCGTAATGCAGAGCACCTGAACAAATTTAAACTATAAACAAATAAAACACCATTGCCAAAACAGCTCGGTTGATATTTACGCGCAACTGTACGACTTGGAATTCGAAATGGAAACTCCGATGAATAAATGTTCATCCTTGATGATTATTTCCTGAATCGGCTTGGCGTTTCAAACAAGATCTTCAATACATAACGCCCGCGTAGTGAGGACGTGGATTCAAAAAAGGTTGATTGGCCTCCTGGGGACTCCCAGACCTTGATATTTTGTATATACAACGTTATATTATATAAGGGTGGATTAAAACAATATCCATATTAAAAACTCATCATTAAATATCAAAACAAACTGTCTTGTTTTTCATTTTACCCAATTTGTAATTAGTATTAATTAGAGTTTTTATTCAATTGACTTACAAAATATCGTTATTTTCAGTTCAATTTGTTTTTATAGCCTGTACTCAACGGGTGAAAGGCTATACTAGTTTTGTGCGAATGTATGTAACACACAGAAGGAGGCGTGTCAGACCCCACAAAGTATATATATTCTTGATCAGGGTGACAAGCCGAGTCGATTTAGCCAGTACGTCTGTCCGTCCGTCCGTCCGTCTGTATGAGTGCAAGGATCTCAGAAGATACAAGAGCTAGAATTACCAAACCTGGTATCCAGCTTCCCCTAAGCCCTAGTCAAGTTTATTTTTTTATTTTGATACACCCCCCCACTCCCCCGCAATTCGTGTTTTTTTTATAACTCCCGTAATTATTGGAATTTTGAAATCAGTTTTAGTAGTTACGTCCAGTTAGTGCTTATGTGTCCATATGCTAAGTTTCATCATGGTAGGTCAATTCCGAAGAAAGTTATAGCCATAAATAAAATCGCTGCCCATGCTCTGCTTGCAGCGCTGCCCGCAGCTGTTATTGTTGTTGCTTATATATACACGTATATAAACAAGCATAGACAAGTGATGTAAATGTAAAACTTTACATAAAAATGTCTTCTATGTATGTATTAAATAAGTTTTCTTAATTAATTTAATAAATTAATTTAATTTTTTTTAAATAATTTAATTTTTTTTTCATATTTTTTTTAAAATTTTTTTTTGTTGTGGAGAGTACAGGCTGTTTTTTTTCTATCGGACTTGCTCGACTGTAGCGTTCCATCTTGTTTTATTTAGTAAATATGCTCTTAATATAATAGCAATTGTCCCAATAATCATTTTGGAATTGTAAAGCCTTTATTTTAAAAATAGTGTAAGGTTCCTACATTTTGGGTACACAGCAGAGCAAAAATAACCAAGATATGGTGTGTTCTTATTCAAGTGACGAGCAGTCTGTGTATAGCAAACCTTGCACACGTAGTTAATATATACAAGTAATTCTCTTCTAGTTCTTAAAAAGTTATTTGCGAAACAATTTTACTTCAATTCTGCGCTCACAAATTGCAGAACGGAGTTTCTCCTGCTATGGGCGCATATAGCTCAGCGCGGGTGTAGGGTAATTCACTGTCGGGATGGCTCCACTGTAGTATTCTCTCTTGTTTAGTCTTCGCTGTCTACAACACTAAGTAACTCAATAGCTCGGCTGAATAGTGCGGCGAACTCATTAAGAAATTTCGTAAATCAGGTCAAAAAATATACATAGATGTTATAGGAAGTGTTTCCAATATGTGATATAAATTCGAGGTCAAAGGCGATTTGTAGCTGTCAAAGGAATACTTACTACTTCTATTTAGGGAGCTGATAGTTTCTGGTAGGGAGAATCACATGGGAGGTAAAAATTCTATAGAATTTGAAAGGAACTGGCCTGATCAAAGAAGATAATGTTGAAAGCGCGAAGCAGAGCACGCCATTTCAAATAACTAATAGCTTTAGCAGATAACGTTTATTATTATCTTATTTGAAAACTAAATAACGAGATAAACTTCGTCGATAACGTACCAAACAATTTCCGGTCTTCCTGATTATCTTTTTATTAGTCATCAACAATGTTGTTTGCGATGGTTTATTCGTATGGTCAACATAGATAATACTTGTCCTTAGCACTACAGTAAAGTTAAAACTAAAAAACATTAATTGTAAAGGCAACTGAAGCTTACAAATAAAACAAGGCATTGCACGCTACATTACGATTAGCACTAAAAGCAAATGCAACAATAATGGCTGAAAAGGCACTCGAAGCATAGTTAGGTAAGTAGTTTGCGCATTTAAAATAACATCTGTATGCTGAGTAAAACATGTACATTTCTAACATTCAGCCGATGGCGCACTATAGTCTGCTAGTATGACCAACACCAGGCGCTCTCCTTCGGATGGCTCATCGACAGCGTTCTGTGTCACGCTGATAACGGCATTGCTTGGCAAGGACTGCGTGGGTAATATTTCAAGCTGTTCGTCCATGTTTATCCTGGTTGACGTGCTTAGTAGCAGATCCAGTGGTATTTCCTCCTCCAGCGCCGCGGTGTCCAGCAGTTCATCCTCATTGTTGTTTACGCCAACATCGAATGTATTGTTAAGATCTTGGTCCTCTGGTTCCCCTTCTGTGTCAATGTCTTCTGGTTCCAAATCTGCCATAAATTGTTGCATTTCATCCCCCAAAATTACATTTGGCTCCCCCTCAGAATCCCTATGTTATTTGCCCGACAGTAGGGCCGCATTGGGAACGGTTTGGACGGTGCATCCGGCTTCCATGTGTTCGATAACCTGTTGCTTAAGCTGTGCGACATGGTCTTTGAGAGTTTTCACAATGCCGGCCAAATCGGTGTTTTCACCCTTCAGAACCTTGACGCGATCTTCCAACTTAGAAATACGCTCAAGCTTGCGTTTACGGCACTTGGAAGCGGCGACGCGGTTACGTTGACGTTTGCGTTCCAACTTGATCTTCTCCTGAGTTTCCATATCGATGGGACTGACTGTAGGGGAAGCAGTAGTGTTTTGTGGCTCGTCTTTGATGACGGGGAAGCCTTCTGTAAATGAAATGTAATAGTAGAAAACGCCAAGTTGCAGGCACTTCGTTGAACATACCCATGTTTGTATAGGTGAAGGTGCCGCCACTCATGCCATTGTTGACAGCAGTCATAGTGGTGGTTGCTGGTGGATTACTAGCAGCCGTGCTACTCACAATAGGTCCAAGAAATCCCTGGGAACTCTTGCTGGTGTGCAGACTCTGCAACGCTTCATCGAAACCCTTGCCGAAGGCTTCTTGTTCCGAGGTAACTGCACCCACTTTTGTGGGAAAAACGGTACCGGGCTGTGGTGTTTGCAGCAAATTGCCGGACAACAGTATTTTCTCTAGGTCTGGTGTGTTGATTGTCTTGCCCTGCAAATCGGGCGAATCAATGAGTAAAGGTGCCACAGATCGTTTATTTTTTGATGACTTGTTAAGATCCAGAAAACCCGGACGTTTGCTAACGTTCGGCGTTGAAGTGCTGTTGGGTGTTTGAAATTCCATTGACTGCTCGTCAATTGCGACTGGTTCGGTTTTTGGCACTATTTGTGGCCCACCTGTACTTGTAGTAACAGGGTTAGTGGCAGATACAACTGTTTTCATTATTTCCGTTCTGGTTTAATGATGACGTCAGACTGATTGCAACAGAAAAAAATGGAAATAAATATATGTGTAAATTAATGGCGAACTGTGACGTAGGTTGATAACTTGTTTTAGCGATGACTCATAACCGCCACCTTACCAGCAGAAACAGAGCGAACCACAAGTGTGTTTTTATTTCTGGAGCTTTTGTGATTTTCAGCAAACACAGTTAACTCAGCTGGCAACTAAAATTTTGCTCTTGATTATGTTCAATTAGCACGTTGTATTAAATCTTTTAATTTGTGAGAACTTGCTGAATATTTATTATTATTCCCAATTGCGTTTCAATCGCTCTGGCCTCTGTTAACACTAATCTTCTTCTTCATAAGTTGACCATTTATTTATTAGCAAAACCTCACTGTGTAGTTCGATATATCGATTTTTCGGAACTGGCACCTAAAACCGATAGAAGTTCTTGCAGCGTTGCGCTTTTCCTTTTCCGCTGAACTGTCAAAAACGTAGGTCGCAAGAAAATGTGCGGTGAAGAATTAATATTTCTGAAATTCAAACAATTTGAAAAAACTGTTATTAGCAATGAATATAATGTTAACGGAACCACTTATACTAATTCAGATATTTTTCCCCTCTTCCTTGTTGGCTGACAGCTTAATAATTTGCCATGGCCAAGTCTAAGAATCATACAAATCACAACCAGAACAAGAAGGCGCATCGCAATGGCATTAAGCGACCGATGCGTAAGCGCCACGAATCCACCTTGGGTGTAAGTACAACCCTAGTGATATCGTAGTGTTTCCTTACCAAATCCTTCCTTTGCAGATGGATGTGAAATTCCTGATCAACCAGCGTTATGCACGCAAGGGCAATCTGTCGCGTGAGGAGGCAGTGAAACGCTACAATGAACGCGTTGCTGCCCAGGCTGGCAAGCCCAAGCCCGTTGCTTTGTAAATTCCTTACAAGATTTGAACTTTTTAGCGAGAAAGTCGGGTCGAGTAATGAATAAAGAAAAACATTTTTACTAAATACAAAAGTAAAATAACTTTATTTGTGAAACCAGCAGTCACTTTTAATAGTATATGCTCAACACTTTATGGAATGGTATGTACTCCAATTCTTTGGCGTGCGCTCGCCTATAGTCCCAGAGAAAGTGGTCCATTAAAATAGAGTTTACATTGGCGCGCGAAACTTCGGGATGATGTTTCTCCAAAACTTTACGCACAGCATCCTTCACTTGCTCTGTGATATAAATGGAGGCACCACGAATTTCAACCTCCATAGCATCACCATTCTGCATTATAGTATCGGACGACAGCACCTCCATAAGATCTGGTGTGTATTCAAGGCAGTTAAAATGTACAAGCACCTGTGGTACGCGATAGTCTGCGAACATGGTAATTTCGCCAATGTCATGAAAACTGCCTAGACCCTCGCCTCGAAAGCAAGCCCACAAGTCGCCTATAAGGATCTGGGCACGTTTTAATATATTTACGCGCAGTCCTGCATAATCGGCCTGATCGCGAAAACAGGGAAACTCATCTACTATGAGCTGCAGTAGGCGAACCGCAGAATTGTTGGCAGCCTTGACCACATTCTCAAACTTCCCGTGCCATTTGTCCAAAAGTCGCTTTCCAACTTCGTGCAGGCACTTCACACGTTCCAACAGAAGTGGAATGTTTGTGTCGGCTTCGTCGGCTCTAAATACAGTTTTCAACGTGGCACTATCTAGTTCTGAGTATACTGCTGCGTCAGTAATATCCATGCCCTCAGCCATGGCACGATTGATGGCAGCACATAACGCAAAGTATCCTGTGTAGCCATTAACCTTGTATTTTGTGTAATCGGCTGCAAAACGTCTTTTATTATTAATAACTCTATTGGTATAGAAGATGGCCTTACTTGGCGTCCAGAAGCAAAAGTTCAGAGTGTCCACCACAAAAATCCATTCTACGGCATGCGGATCTGTTGGCTTCGGATGCAGCTCGTGCTGTGAGAAGTTATCAACATTTAGGCGTTTCTCCACAACGGCTTTTACAATTTCCTGTGTTAGCCGTTCAATGCCCGCTGGTTTGACCCGCACATACTTAGCATTTTTAACAATATGTTCACCAGATTCGCGTGGCGACAGAGTCATCATCTGGATCGTCGATTTAGAAATAGTTGTTTGCAGGCGCGCAAAAGGGCTTCGTTGAGTAATAGTCCAAACAAAGCGGTGCATGTGCTGTGTGATCTTTTGGCGTTTTTCTGGCAGTTTTCTCATCGCACATTCTGGCAACGCTAATCTCGCGGCTGACGATTTTCGATAGGCAAGCAAATTCCATTTGCCCCATTTATTGTTTATTGGGCAGCAAACAGCAGCATCGCATACGTATCGGCCGCTCGGTTGCGTTATTAATTTAATATTAGAATAGTAGAATGATATAGTTGTAAAAATGATATTTGTGTGCATATATGTGGTGTTGTAAATATTAAATAAAGCCCAGCGGCCCTTGTCAAAGGTGTTAGTTAATTGAAAGTGCAAGAAAATTATCTAGAAAAAGAAAAGCACTAACGATTAAGAATCTCTTTCGCGCAGTGTTCTTTGTAGCTGCTGCTGCTGCCCGACCGTATCTGTTTTATAAGTTCGCGACGTCTTATCCTACACGTTTTATATATACAACGTTATACGTACTATATGTACATACATACGTATGTCACATACATAAAGTTTCTAATGATTATATTAACAATCAAAGTGATGTCTTGAAAATTTATTGTGCGACGAAAGTTACAATTTTATCGACGTTTCATTGTCTTACACACACACACACACACACACTCAACAAATACACATAGATACACGTGCGCGCTTAAAACACATACACACACGCTTATACGACAGCGCTCAGCTGTCATTTGTTGTCATTATTTCTGATCCTGCCTCTGCGTTTTGTTTTGCGCGGCATTTTGTATTTTATACAATTGTTGGTGATTGATTCAACAGGTGAGTGAGTGGCAACTGAACGCAAAGTAATCGTAGTGCGGTTTGTTTTTTTTTTGTATTACAGAAAGGTATTTGTTCTTGTTTCAGTTAGTACAATATACATATTTTCGCTCAAGTGTAATTACATGCACATACATATGTATGTACATAAGTATATGTGTGTGTGGGCTATATTTGCACAAAGTTTCGTGTAAATCGTCTCCCAAAACTACTATTTTAAGACGACCGTGACTTGGCATTAAGTCAACGTGTTAATTTATTAAGTAAATTTTTGAATACTACACAACAAATTGCCTGCTAATTTTTTAAAACTGTTCTAAAAAGGAAACATTTCAAAATGTACCCATATTTAAGGAAAGAACAGGAGAAAAGAAAAAAGTGTGAAAAGAACTTCATTACTATATTTATTAGTATATAAATTTATTATTGATATTGCAGAATTTGGTTTTCCATTTCTCAGAACAATTATATTTGTTTAATAAGTTTTTGAATGGCAGCCAAGAACTATAGAAATTATTATATACTACATACATATATGTATGTATGTATGTAAAACTGTTGTGAGAATAAAGTGCAAACGGAAATAAGCATTGATTGATGCCGCCGGCGTGAAAATTTCCTACTTATAGTGAGCTTTTCATGTGATCTACTGCCCACATTCGTTTACATTTACACACAATCCGTCATAATTCAAAAGCACTTAAAAATAAGCCACTCTTTACCGTTGCTCGCATTGTGTCTTTTCGGTATTTATCAACTGCCAGCCCACTTCTGATTGCTTATCAGGCCAGCAACAGGAGATACTAAATGAGTGGGTTAACATTCCACAATACACCAAATTTCATTTCGTATTGAGGGGCGCTTCAGAATAATCGCCAGGTAGCACATTTTGTTGATACGTTATTTAACTTTAATTGATTAGTTTAAATGGGTATGTTAAGTATGTTGTATGTATGAGGTCAGCACGATATTGATAATGATACCGTTTAGTTTTTCTGGTCACCATTTAAATTTGTCTTTTCCAAGTAATACTGTGAAGCTCTTAATCTGCTGCCCCACTTGGCTTCTTAAGCCATCGCAAGCTTTTAAACGAAAATAAAGCATCTCTAGAATTGCTATTAACTTATCGGAGGAAACAAATGTACTTTTCAAGACACATATAGTAAATTTATTATTAAGTGCTAATTTGGATTGATATATCAATAAAATAAACAAGAGCTACTTTGCTTGTAGGGGCTTGAAGAGCTTGCACAAATCTACAAATTAATACTAATTTGCTAGATAAGCGATGCAAGCTGTTGTCAGCTTTTTAATTCAACTTGTAGTCTCCATCGCTAGCCGAAACGGCCCAGATAAGTTTTAACTTTGCATGCTGCCAGCACGGCACAGGTTCCGCTCTTGATACTACTATTTTATAAAACTGCTATTCTTCAATATGGTTGAAAATTTGCCCGTTTATTCCATTTCCCATTTTATGGAGGCTCAGCTACGATATGCTGCTGGAAACAACTCGGCCAGAGAGCAAGTAAGTTCCATGCGATATTATTTTATCAAGTGACGTGATTAAACAACTCGCAATGCAATGTTCTTTATAAAATGATAAATCCTATCGCCATTGCCAGTGTACATACATACGATAATGTAAGTTGTTTATCGCCCAGTACTATATTGGATGTGAAATGTGAGAATGATGTGCTGAAAAATCTTGCTAATGAACTGCAATAATTAGCCTCAAATCAAGTTATATTATAATACTGAATGAGTGAATGATGGTTTGTCACATCATCATCAGGGAGATCTTCTAATAAGCTGCTTAGTCGCAAGATCAAAGCACGCCAAAAAGTATTCAAAATCCCTCAAATAGAGAAAGCACATTTTTTCACGTCCATTCAGCGTGAACAGAGTGTTTCAAAGTAATTTTGTACAATCATACAAACATACACATACTTATACTATATACATATATGTATTAAATTATGCAAATACCATTTTCTGGAAAAGTTCAAGGTCATATTTACCCTACAACCTATGGAACTTTGAAATTTTGTAGAAAAATTAAGGGAAATATATTCCACATACCTACACACATCTTAGATATTATAGGGAAAATGAACTTAAAACCAAGTGTGTCTATAGAGTCGCCAGTGTTTCTGTCTATCCAATTGTCTAATTCATTTATTTTTTATGCGTCGGCTCAATGCCAAAATGTTGACTGTCTGCTGCTAGAAAATATACATACATATATACCCTTTCGTAGACCACGCGGCATAGCACAAGATATATATAGACATATGTATGCATGAATATATGTTTGAATAATATTTGCATATAGAGAAACTATGACGTTGTTTTGTTTAGTTAAATTATTATATTTATAAAACAAAGCCAAAAGTACAGCAAGGAATCAGCTGGCTTTTTGTGACGGTACGAACGGTTGTGTTGGTTCTATTTATGTATTTTAGCGACAAAGTGAACAATATTTTGGTTTTGTTTCTTGAATTATTTCCAAACATTTGTTTATTAGAAAGCACAATTCTAAAGCTTATCATTTTGTTTTGTGTGTTTCGCTTTGATTTCGTGAGAGTTCAATGGCATGAGATATTGCTGCACGGCGCACACTGGCTAAACCCTCTACTACTTCTAAAAACTTCTCGAAAAATTCAAAAATATTAATAACATAAACTTGCCTTAGGTCGTATGTTTTTCAAGATCCTTGCGTTCGTACAGGCTGAATTACGTTGTTTAATTTACTTACTAGTTTTTATAGTCTAACTTATAAAACTGAAACCAGACCGAGGAAAATACATTAAGTGGTTGCATATGTGGATTTTCTGCATTCTGCAGACCTAGTAGGTTCGCATGTGTGATTAATTTTATATTGTTTTGAGTTCAATATAAATTACACTTAGATATCACTATGAGTTTTTTAATTAGAGAGATTTATATTTAGAAGGCTAGGGAACCAAACACATTATTTCTTGATCAGCTCACATTATTTTTAAATCTACATTTTTCTCATGTAGATAATTATTAAATGTTTGTAATTTTTTCGTCCTGGACACATTTTTTGTCAAAAAGTGTGTGTCGCGCGGAATCTGCTTCTCCTAAGAGTATATGATGCTTAAGCCTGCGAAGGTTTTTCAGTATTTTATTGGTACATGTTCCAACTACAGATTGGTTAGGAAAATATTTCATACACCATTAGACACAAAAAATCAACGCTGTTTGGATGAAGTAATTTCTTACAAATCACTAAGCCAAAGTATTATTAAAAAGAAGAAACTCAGAAAATATGCTTAGTTTTCGACTCAGAAAGTAAATCAACCAAATAAAATAGGTTCTTTGCTGAAATAAGGAAACATTGTACAGACGGACTACGCTAAAAATCTAAATTTGTTGTTAAGTTTGGTTTTGTCTAGTAACATAAGATCGTTAGAGTAAGTAAACCAGAATGATTTTTTCTGTGTTTGAACCACTGTGCGACGCTGCCTTTTAATCTTTCACTAATCCTTTTGTTTGTATAACAAATTTTTTTTGGGGAAGTATGCTGTATTGTATGTTGAAATTATCAAACCTATATATATGTGTACAGCCCAAACCTATAATCCCATATTGAACCATAATTAAGCTATAGGATGTCCCACTGCGCCCATTTCTAATTTGTTTATGGTAGAACGAAGGCAGGAAATTACTTCAAGATAAGGTCAAAAACATAAGTTTGTCTTGCATTTAAAGCGGCCGCCTGAAAGCATGCAATAATTTTTCAAATATATTTTTCCTGCAAAAACTGAAGCTTCTATAAGAAGTACTCATGTTGCCTTCGGCGCATCTGACTTTAACTTCCTATTCAATGCTCTACTGTAATAATCAATTTGGATTTAGTGTATGTATTAAGACGGCTTTTGTTATTCCTGTTGTAACTTTATATAAAACCACAACACGTATAGTAATATTCAATTGGAATAGCTACAGAAAAAACATTGCATTGCACTTTATATAAATTTCATGGGAACACACAGGCGAACGAATAGATTTTATACATTATATTATCACCAAAATATGGGCTGTCGGCATAGATTAGAATAAAAGGCGTCATAAAAGTTAAGAAAACATCTAAAATAACCTAGAAAATATACAATAATGTCCATTAATGCCTCCAACCTGTTGGGGAATTTATTTACCATCGGGCCAGCTAGGCACCGATACACGGCTTAATAAGGTCAAAGACATTAACAGATCTACCTAACTAGCTAGAAAAGGTAAAAACAAGTAGTAACTAGAAAACAAAAACTAAATTATAATTAATAGCTATTTAAATAACTTAAGGAGTTAAAATAATAGGGAAAATCACCAACCTGTTGGGAAATTTAGTTGGCAGTCGGGCATGCTACGCCCTAACTCAGCTGTAAGTAGTAAAGATAAAATAAAAAAGTGGCTATAGAGCTATAGCGAGGGAGAGAACAATTTCCCAAAAAATTATTTTAAAAAAAACAGTTTTTAAAGATTGCACCGCCCTCTTGCACTTTGCAAATATCACATCAGATGTTCGGATGTAAAAACATTTTGGTCTTCTTTGCTTTACTATAATATTTACTTTCATAAAAATTTTGTTTTAAAGCAGCACATAAATAAAATGTATATAATGAACTACACAAAATAATATACATAGTTGCTTTTATTTATAAATTATGAATAGGAATTTAAATTATTTTATTTAAGAGCATAATCTAACAACCTTTTGGCCATGTCTGGTCGGAGACTTTTAACAATACTGTCTTGTTATTTAAAGCAATTTTCCAAGTACAAACAAACATAAACACAGAAGAATGAGTAGTTGTGTAAACATTGCGTGTGTAAAGTATTATGGTTGGCTGAAAAGTTACCGGTATGTGATATCAGTTCAAAGGCTTGCAGACACTTGATACAAATCTGCTGGTGCTTATATATATACATACATACTTGTACATATAGTATGTACTATATATACACATACATATGTATATGTAGATATGTATGCAGAGTCAAATATGCATGTTTGTGATTATACTCATTGTTGATAAAATGGCATATGTGTGCGTTGCATATACATACATACATACATATGTATGTATGTGCATATGTGTGTGAATGTGCTGTGCACAGAGATGCGGAGCAATTGGTGTCTGTGCTGTTAGAATGCTCGCCGAATGCCCGCTTATCAGTCAACGAGATCAGAAATTAAACAAAACCCGAGGCGTTTATGGCCGTTAACTTTTGGTGAGAGCCTGCAAACAGAAATACAGGCCCTCTAACATTAGGCTATAGGTAGGTGGGTATAAATACATACATAATACACACACACTATAACTGTATGTACATATGTATTACAAACGTACTTCCATGCCTGAGTAATCGCTCTAAAAAACTACCATTGCGATAGTCAAATAAAAATTTAGTAAGTAAGTAATATACTATATATGATATAGTAGAGGCGACCGTGTATTTTTCTGTCTGGCAAAACTTATTTATATTGCACTTATGTATATATACATACATATGTGCATACATATATATAAAAAGCGTCGCTAATGTTGCATTAAATTGTTGTATTTTATCAGTAGAGGAACAACAAAGCACATGTTATGAGCTCGCTACCTGCACTACAATAACAGAGCAAAACGCTTGAGACACCGAAACTCGACTTCTCTATACCCTGTTCCCAGCCACAAAAAATAATTCTTAGATCTCCTAAATTTATTTATATATGATATGGAAAACATATGACGCTGATTCTTGGGAGATATTTGTATGAAAAAGAGATGAAATGAAATGCTGTTACAAGTCTATCCTTTCAGTTAGTGCTTTCATTTGACATGCTGATCAAGCAATATAAATAGCTATGCCTATTTCTGAGTTAGAGCCTTGTGTGCTTACATGACCGTTGGATGTCAGATACATTATGATTAATGCTATGAACCCTCTTACCCTTCAGGGTACAGGGTATTAATAGTGCCAGGTTATCAGTGTGAGCGTTTAACTCACTCCCTTCGTGAGAGGCGCACGAAAACGAATTCGAGCGCCAGTTTTTCATTTAGTTTTCATATACGAGTAGACGTGTGCGCCGCGTGCCGCTCGCCAATCGAACGCACGGCTTTTGTTTAATACCTGTAGTGTGTTGTTATATACAGATGTACTTACATATATAAATAAATGAGTGATTTGTATTTTGTTTTTATAAAAATGCCTGCTCGGCAATTCGAACCGATATTAAGCTAAAGGCGCTTCAGTTGTCGTTCGTCGTTTGATGCGCCCCCACGTGCCGCTCGAAAATTAAAAGCAATCGGTTGTTTATACACACATACATTCATACATACATACATACATGCATACATGTGTATAAATAAATAATATAATATCAAGTTCAAAGGCTATCATTAAATAGAGTTTGTGCGGAAATGTTAAATGACACGCAAATAATTAAGCGTACTGATTAAATGTTGCTATAAATTGCAATCGCTTTTGCATTTTTGTGCCTTTTGTTTTTTGTTCGTTCCCTCGCTTGTTTTGTGTTAGTGTGTTTGTGCGTTTGTGAGTCCATACAAAATGGAGCCAAACAAACAGCGCCGCACGCCCAAATTGGGTCAAGTGGGACGCGCTTATTCGGAGATGTCGCCATTGAATCCCCCACTGTCCGCTCACTCCACGGCGACGACAAGCTCGCATGAGCGGCGCGATTCCGGCAACTATGGCAGCATTTTTCCGTTTGGCCTATTTCGCAGCTCCTTCGGTCGTAGCGGAAATTCAATTCAGGTAAAGAAAGTCGAACCTATAATTTACAAACTACCATATGTTAGTTGTCAGATGTTGTGTCAGCGATAAACCTGAAAACAGATACCTACAGATACGTACGTGTATTTATTTATTATGGCTTATCGCGAATGATAAATACTTTTCACATGAAAATATGCGCAGGTAAAAACCACAAATTCGATTCCAATTAAATTAAGATTGCACGCCAAATGTACTTTTTGTTTCAGTTTCAGAAAAAATAATACATATCACATAAAATACTATGTAATTCAATTAAATTGAGCTCCATTTCTATTAAGCTCTCAAAAATTTTTAGCTTTTTATTTGGAAAAGTCAATAGATTACATTTTTTACAAGTTTCCAAAATCTTAACTGGAATATGTACATTTGGCAGTCGATAGAGTGGTTTTTAAACAGCGATTTGTTGTATCAAAATTTGTACATACTGTAAAGAGATATGTGTATTTTATATTCTAAATCAAATATACTCTGGAGGCTTTCCACAGCGTCCATTGTTTTGTGTGTTTCTCTTTGAATTTGAACCGATTTTTATACCCTGTAAAAAGGGTAATTACGTTTTTGCAAAGTGAAAAATGTTACAGGCAGAAGGGGGCGTGGTTGAATATATATTCTTGATCAGTATGAGGAGACGAGTCAATCTAGCCATGTCCGTCCGTCTGTCTGTGCGTCCGTCTGTGCGTATGAACACCTTGATATCAGTGACTATAAAAGCTAGAAACGCCAAAGTTTGCAAGCAGATGAACGCAGTAAAAGTGAAAAAAATCTGCATATTTGATAATTATGTACATACATCCGCTTAGTTTTTTTATTTTTTTAAATTTATTTAATTAAAAAAAAATTATTTTTTTTGTAGGAGTAGGTACAGGGTATTTAATAGTAGTGAGTATTTGCATGTTCAATAATTCCCAAGTTGAATAGAAAAGATACATATACAAGTAGATACAGAAACATACTTATAAGCAATTTAATCGAAATGTTGCTATAGAAATTGACTCTTCTGACTCCCTAATAAGGTAATCATAACATACTATAAATGCGTATTGAACTAATTTATCCTTTTCTGAGGTATTGAAACCATCGGTTTATTTTAGATGTTTGCGTTGAAAAAAATGATTTGTCGCTAAATCTGGGATGTATGATCCAACTCTCACTCTCTTGCTCACTCTCAATATGTCAGAGCATTGCTTCAAATATAGACAAATCTTATACATATCCAATTCACTTGAAGAAACAGTATTCGATTGATGTGGCTGTTCTTGGGAATCCCATACAGTCGACTGCTGTTTAGTTTCAGACTTAATGCGTCATTTGACGTGCGTTTTTGTAAGCACCGCTGGAGCGTTTTTATTCGTTGATTTACTAATTTTGAGGTCTATTTAGAACGAGAAAATTTATTTATACATTTAACAATTGTAGTATTGAATGTATTGGGATGGTATTAATACAATCATTCTCAGGATAAGCCACATTACCATCTTTCTATATCAATGCACGAATATAACCTTTAATATGCTCAGCTTTAATTATAACAGTCTTGGTGTTAATTAGATGGGAAAATTAATTTAGTAGATATTTACTTCAGAGAATATAACGGTTGTTTTCTTTAAAAATATAATTTCTGCACAACACTCATCCCTAAAAGTATGCAGCACCAATTTTGTGTGTCAATTTTTTTACAGCTGGCATGCGCAACACTGTTTGATATTGAGCTTGTAAAACAAATTATAAACCCATTTGGAGTGTATAGCCACATAAATAATTCTCTGCGGGTATGTGCTACAACTATACGCCTTAGAGTGATTCTAGTACGTACGTCAGCAACAGCTTTTGACAGACGGCTATTGACAGACGAAATCATCAGCCATAAAACAAACAATAGACACTTGTTCTATGATGTGTCTGCGTGATTGTGCCATAATTGAAAGCTGTCTTTGGCAGATGCGCCGCCATAGTGTGCCTGTGGGCGGTCGTTTCGCAGCTTCGAAGAGTCAACATTTGAATCAGTTTGGCATCAGGCACGACTGGTATGCGATGGGGCATTAACAGCGCGCAAGCCTTAGACTTTGCCATTGTGTGTGCTCATGAGTGTGTGTAAAATGGAAATTAAGCCATTAATTTGGCGCACTTCAAACAGGAAGTAGCGGCAGCCGCTTCTCGTAATATCCGCAGTTTATCGTTGGCATTAAATACGTTTATCTGTAGGTGCTTATCGGCATTTGTTTGCCTAATTAATTAAAAACCAATTGCGTGTCACTTGTGTTTGGGCCGTCGTCCATTTAAATGAGTTTGTAGGCAGGCCGGCGCACACAGTTAGCATTTGAACACGAAGTCGGTCGCGTCGTACTGCAAAACGGTCTGCAAACATCCTTTGAACGTGCAACTGGTGCTGCTTCTACTGTTCCGTGCTTCGATAATACAAGTGTTACCTAAATTACATAGTTCAATAGAAGTTCAATAAAGTGATATTATTCAAAGGCCTTCAAAACGGAATTAAGCGGCCAGAGTTTGACGAAAATGTTTAAAGCACGCTTAAAGGCGCATCCGGGCGATACGGAGGTGGGTGATCATGACTAGAAATGTTGTGATTCGAGTGGTCATAATTTAAAAGCTCAAGTTATAAGGTTAAGCCTTTATAATGTAATTACTTATTTTTGAACTGATATCGAAATAATCGGCAATTTTTTTTTTGAAAAGTTGAGGAATATTATAGTGTGAATACGATAGTGGGAGTCCGTTATCAAATCATCTATTTGGCATTTTTGTATTTTTTTGTACAAATATTGTCACTTATATTGATTGTTGAATGAATTGAGATCGACGTACGCGGAAATAGATGCTTCGTCCCCCACAACAGCAACAACAATTTAATATATCTTACTCTTAGCATTGAAACTTTAACAGAGGCTATTCAAAGCAATATTTAATTTTTAATAAAGTGCACGAAAACTTCCAACTTGGATGAGTCCAGCGTATTTATTTTCCGAGAATCCCACGTGTAGAAATTTAGAAAAAGATACGGACATGGTGCAACATGTTTTAATGCAAAAATAACGCATGTATTAAAATGTATAGTAGTATATTCTTGAGGCTACTCTATTAGCAACAAATAACTTTAAAAAAAAAGTAAATATTGTTTAATGTAGTCATCAGCTCAATCAGTATAAAGAACTGGGCCAATCATTCGATTTGATCAATAAACTTTGCTTATTCACAAACATTCATCATTTGTCGTAATGTCTATGTACTGTCATACTATCGCGTGTCTTCATGTACATATGTCCCCAACCTCGTCGAAGTAATTTAACTCGTTACCGCAAATATATAAAGTTGACCGAAGGAGCATTCATTTATTAAAAGCAATTGTTTGTAGCTCTTCAATAAAAATCAATTAGTTATAAGCAAACACAAACAACATGCCCTAAGTGCATCAAATTCGTTTTAGTTCTCTCTCCAAACTACTATATTTTTAATACCCATCCAGCATTATTATTGTCTCAGACCAGCAGACCAGCAAAACGCGCGACGCATGCGCAGCAGCCGTCAGAGAGTCAGCCGAAGGGCCCTACGGAGCTGTAGTGTTGAGTGTGTGCAAGCCAAGAAGATAAATAAAGTTGAGAACAGTGCGTGTTCAAGCAATCAAGAAAATACATTAACTTAAGCCAGACCATGCAGAAAGATGATAAAATAAAAACTAAAAAGCCAAAGGCAAAAGCAAAAGCGTCAGCAAAGACGACGTCGCCGACAACAGCTGGACATGCTGTTGACCCAGAGAGTGCGTGCATGCTGTTACCAACACCACAAACAACAACAACAATAAAAGAACACAGCTCACCCAAACAGCCAACCAGTCGCACAATCGACGCCCTGGTGCGCAACTTACACGACACGGGAACACATGACACACAGTCCTTGCATCGGCCGCTGGTGGAACATGAGGAGCGCATCGCGATTATGACCGCAGTTGTCAGCAGTCAGCCGAATCCGAAACCAAAATCTCAGCTCCAACGCGGCAATCGCAATTCAAAGTCCACGCCGAACTCCTTGTTGACTATGCCGCCGCGTCTGAGCAGCGAGCTGACTCCTCATGCATCGTTGCCTCGTTTCGTCATCGACATTGGTTCTGATGACGATGCTGCGACGACAACAAATGAAGCAGATGCAACTGGCAGCACACGTTCCCCTTCACCAGAGAGCATGTTGCCGCTTCAAAATAGACGCAGCAATGGCCACGATCAGGCCACAACTCCCGGCACGGCGCGACGCTTCAGCCAGTTCAATCTGGCACTGCGTCGCTTCTCCCACATACATGTAAATGTAAATTGGCCCCAGTTACTTATCTACAGCAACAAGACAAGATACACTCAGAGAAAAAATGCATTCTAAGGTTCATTAGCTCAGTCGTAAAGGCTTAAATACATAATCAAATCTCAACAAAATAAACAACGATAGGAGTTCGCTTTGCTTCTTTTAACTAATTAAAACAAGATTAGGTTTTCTTTTAAGACCCATTATCTAAATGTCTGAGTAATTAAATAATTTGTAGAACGGTACAATTGAATTTTATTAATATATTGCTGATAGTCCATTCAGCTGTGAAAATATCAGAAGAGCTTTACCAGATAACCATTAATTTTTCGATTTAAAGGCTCAATCGGAAATATTGGAAACTAACAATTTAAAACCTGTATAATAATCATACGACATTAGTTAATGAATATTGATAAAAATGTACTTGACTTCTTAATGCTCTATTAGAGTATGAAACAGTAGAACAAAAAGTATGTCGATATGCGATAAATCAGTCTTACAAGTATATACAATGTTTAATAAATAGCTTTTTTTCTCTGAGTGAACACCTTAAGTTTCTTGCACCCCAAAACATATAAACTCACTCACTTACCAATGTTGTATCTGCGTTGTTTACTTGGTTATTGTTGTTGTTGCTCTTGGTGTTGTTGCTTTTAAACCTGTCCCTTTATTGCTCCCACTGTGCAATGCTTTTACTCTATGTACCTATCTTCCACTTGGCTGTCTAAAAATAACTATTTATATGTCTATGCTATTCTGCTATGTTCCATAAGTTAAATGCTCCCTTTACCAGTCGCTCTAATCTCTTGCTCTTTTTAACTCTGTTTGACCATGAATGCATTGAGTTCTTGTTCTCCTTTGCGAAAGCTGCGCATGCACGTGGGCTTTATTGGGTTAAGTGCGTGCACTTAAGCGCGCGCCACTTAACGTCATGTTGAATAACACTAACAACGTTATCTTAACCCTCATCAGAAACGTCAAGAATTAAAAGAAATTTGCGCTTTCGTCCACTCAAAATTAAAATACATTTTTTCACCTATCACTCCACACTTGCAGCTGTGCGTATACGATCAATAACTGTCCATATTTTGATGGATTAGTTGCTACTAAAATTGCGCTTATTTAATATATAAAAGATTAATACTTATGTATATATTTTTTTATTTAAATGTTGTGGCTTCTACGCACATTGTATTGATTTGGTCAGTTCTGGTTACGGTTACTCACAAGCAGAATGCATTTCTGGTCGCGTCTTTGTATTACATCTTAATTGGCCTTTGCGAAATTCGGGGAATTTAAGAACAAAACTGGTTCTCTTTGTAATCCCACTAATTTACATTGGCGGGGAACTTTTCGGACATCTAACCCAAATTTCGAGTCATGAAAAAGATTTTAAAGTTAACAGTGAATGCGCGCCGAGATGGACGTTAAGTCAAGATTAATGATTTGGTATAAATAACTGATCGAACATACACAAGAACAGTTATTGATGGAAAAAATCGTGTAAGTTCAATCTGAAGTCATTTAAAATAAGAAGAGTTCACACACGCTGTCCTGAAACGGTTGGCTCATACAGAATATGGTTGAATTAATAAATGATTAATGACTGCTTATTTTTCTAGATATCAGTTGAAAATTATTGCGCTTAGCCTTGATTAAGAGGTGCACAAGTTTTAATATTCACATTTTAAGTATTTATCCCAAACATTCAAATCTTAAGCGCGATACAGATGAAAAAAAAAAATACATTTATTTCTTCTTTTACATCTAACATAAGTTAATCAAAATTTTGAATTGATTCTACTTTTTTGGCTTACTTTTCGGCGCATTTCATACTAACCTAGTTACACTAGTAACTGTAACTTTAAGGCTTAAATGAGTATCCGATTAAATTGCCATAAAACCCTTAAGTAATTTAACCCAAGGTTAACTAAATAAGTGGGTAGACAGTACTTAGACATTTCGTTCGCATGCCTTCGAGTTCAATTAGCTAATTGTTGTGGCGTATACACACATAGCTCTTTGAGGCTAGGAAGACTGTTCGCCGCCTCGGGAAATACATCTAAGCGGTCAGATATATTACCTGCCAGTAAAAGTGTTCAAGAAAATATACATAATTGTATTAACAACAAATTAATTGCAAATGCGCGCGCACCCAATTGCTTTGTGCCTCGTATGTGGTGTGCCCCCCACTGGCCTTCTCAAGACCAGACCGCAAATTAAAGAGAAACCTGCTTTAATGCAACTGCCGCCTGCGCGGAGGTTGGCTCTTTTGGTTTTTACCCGAGCGCTTAAGAGTTGAATGCCAAATGTGCACTGCACAGTTAGTTAGTTAGTTAGTTAGTTAGTCAGGCAGTCAGTCAGTCGTGAGTGCGCCGTTGAAGCTGGCGGAGTGGAATTCGCGGAAAACCAGCCGAAGAAAACCTTTGATAAAAATAGCCAAAGACCCAAATGCTGTTACAAATAATGCGCGCCTAAAAAACTCCAGCCACCAAGTAAACAAGTTTCGTTTTTGTTTTTCGTGTGCGCTCAAATCGTTGCCATAATTTGCGGCACCAAATTACAGCATTTCATTCAGACAGTAATCAGTGGGCTTTTTAAGACTCGCCACACTCGCAAGATTTGCAAAATTCGCGGGATTCGCGAGATCCGAGATTTGAGATTTGAGAATTGCGTGCGCGCTCCCCAAGACTTCGTCGCAGTTGCCGTCGTTGCCGTTGTCGTAACAGTGTCGGGCGTTGATAAGCTAGCCATAGCCATAGCCATAGACATAGTCATACGATATCTGGCCAACATTCAACAGGTTGCATATGGCTGCTGAGTGCCACCGCCGGCTGGTATCGTTGTGTCGGCACTCGCAGCTGAGAGCTCGTGGCGCGCGGTTAGGTTCTTGAATAAGGCCTGAAAACAGACATTTATATAGAACTGAAATATCTCGTACGAATACTCGTAAATAATATGGCAAAGCGCATGTCCAATTAATTGGCGCAATTGTCAACAACAATTCCGTGCTACAGCTGCTAAATAAAGTGTGTCTAGTTTTTATAATGACAAATATGCGCAAGATATATTTAAAATTATAAATCAAAAGTTTGCGCCCGCAACGCTTACGCGGGGTTTATCTAATAAAAGTAAAAGAAGAGGAAAAAGTGACGCGCGTCCAGCAAGACAAGCGCATTAAGCTGATTTACGATCATATAAAAATATAAAAAAATATATACATAAATATTTACGTTACAAAATAATAAAAGCCCATGCGGATCCGTAAAGTGCAGCCACCATGAAGTTATCGAAAAGTTTTGATGAATTAATATTAAGCGCGTCGCGGCTAAGCTTGAACAGCTTGCGCTCGCCGACCAAAAAGCAAAAATCCAAAAATGTTAGTAAAAATAAATCTTAGTGTAATAAAAAGACAGCACATTAATGTTGAAAGTTCGAAATGATTTGGGCTTGAAGTGCCGACATAGCTTACACGCCTCTAATATTGAGGATACTCACAAAATGCTGCAAAGTGCGATAATGGAAATTAATAAAAGTGCCCATTGAAGTGAAGGGGTGTTAGTCTATTGATAACTCGGTTGTTTAACAAGTGTAATGTTTCTGCCACTTTGTACGACTATCAGGCATTTAAGCCTCTGAACATGTAGGAAATTGCGGTTGTCAATTCTTTTTCGTAGTACAACTATGATAGTAGATACTAAGATACTTCGTACGACTATTTCCATCACACTTTTATGAATTACCTCCTTTTTTTAATGCTTCAGCATCCTTTTTTTAGATCAAACGCAATTTACAATTTATTCCATGCATTTTATGTAGGAATTATGAGAAATATAATTCTATTTTATCGTATCATCAACCCTATATCAGTGGAATCGATTTCTGCAGACCGATCTTTTATTTGTTTATAAAGAACTTCTCAACCGCCTCTAAATTTAAGGTAGTCCTCAGCGCAGTTTTGAAACAAACTAATTTTTAGTTTGACGATGATACCGGAAACGGAAAAGAAATTGCAATCCTTCAAAAACTCATTACTCACTATCAAAAATCGGATGCTAAATTTTGGAGCTACCATTAACATCTTAAAAAAAATTATATGTATTTTTGAAAGTTCTTAACATATTACAACTAACAATTACAATTTACATTCGTTGCACTCGCATTGTAAGTTTAAAACTAAAAGATTTGCAAAGGCTAAATTCTTCTGTCTCGTATTATTTATGAGATCTCAGGAAATCTAGTGAGCCACAACTTTTTTCTATGAATTCTTAGGTATGGATTTCAAAAGCTCTGCTCTGCTAAGTATCTTCGCTTGTTATGCCTTAATGCTTTTGAAGAATACGCACACGCTATTAAATGCTGGTAGTTATTAGAGAAAAGAACTAACACGATGCTATTGTACATAATATATAGTACTTACATACATAGTGTATTATCAATGTTACAGTTATTCGATAACTTTGACCTTAAAAGTAACCCCAAACAATTAATTACAATCTACTTGCTACGTGACTATATTATTAGTATAGACACTAGCTAGTCATCATGCTATTTTAAGGGCTTTTCACGCGAATCATCATACATTTTCGCAAAACGTGCTTGACGGCATTATTATTTAAATAAAACACACAGTACAGTGAGTGCTGTTATCAAAATTATCTCCTTTTCTGCTGTCGTAGCGAACATTACTTTAACATTTGAGACAAAGCTATTTATTCTAATTTATGGACCGTTCTTGGCTGTCTGCAGCTCTCATAAATGTCAACAAACGGGCATCCCACCACCAAGTATGTCACCAACCGTATGCTGGTCTGAATGGTGTGATTTTTGTGAATGTACTACGAGTATAGATACTGACCGCAGTTGATTTTAGCAGTAACTGAATAAATGTATAAATCAATATCGGAGATACGCTTTAAAGTTCAAACAGCCGCAGCATTTGACGGGCAGTAGCCTTGAGCCCATAATATGCATATGTCAAACACTTTTGACAGCCCAGTTAACCAGCAGAGCCAGGCCATTTTTTATGTCTTTACCCGTATTGTTATCCGTATTGTGACATACTTGTACATACAAGTATACGGGCACTTTCTTATCAATCACAGGCCCGCTGTCGTAGGAAGGGCGAGTCCAAGATTTTCAATTCCCATTCGAGTGTGTGCATACAAGTGTGTCTACATATATTGTGCATATGTATGTATATATGTAGTTATGTTATTCCCTAAATTAATTTTAATTTGCTTGGCAAATTCCGCTTATTGATAATTTTTATTGATCAAAAAGAGACAATGCTGGCATGTGACTTTTATTATTAACACGGTGATGCACTCATGCAAGTCACTTGCTGTACATTTTTAATTAAGTTTTCTTTACAATTAACAATTATTTGCCTACGCCAAGGCGTCCAACGTCCCCATGCCCTAAACAACCAAAGCCCCGGTTTGGAAACTGCATGTTGTTTACATTAACCTTGTTTCCATATCGTGGCTGCATGTAATATTGACTAAAACGTAATTGGTTTTGCCTTCCGATCTAGAACATAAATCGTTACGGAGACTCCATGGGTTCGCTGGGACATCGCGCCTTGCTCCAGTACATTGATAACAACGACATATCCGGGTTGCGAGCCATACTCGACAGTCGACACTTGACCATCGATGATCGCGATGAGGTAAGTGAGAGAGAGAGAGAGAGGAATGAACTGATGATATCTACAACGAAGTAATTGAATTTTCCCGCAGAACGCAGCCACGGTGCTTATGGTCGTGGCCGGACGTGGTCTGACGCCCTTTGTCCGCGAGTTCCTGGCGCGCGGTGCTGACGTTCAGGCAGAGGATTTGGACAACTGGACAGCATTGCTGTGTGCTGCTCGCAATGGACATTTAGATGTGGTTCAACTCCTTCTCGATCATGGCGCCGAGGTGGAACATCGTGATATGGTAAACATATATATGTAATCTGCGATAACTACATAAAATTTGTGATTTTTACTAAAAATCAAACCAGAAAAATACTATTAAATTAAACACACAACAATTTTACGGGATATCCGAGCGATCTACCCGTAAAATTGGTCTCCATTTCGTCACAAAGATATTTACAAAAGCATCATGGGTCTGGCTTTTTGTAATTTTTGGCTTTCATTATCCTTTCGTGGTCCGATTTATTTTCAAATTCATTTTTTAAACAATTTTTCATTTCTTCGATCAATTTTTAAAAGTTGTTAATATCTTTATCAAATCTTCCTTAATGTGCTTAACTAACGGCTGCAACCCAATACAAGACAGTTAAATAGGTGTCATGTATTTTAAATCAGAAAAACAAAACAATTCTCTCTAGACATGTCCGTCTGTATGAACGCCTGGATCTTAGAAACGACTAAGCGCCCATTGTTCAAACCTGGCATATAGACTGTCGCAATTCCTATACACTACGAGTTTGTTTCATTTTATTAATTTTCCCTCCTCTACAGATTTTTGTTAAAGCTGTTTGCAATCTTGAAACTATAAGAAATTAACTGTGTTACACTTAAGTTATCTGTTTTTTCAACTTCATTTTAAATTCCTTCAAATCGGTTAGCGGAACATCCTGTTGCTTCTGAAATGCGCTCATATAAAAAAGCAGTTGAAATTTTTTTGGTGATAGGATATTGTACTATAGCGCTTGCTCGACTGTAACATTCTCTCTTTAGACTTTGATATAAACACTGATTGTATATTATTTCAGGGTGGATGGACAGCGCTTATGTGGGCCGCATACCGAGGACATACGGAGCTAGTACGTCTACTGCTGGACAAGGGTGCTGATGGCAATGCACATGGCAACTATCATCTTGGTGCTTTACTCTGGGCAGCGGGGCGTGGCTACAAGGAAATTGTGGAGCTATTGGTACAGCGTGGGGCTAAGGTGAACGTAGGCGACAAATATGGGACCACTGCGCTGGTCTGGGCTTGTCGCCGAGGCAATGTCGAGATTGTTGATACGCTGATCAAAGCGGGCGCGAACGTGGACACGGCCGGCATGTATTCATGGACGCCACTATTGGTAGCCGCAACTGGCGGACATACAGACTGCGTCAATTCGTTGCTGGAGAAAAAGCCAAATGTAAACGCGCTGGATAAAGATGGCATGACAGCGCTCTGCATTGCGAGCCGAGAGGGCTTTCAAGACATCGCAGCATCTTTAATAGCCGCCGGCGCCTACATTAACATACAGGATCGTGGCGGAGACACACCACTCATACATGCCATTAAGGGCGGCCATCGCACCGTTGTGGAGGCGCTACTGAAGCGTCATGCCGACGTCGATATACAGGGAAAGGACCGAAAGACGGGCATTTATACGGCAGTGGAGAAGGGACATACACAAATTGTGAAGCTCCTCCTATCCACTAATCCTGATTTAGAGTCGTCGACCAAAGATGGGGATACCCCATTGCTACGAGCCGTTCGCAATCGCAATCTAGAAATTGTTCACATGTTGCTCGACCGAAAAGCCAAGGTGACAGCCAGTGATAAGCGTGGCGACACTTGCCTGCACATTGCCATGCGTGCGCGTTCCAAGGCAATTGTTGAAGCGCTGCTGCGTAATCCAAAGAACAGTCAACTGCTTTATCGCGCCAACAAGGCAGGCGAAACGCCCTACAATATTGATGCCCTACATCAGAAGACGATTTTAGGCCAGGTCTTTGGCTCGCGCCGACTGAACACGAACGAGGACTCCGAAGGCATGCTGGGCTATGAGTTGTACTCCTCGGCCCTGGCTGACGTTCTTAGCGAGCCCACATTGACAACGCCCATCATCGTGGGACTGTACGCCAAGTGGGGCAGCGGGAAAAGTTTCCTCCTCAACAAATTGCGCGATGAAATGAACAATTTTGCGCGGCAGTGGGCGGAACCGCCGACACCAACCAGCGGCCTGCTCTTTCTAGTCTGTCTGCATCTCGCCCTGCTCATTGGTACCACCGTCGGTCTGGCTTCCTGGTCTGCTCTGTGGGGCGGTGTGGCGGCCGCTTGCTTCCTAATACTTGCATACCTGCTGCTCGCTGCCGTAAAATATTGCAACTATCAGATGGATATGTACTGGGCCTACTCTGTGCTGCATGGAATTGAGAAGCGCATTACACGTTTGCGTCTGATACTGCAGGTGACATTCTGCCATCCACCTGGGCCAGACTCGGACTCTCAAGCACGACCGGTGCGCTTCCATTTTGCGGAGGCCAGCAGCGCCTCACCCACAGGCGATGGGGCAGTTGCTCACATGCTAGCCGCCCTCCTCGTCGCAATTGAGTCGCATTATGGTTGGCTCTCTACCCGCCTCTATCGCGCATTCCGACCTAAATGCGTCAAGACGGATGCAGGCTGGCGCTGGCGTCGCATGTGCTGTATGCCCATTGTCATACTTTTCGAGATGGGTCTAATCATCCTGGTGGCTGGAATCTCGCTGGTCATTGCCTACTTTACACACGCCAACGAATCGGAGCGCGAGCAAATTTTGGTGGCTGTCTATGTCATCGCAGCGGTGCTAGCCACGCTCATCTGCACTAATCTCCATGTGCTGGCCAAGGTTTGTGGTTCGCTGTTCACCTCGCACATACGCCAGCTGAAGCGCGCCGTGAGATCGAGCGAGAGTGCTCCATTGACCATGCTCGGTGCCGAGGTGGCCATGATGACGGACATGGTCAAATGTCTCGATGCCTTCACCAATCAGCAAAGCCGCCTGGTGGGTGTTGTCGATGCATTGGACTCCTGTGATACCGAACGTATTCTCACTCTGCTAAATGCCGTGCAGACCCTACTATCCTCGCCCAATCGCCCCTTTGTACTGCTTATCTCCGTGGATCCTCATGTAATTGCCAAGGCGGCGGAGGCTAATAGTCGGCGCCTATTCACCGAAGGCGGTATCGGAGGCCATGATTTTCTGCGCAATTTGGTTCATTTGCCGGTTTATTTGCAAAATTCTGGCCTTAGGAAAGTGCAGCGCGCTCAAATGACTGCACTACTCTTCAAGCGAGGCGGCAACGACTATCAATTGGATGAGGGGCCCACGCTGGGGCACTCTGTATCTGCGCGCCGACTTTCGAATGCATCTGAGATCATGTCAAGCCAGGAGAAGCTGCGCACCCCTCATAATGCGGGACGTGGTGGCGCGTCTGGGAGCGGCGCTGGAAAGAAACTTCGTCTATCTGAGTCTGTAGCCAGTTCTATTGGCTCCAACTTACATCGTTTGGGGCAGAACCCACAGGGTGTGCTTGATCTGTCGCGCATTGTACTCACCGATGATTACTTTAGCGACGTGAATCCACGCAGCATGCGACGACTGATGAATGTCATTTACATAACCGTGCGCCTACTGAAAGCATTCCAAATAGACTTCAGCTGGTACCGTCTCAGTTCCTGGATTAATCTGACCGAACAGTGGCCACTTCGTGCTAGCATGATTGTCCTCCATCACGACCAATTCATGGACAGCAATGCCGATGAGAATGTCTCCCTTCAGAGTGTCTACGAAAAGTGAGTGAATCCAAATACATACAAACTTATATCGAAAATATACGAATTGATAAAGCTAGCAGATTTATTATAATAGCAACTTCATTTTTCTTTTTGCATCTCTTGCAGAGTGCGTCCCAAACTTTCCTGCCTGCGTGAAGCAGCACCCCTGCTGGAGCTCGATCGCGATGAACGTAAACTGGACGCCTTTCTGCAGCTGCACAAGTCGGACTTGTTGGTGGCGGATTTGCGCATTTTTCTGCCTTTCACCATCAATCTGGATCCGTATTTGAGAAAAGTGCTAAAGGAGGATCAGCAAATCATAGAGGATGAGGGTTCACTGGTATTGCAGACGCGTCCGAGCGTTTCCCACGTCATGCGATCGCATCCACCACCGCCCACCACGTACGTGCCTTCGCCCCAAGCCTATCCGTCCTACCATATGCTGCAAAATGATTATGTGCCGAATGAGCTGCGCTCCCGCAATCTTAGTTCGAGCACAGAGCCGCCGATGACGCCACTGATTATGTCGCCGAGCGACTCGTTTGGTGTAAGTCCTTTTGGTTAAATTTTGCCACCAGCTGCTATGACGTTTCATAATTTCAGGAAGACATTCTGCAAACCAAACTCTCAGATCTCACAGCCGAGGGCGTCATTAGTTTACTTGAGCGCATTGAGGATCTCAAGCCAGCGCTGTCGAAACTGGCGCCAGTGCTGCGAGAGAATGCCATAAATGGACGTGTCCTGAAGCATTGTGATCTCACCGACCTCAAAACGGTAATTAGTAAAACGGAGTGTTTATTTACGTTCCATTCAAATCGGTTACTCCCCTGCAGGTTCTCGGCTTGAGTTTTGGACATTGGGAGCTGTTCCGCTTACTTATCACTACGTTGCGCGAGTGTGAGCGTCTGCCGCGTAAAAATCGACCCCAGCCCGCTATTGCAGATGTGCCTGCGAATGTGCCGACCATCAAGGACGTTACAGATGCGCTAATGCAGCCCTCCCGAGAACCGCAGTCTCGCAAGAACTCCGTCAGTCATATGGAGAAACAGGTAAGTGCCGCGAGGGCGAAAGGTATTGCTTTATTTATTTGAAAAGCACACGCATTGTGCCCACCATAAAAGCAATTCCCAATTTTGTTCAATCTTTATAGTACAAGTATATGTACAATATTCTTAACCATAACATCGCATTCATTCATACTCTTTAATTTGTTTTTCAAACATTAAACTAAATTCTAACAAAACGCAGTCTAAAATCCATGATTACGAGTATCTACAGGTAAAAATATGGGACTATTAAAACATAAACAAACTTTTCAGTTAAGCATTTTGCTTTAGTATGTAGTTTGAATTGTAAATGTTTCTCCTATACTATATAATAGTCGTTTATTGAACAGTACTCGCTTGTTGTGATCAGTATAAAATTAAATATGTCCATCAAATAAATAAATAATAAGAAAATGAATGCTCGATGGTTTTCGATATAAATGTACTTACAGCAATATAATATTTTTCTTTTTCTCTAAATGTTATTTCTAATAAACCATTTAAGGCATATGATTATATTGAGCGTGTACTGTGTGTTTGCATATTAATCTGCTACTCATTAAACATTTGTGTCCTTCATGTTAAAATAGTTATAGACCGTAGCTGTTGATTTGTATCTGTAGTTTCTGTCGCTTATCTCACCTATTGTTAGTAATGAGTTAAAATTACTCCCACAGGTTACACTCGAAGAGCAGATGATATGCGGCGCCTTGCAGACCCTCAATGAGGAGGCCTTTGAGGATGTGGCCAGCAGCGAGCGTCCCAGCCCCTCCGGCATGCCAACAGGTGAGATGTTAGCTGCAGCTGCGCAACTGCAATTAGCACCCATACGTGAGTCGTCCGAGTTTGGTTCACCGTCTGATGAGCAAAAAATCACCAATATACTGCAATATAATATCAATGCCAACAACAACAACAACAACAGTTCGCAACAAAAGTACCTACAAGGCGACTATAATCGCAGTGCCAGCACCTATTCACTTCAAAGTCTGACCGAGGGCCTGCAAATGCGACTGGGTAATGGACAAAGAGGCAGTACTGCCGATTTGTTGAATGTAGGTGACGGATATCTTGGTGGTGGTGGTGGTGGTACTCTTACTTCTACTAGAGTTAGTGGTGGTGGTTACGCTTTGGTCGCTGAGCCGCGACATCATTCAATGAGCGACGATTTGCTGGCCCATGAACCCATGGTGCCCTACACAACAGTACCCACTGTGATTGTAATACCGAACGGCAATGACAGCGACAAGGTATACGACGATACAAAGTTATAGAAGTGGCCGAAATTGGGACGCGATTGGTTTGAGTTATGATCCAGCTGAGTGCTTCAGATCTCTTACAAGTATAGAACTCTGCGACAAAATCGTGCTGAGGAACCACTAACATATCTCAATGCATTGCTCTTCCAAGTGCTAAAGACCTGTTGCCCCTAGCTTCCTGCTATAAGCCAACGAACTTAGCCGAATTTTAACACGAAACGAAATTTAGGTAGCTCGTCTGACGGTGCCATACTTGTAAAGCAATATATCGTACATGTATAGATAGATATAGTATTACATAAACTGCAGCCAAGTATTAGACGAAACAAAAAAGGCTATACGTAGCTTTGTGACTACAATATGTAAATATATACATACAAGTATATGCATATTATATACATATTTATAAACATTCTAGTACTTTTGTGTAATTTCATGAGTTTTTATATAAACAGTCACAAACATAGTTATTAACATTCCTAATAGTGGATAGTATAATGTATCCACCTACAACCTAGAACAAACGAAGTTCAGAACCGTATTTTTATAATTTGGCTTTGGCTTAATTTGTAAATCCACTGCGCACTTTATAAACGTTAAGGGAAAATTATATTACTTTTGCGTTTAAGTACTAAACATTTTGCACTAACAGAGCTGAAACTGTGAATCGTTAAAATAATACTAAATGCTTTTTATTAGTTGACAAAGCCGAAAAAATAAAATATCATTAAGCACATAGCTGGTTCATCGTTCATTCTGCATTGACGCTTCTTACCGTTTTTGTATTGGTTTGCAATCGATTTGAGAACTGAGCCCATACTAAAGTTCTAACATGTGTTTACTAATTACAAAACATGGTTTTAGTGCTGCTGGACATTGTTTAGTATTATTATGGTTAAATATTAATGTTAATTGCATGCTTTTTCGAAATTAAATAGTAATAAGTGGTAAATCAAACATTTTCAAAACTGTGGAACTACCAACAATGGAAACAACTAACAAGCGTTACATTAATGACTAAAAATAAATTTGAATAAAAAACATTGCAAAACCTGTTTTAAATGCATTTTATTGTAGCGTTGTATTTATCAATTTTTTAAACATTTTATTTGGCTGCTAAATGGGTGCAGGTGCTTCAATAGCTTGGATTTACTAATTGGTAGTGGGAAGTTAGTTTATTTTTATCTTTAAACAAAAATTGCATGTGCTTCGTTGCTTGTCCCCAATACAACAAGTCAGGCATACGTGTGTCTTAGAATTCAGAAATTTATATAGATTTCCCAAAAGACATGCTGACAAATTGTAAAATCTGTTGACCAGACCATACCATGTGTGGAAATTCCATGGCATTGTAGGTATAAAATGAATCTCATATAAAGCAACATCTGCTTACCATAAAATATTTTGTGTGCTCATCTTCTTGTTCTATGTATACCAAAACAGCTAAGAGAACTTAGTTAATCCTATTAATAATGTGCCCTTTTAGACCTTGATAAGACAAGTGCTGGTGCGGTATTGACCTCGGCACTGCTTCAAGCTTCACCCATGCAGCAGAGAAGGGATTCTATACTGAAACAACAGGGCAGCGTCAAGTCGGAAAAACGTGTATCGATTAAACCAACACCTAGCAGCAGCAGCATAGCCAACAACAACAATACTAAGTTGACACCGAATGTTGAGTATGTTTCGGAACGGCAAATGGATTTGGCAACAGGCAGCAGCAGCAGCAGCAACAACAACCGCCTTTCCACGAAGCCACCAGCAGGCGAGTGTTTTCAAAACTTTGATTATCCAGCGCTCCTAATTTAAATCGACAATTATCATTATAGGTCCTCGACCAGCCTCACTCATCATTACCAAAAGCGATGCAAGCCCGCAGTTTCAATTGTTGCGGTCATCATCCGTAGACTATGAGGATGTTGAGGCACAGCAACATGTGGCAATGGGTGGTGGCATTAGAGCCACATTACTGGAGCAGCAAGAGGACGAATCTGCGCCATTGGTTTTCACCGTGCGTAAATGATACGCTGTGTGCCGGAGGAGTAACTAGGGTAGCTAATTATGTACTTAGTGCCAGCTTCAATGTAAGCTAAATAATTTATACTTGTAGATGAATCTTAGACGTTACTGCACAGTTTTAATAATAGAAAGTCGTTAAAAGAGCTGTTTTATGCTCAGCTTTATTGTTACAAATTAATCTTTACCTATTTATGTATGTATGTATGAATTTAACATTACAAAAAGTGAAAAAAGTGAATTAAATGTTGTGATCTAGCAATGCTGAGGACCACAATAACATATTAATTTGGTACAATTTGAGATTCTGTAAAATTGATTACATTTTTGTCTTTTGAGCTTCGAGACTTGCACAGTAAAGTACTAAACTATTCAGCTATTTCGTTCTGGTGAACGTATGAGGCTTAGAGCAGGATGCAACAGCTTGTACAGTTTACCAGCGGAAGCAGCATTCGGCACGGATTTGCAGAGCGCCTGCAGTGTATACATGACATTTGCCTGAAGTTGTGTCATTCGTGTCTCGTCAAAATCGGGATTGCTCCAAAAAGCACTACTGGATTCAAGTCTTGCCTGCACTTGTGCATCCTTAGTTCTGATTTCCGTTTGCGTAGAAGCGTTTGCCGATAAACTGGTGGTGAAATCATCCATATTGGATGAGTTTGCATTGGCCGCTGCCCGTTCCTTTAGTTTTAGAATTCTTTGCGATAACTTGGTGCTGAGCTGCAACTCTTTTAAGCGGGCTGCATCGATGCCCGTTAGGCGTAGTAGCTCTGTGGTGGCTGCTGGCAGTTCCTCAAGTCCCCATTTTGCCAGACTGAATCGCTGTCCCGCAATTGAGTTGAACTTATACATCACGTTGAAGTTATTGCAAATAGGCGAAGGATTCTCGAAAATACCTTGATTCATGTAGGACTTGCTTTCGGGCAATTTGCTTATGGTGTCTACAACAAGAAACTCCGTCTCCGGTGCCTTTGTTGACTTTAGACGAATGAGAGTGAGTAATTTTGTCACCCGTTCTACCGCCAATGCGCGTTTTTCTCTGACAGTTAGCGGTGCTGTTGGCTGGGTGGGGGGTCCGTCAAGTAAATTGTCCAGTTTTCTAAGTTTTACGGTTAGCTCACCTTTTGGAGCGGGCAAGCACAAATCAGAATCATTGGTATGGTCATTTTTAGGAATGGGTATAAGGTTAAGGCCACTTGAAGATCTTGGATCTTGATAAAATCTAGAATTCAGATTATTGGTATTTTCATCTTCGCTGCTATGGCCACGCATACGCTTGTGATTCTTCCGACTAAGATCAGGACTGCGGCTTCGACGGCGTTTTTTACGGCCATCTTTTGTCTTGCACTTTTTGTTTTTTTTAGAAGTTATTTTTTTCAATTTTTCCAGTTCCTTATTTCTTTGCTTGTATAATGCTTCTAGAGCGTCATCATCAATAATTTCACCCTCCTCTGGAATCTTAACACTTTCTTGAGGCACTTCTGATACCTGTACAGGCAATAGATCCATATCATCCAAATCCTCTCTTTTGGCAAAAGAATTGTTGATCGGCTCAAAGCTGATACCATCTTCTATGAGGCTATCAAAATAGTCATCCGGCAAGCCATCCACTTTTTCAACCTTTTGAAGGGGTATTTGTGGGATTTTGGCATCATTATTATGTCCATTTCTATTTGTGGCGTCGTTTTCCAGTCGAAGAGGTGGTGGCTGAGCACCGTCTTCATCGCTATCCCAACCTGCACTACAGTGGACAGTACCAAGTTCAGGTTCTACATCACAGTTTTGGCCCCCAATTTCCCCCACGTACGGCGGGGTAACAATGTTGTCATCCGGATTCGCTATCTCGCTTTTAACTATTGCTGATGGGCTTTCACCAAGTTCACGTTTACAAAAGTCTCCCATTCTCCGTCAATCCTCTAAAGAACCAGTACGCCGTGAATACGTGTGAAAAATTCCGACGCACTTCGAAGAACTGGCAGTGAAGTAAAAGAAAAAAACGCATTTTCTTTTTTAGGCACATTTTAAAACAGTGAGGATGTGGCAACGCTGGTAAAACAGTGATAATATCGCAATATTAATTTAAATTAATTTGTGCAAATATTAACCACAGCCTCAGAAGATTAAAAATAACCTTCTTTCGAAAATTGCAAATGCACATTGTATGCATTTTTCAACTTTTATATTGGTAATAAAATATGTACATACTACGTACACATACATACATACATGCAGATGTACATTCTTCTAGTATGATGTTTGTATGTTTCAAATGTCTTTTGACTGGGTACAAGTACTAGTGGCGAATACATGGCCCAAATCATTAAATATCCGTTCCAAAATTTGTGTTGAAAGAGTTATGTTCGTTTCCCATAGAATATAAAAAAAATTTATATCAACATTTATTGTGCAAAATTAAATTGATTGCGTAGATATTAGTTACAAACAAATAACCTCTGGTTTATGCAGCTTTAAAATTGTCGACTGAACTGACGAAATTATATAGGCTGGAGAGGGGAGGTAAAAATGAAATAAGTTGGAATAATGAGTCTCGTCAGTGTAGCGCCATCCGGTTGTGAAATTCAGGCGTTCATCCAAACGGACGAACATGTCTAGATCTCAAAAGCAGGCTTAGCCACGAGCTTCTATACATATTTCGTCAACTACTCCAACTATCGTCAAATACTCCAGCGAAAACTGTGAACATATGAACGTAAGATCATTTCTTCCGTTTTATATTTCTCAAATACTTTTGAAACTAAATCAAATGCCAGCGTCATTGATTTTCGAATTATATATACATATGTGTGTATATCATATAAGAATCTGGCTTAAAAAGACTTATTGTTCGATACCTTTTTTGCTTATCATTATTTGGATTCAAATTGGACACCATGGATTGAATTGATTCTATTTGAGTCAAATAGGATTTCAACATCGTAAATATATTTTATAAAAGAAAATTTTGAAGTCCACTTAGGGCTTATACTGATCTCTAATTTTGGACTTAATTGCTACTTAAAAAGAGATTATAATTTTGAAATTGCAAGTCAGTTTCCCGCTCACTGCACACAGCCGCAGAAGATGTCATTGGTTTCCAACAGCCGCTACCGAGAAACCAATGGTACGACGAGGAGTGCCGCGAAGCCACTGCAGCGAAGAATGCCGCGTACAAAAGAACCCTGCAGACGGCGACAACGCGCGCTGTGCATGATGTATATCGGGAGAAGAAGAGGGAGGAGAGGCGGCTTTTTAGACGCAAGAAGAGAGAGCAAGAAAAGCGAGAGCGAGAGGAGATGGAGCTTTGTAGAGACAGGAACGACGCTAGGAAATTTTTCCAGAAGGTGAAGCGTCTAACACAAGGTTTTAAGCCCGCAGCGTCAGCCTGTAAGAACTCGGAAGGAAATCTGGTGGTGGACGGGCAAGCGGCACTGAGACTGTGGAGGGAACATTTCTCCAATCTTCTATCAGGCGAAGATGTTAACAATTCCGCCAGCGGAGATGACCCCACAGAACCGATCGCCGACGATGGTATTGAAGTACCGTCACCTAGCCATGACGAAGTCGAAACAGCCATCCAGCGGCTCAAAAACAACAAATCTGCGGGAGCAGATGGGCTGCCTGCGGAGCTGTTTAAGGCAGGCGGCGATGAGTTGGTAGGGTGCATGCACCAGCTCATTTGCAAAATATGGCTAACTGAAAGCATGCCTGATGATTGGAATCTCGGTGTCCTATGTCCCGTCTTAAAAAAAGGTGATCCCACGGTCTGCACCAACTATCGTGGAATCAGCCTTCTTTCCGTCGCATATAAGGTCATATCAAGCGTAGTGTGTGATAAGCTAAAGCCATTTGCGATAGCACTGATTGGGCCTTATCAGTGCGGCTTTATGCCTGGTAAATCCACCACTGACCAGATATTCACGCTACGCCAAATCCTGGAGAAAACTCATGAGTTTCAAATCGATACCCACCATCTTTTCGTCGATTATAAAGCAGCATTCGATAGCCCGAGGAGGGAACGTGTATATGCCGCACTGTCTGAGTTCGGTATCCCTGCAAAGCTAGTGCGACTTTGCAGAATGACGTTGAGCAACACTCGTAGCTCCGTCAAGGTAGGAAAGGACCTCTCCGAACCCTTTGATACCGTTCGAGGTTTCAGGCAAGGCGATGCCCTCTCGTGCTATCTCTTCAACTTCCTGCTGGAGAGTGTGGTGCGCAAAGCTGGTGTACACCGAGGCGGAACGATCTTTTTTAAAAGCGTTCAGCTTCTTGCGTACGCTGATGATATAGACATTATCAGCCGTACCAGGAGAGGCGTCACCGGAGCATTTGCGGCTATTGAGAAGGAAGCTGCAAAAGTGGGTTTGGTGATAAATGAGAGCAAAACTAAGTATATGTTTTCCTCTAGCAGGGACACGCGGCAACCAGACTCCCAGATCGCGGTGGAAAACTATACTTTCGAAATGGTGAAAGATTTTATGTATCTTGGCACCACCGTCACAGCAACCAACGATGTCAGCCTAGAAATCAAATGGAGATTAACTCTAGCCAATCGATGCTACTTCAGCCTCAGTAGGCAATTGAGTAGCAGAGACCTTTCCCGAAAAACCAAGCTAACGCTCTACAAGACGCTCATCCTCCCCGTGCTGCTTTATGGTGCAGAAGCATGGGTGATATCGCAGACTGATGCAGCAGCTCTTGCAGTGTTTGAGAGAAAGATGCTTCGGAAGATCTTCGGTCCCATACGCGTTGGCGACGACTACCGCATACGATGGAACAGCGAACTGTACGAGCTCTACGCTGACATTGACATAGTCAAGCGAATAAACATCCAGCGGCTAAGCTGGCTAGGTCATGTCGTGCGTATGGAAGAAGACGCTCCAGCGAAAAAAGTTCTCGATGCGGATGTTGGGGGGAGACGACGACGGGGGAGGCCTTGCCTACGTTGGAAGGACCAGGTAGAGAACGCACTTACTACCTGCGGAGTGACCAACTGGAAGCGACGCGCGCGAAGCAGAGGCGCGTGGAGAGCTGTGTTACGTCAGGTCATAGCCCGATAACGGGTTTGAAGACCAGTCAAGAAGAAGAAGAAGAAGTCAGTTTTTAGTAAGCAAAATGTCTTTTCAAAAATCTGCTCGACAGCTATGTATATATAATTTTAATTTGTATTACATACAAATAAAATAAATTTGTAAATAATAATTCAAGACCTGTTGAATTGCAGCCAAAGTAATACTTGTATTATGTGTATATCACGGCAGTCTCGTGATTATATATTGAAATGTACAATGTATATTCTTATGATATTTGTTATATTTTTGTTAACTTAAATTTTTAACCTGTTTGTGTTTCTAAACTTATAGAATAAGTCTACATATCTTCTTTATCTATGTCTTATTAATAAATGTTGTGAAGACTCATAATAAAAATTGTCTTTATTTTTTAGTACAAAAAGCAGTTGCTTGTTTTACCGGCTAGTTTTGCCGGTATATGATGTCGTCATCACTCACACATGCACGGCCATACAAAACCCACTACCATTAGGCACGTGAAGCGCTGCCAGCTGTTTTTTGTTTACAAGCTTTTTGTGACGCCTAAACAGCTGATGCTTACGAATACTTGAAAGGTCACCTTGAGTTTAATAAAATAACCAGACGTGTAGAAATTTTGGTGCGTGCAGTTCGCTTTAACATTTTTGCTGGTAAAGTTAAATTGAAAAATGCATTTAAAAATCATTAATTAATGAACAATTAAACAGTTAATAATAAAGGGACCAATCTCGGAAAAGGCAATATAGATATGCGAACAAATTATTAAGCCATTGGCAATGTGTATCTGTTATAAAAACTAAATATGTATGTATACATATATGTACAGACTTAAATATGCATATGTATGTATATATTCTTGAGATCTGCCAATGAAACTGGCCCCGCAATAAAGTAAATGCACTCAATGAAAATATTTGTTTAGAAACAATTATAATTAGATAATCAGTGGATAAACAAATTTAGTTTTTTAGTTGTGTTGAAATCAAATGGAACTGTGAGCAACAAATTTATAAAAAAAATTTCTTGAAAAATAATTAAAAATATGTATGTACGTACATATAAACTATTTTTGTATGTACAAACAAAAGCAATCAAAGTGTATACAAAAATCTTCAATATGTTTACGCCGTAATAAACAAATGACAGATTTTTATTGAAAGAAATTAAGTCTATTTAAAGCGCACAGATAAGGAAATAAAACTCTCATGGTTGTAAATAGTTCCCGAAATGTTTTATTTTTAGCCAAAGTTATAGTTGATTAATTGTATTTAAAATTGGCGCGTTACTTATTCACGTTTCACCGAAAATTTAATTGATACATACAAATACATAATATGTACGCGAGAGCAAATGTATATACATAATACCGGCAAAACTTGGCATGGGGCCGGAAAACAAAAACTTCCTACTATGTATGTGTGTACAAAAGTATGTTTGCATATGCATATAGTGAGATTCATAATGAAAGGTTGTGAAAGGTTAAGCGGCAATACGGCTGAATGTGAAGATTGGTTAAGGAGCTGATGACCTTTGGAAATGAACTTGAATGAACTTGTTTAATGTCATACTATTTTAAATATTTGACAACTATTTAACTTCAAGTCTATGGTTCTTTCAAATGGTCTTTTTTTATTTTAATTATTTATTTATAACTTAAACTTATAGTTAAAAACAAATACAACTTAAACTAGGTGTTTAGTCCTAATTACAATATAACATTTATAATTTATATAAATCTGTTGGGAAGGTCACTAGGGTGTGACCTCTTCAGGCTCCTTCTCACTATTCTTCTTCCTTCAAATGGTCTAGAATCAGCAAAAAAAAAAATATGAGATTTTCTGATATACTTGATAGATATGAAAAAATTGTTTTGTTGAAATTATGCATCTTAAAGATTTTCCAATTGCAACAAATAAAATGTGTTATTAGATCTACAAAAAAAAGTTGATTGTATTTGTAACAAATGTGTGCCAGGGGCGTAGTTCTAATATAAAAGCTTATTGGGTTCTTGACTACCGTCTCGTCTACCGTTATCGTCAGCTATTAAGCTTTCGTTAGTTTCTTACATACATACATATGTACATACATACATAATTCTAAGCAGAATATCGCATGCGAGAGCTTCGACTCAGTTGCTCGGCAGCCGGCGCCAACTCACAACCAAACCTCGCATATAATTTCTAGCTCGCTCGCAATGCTGGCCGAAGGGTTTAAATGGCTCTACGAGAGCACACGACGCAATCTTCACGTCCTCTTTCACATCTTGATGAGCTATCAGTTCTTTCGCTGGTTCATCGATTTCTATATGCAAATAAAGGCGCCAAATGGCGATTTGCCGCAACAGCAGCATCAGCTCCAACGTCGCTTAGATTTTGATAAGGTGCTGCAGGAAGACGATAGCGGGCACGTGGATGTGGTTGAGGCAACAGTCAAGATTAGTGCAAGGCAACTTAATGCTACAACAACAATGGGGAATGCAGGCAGCAACAAGGCCAAAAAAAGATTATCATTAGAAAAACGCCACAGTGAGGTATGAGAGCTAATTGGGCATAAATAGAAATTGAACGTACTATCAATGTATTGGCATGTCGTGCAATCAAGTAAATAATTCAACATCTATGTATTTATGTATACATACATATGTATGTATGTAATGTTTCTTAGTGCGGTTTTTGCAATAAAAAGACTCGCGACGATGTCAGTTTATGCCATAAGCTGCTCGTGTCCATTACATACGGAGTAACTAATAATCACAATGAATCTGGTAATCGGCTATTTTAAAAATATAAACTATAGATTTGCTTGCACTGTGGTGTTGTAACTGATGTGTCTGTGGCCGTTCTAATCCCGTTGTAATCTAAAGCTAATCTTGACTAAAAATAGATTTGCACATTCATGGAAAAATAATCCGGCGCCGGAATCGGCACCGGCTGGTGGCTAAGCATGCGCATGGCTTGATGACCGTAAACAAGTCAAAACTTTTCTGTGTGGGGTGACATTGACAATTAATTAAAATGAATCGAGTAATTGATTCAAGGTTGGGGCTTTTATTAATGATCGTGCAAATAACTCACATTCTCTCTCATTAATCGCGTACTCGTATTTGAATGCTTACAGATCGGAAGAATGAGCAAGGATACAGAAACGTATAGCATACCCATACGCGAGGGCTCAGATGCAGAGCATGTCCTGTACAGATTGAAGCGCGGGTGCAAGCTGTGTGTGCATCCTGACGCATCCCTGCTAGGTCGTAAGATAGTGCTTTATACCAACTATCCAGCGGAGGGTCAAAAGTTTGTGCGCACAGAGTATCGCACGTTGGATTGGCAGTTGAAGACCGGCAAACAGATAACGTCGTTAGGGCATCGCGAGGTCCGAGTGGTGGACACTGATATCTACAACGAACTACAACTAAATATATCTGGCACATTTCACTTCTACTTCGCCTATGCCGACGGGTAAGTGGCATAACGAAAAGTATACATAAGTCAGTGCAGGATTGGCAGGTTGCTGTCCCGATGTTGCTTTAACAAATCATATAACTGCTAGAAATGTGCATAACTCACATGTTACTTAATAGACTTTTCCCTCCCCAGTGAAGTGGACTCATCCACGCCAGCAAATGGTGCGCTTTACGTACAAGTGGAGCCCACCCTGCATGTAGGACCGGCAGGTGCCCAGAAAATCATACCGCTGGACTCGGTGCGCTGCCAAACCGTACTAACAAAACTTCTAGGACCGTTGAACACGTGGGAGGCCAAGCTACGAGTGGCGAAGGAGTCGGGGTACAATGTCATACATTTTACCCCAATACAGGAGCTTGGCGGGTCGCGGTCTGGCTATTCGTTGCGCGATCAACTTAAGGTCAATTCGCAATTTGCCAGCAAAAAAGGTGCCAAGGTTACATTTGAGGATGTGGAGAAAGTCATTAAGAAGTGTCGTCAGGAGTGGGGTGTAAGTATATCCTTACATACATTCATCATGTATAGAAAAATATTTTTTGTTTTTCCTATGGTAGATCGCCTCTATTTGCGATATTGTGCTCAATCACACGGCCAACGAATCTGAATGGCTGCTGAAGCACCCGGACGCCACATATTCTTGCGCCACCTGCCCGTATCTACGGCCCGCGTTTCTGCTGGATGCGGCGCTCGCACGCTGTGGAGATGATATTGCTGCTGGCCTTTTGGAGCACGTGGGCGTGCCAAAGATCATCGATCAAGAATGCCATCTGGATGCTTTAAAATACCAACTGCACAATGCTTACTTGTCTAAGGTTAATATTCACGAGCTGTATCAGTGCGATGTGATGCAGTACATCAATGAGTTTATGACACAAATGCGGAAGCGCGAGCCACCCAAGAACGTGGCTCGAGAGGCGCGCTTCCAGGAAGTCAAGCTTATACAGGACCCAGCATATCGACGCTTGGGCAGCACAATTGATCTGGAGCTAGCATTGGATATCTTCAATGCTTTCCATGGCGACTGTTTTGATGAGGAATCGCGTTTCCGCAAGTGTGCCGAGAACCTGCGTCATCATCTAGATACACTCAACGAACATGTACGTTCCGAAATCCAGGACTACCTCAACTATGCCATTGGCAATTGCCTCGCGGGAGTACGCTATGAGCGTGTCCAAGACGGCGGCCCTCGCGTGAAGGAAATATCAGAGAAATATTCTGTGTTTATGAAGTACTTCACACACACCGGAACGCTGGGAAAGTCCCTGCAGGAAATCGAAGCAGATATGTATGGTGATGCAGGGGCCTTTTTCATGGCACATAATGGCTGGGTTATGGGCTCAAGCGATCCTCTGCGCGACTTTGCAGAAGAACAACCAGGACGCGCAAATGTCTACTTGAAGCGGGAGCTTATTTCTTGGGGCGACAGCGTCAAGTTGCGTTACGGCCGCGAACCACAAGACAGTCCCTATCTGTGGAAGCATATGACCGACTATGTGGAAACAACGGCTCGCATTTTCGACGGCGTGCGTCTAGACAACTGCCACTCGACTCCGCTTCATGTGGCTGAGTATCTGCTGGATGCAGCACGCAAAATCAATCCAGAACTGTATGTAGTGGCCGAACTATTCACGAATTCAGATGCCACGGACAACGTGTTTGTAAATCGTCTTGGCATCACTTCGTTAATTCGTGAGGCACTGTCCGCCTGGGACGCGCATGAGCAGGGCCGCCTGGTCTATCGGTATGGCGGTGTACCTGTCGGCGGTTTTTACGCTAATCCCGGTCGCGATGTTGCCCCTAGTGTAGCACACGCGCTGTTCCTCGATCTAACACACGACAATCCCTCTCCGGTGGAAAAGCGTTCCGTGTATGATTTGCTACCATCAGCCGCCCTGGTATCTATGGCCTGCTGCGCTACGGGCAGCAATCGAGGCTACGACGAGCTGGTACCGCATCACGTAAGTATTCATGCAACTAAACTTTGATTGCATTTTTAGTTAATAACCTGGTTTTTTCCTGTAATAAGTCTATTCTTAGAGAGTAATGTGTTACTATTATTATTTTTCTAGATACATGTGGTTGACGAAGAGCGACAATACCAGGAATGGGGTAAGGCCGTTGACTTCAACACTGGTATAGTAGCCGCTAAACGCGCATTGAACCTACTGCACGGCCAACTGGCGGAAGAGGGCTTCAGTCAGGTATATGTGGATCAAATGGATCCCAATGTGGTGGCTGTTACGCGCCACTCGCCAACAACTCATCAGACGGTCATCCTAGTGGCACATACGGCCTTCGGTTATCCGCATCCGAACGCCGGGGCGACTTATGTGCGACCGTTGCGTTTCGAGGGCGTGCTTGACGAAATTATACTCGAGGCTGATCTAACCATGAAAAGTGACAAGCCGTTCGATCGTCCGGCTCCGTTTAAAAAAGACGAGCACGTTCTCAATGGTTTTACACAGTTTCAGCTCAGTCTTCGAGAGCATATACCTCTGAGCAAGTCGCAGGTGTTTGAAACAACGGCTCATGTTGATGGCAACAACACTCAGCTTAACTTTACCAATCTGCGACCTGGAACTGTTGTGGCCATTCGGTTAGTGTATTTACATTTTTATATTTCTGATTCTAATTGCATACTTTGCAGAGTCTCTATGCATCCAGGTCCACGCAGCAGCTTCAATCGATTGCAGCAGCTGACAAATGCTCTACGTCAGGTTCCCGGCACCGAATCCGACAGTGCTGAACTGCAGGCGATTGTGTCCAAATTGGACTTAGTTGCCTTAAGTCGCGCTCTCTTCAGCTGCGACCAGGAGGAACGCGATCTGGGCGGTTCTGCCTATGACATACCCAACTTTGGTGCCATTGTCTACTGCGGATTGCAGGGTTTTGTCTCACTGCTTACGGAGATTTCGCCACGCAACGACTTGGGCCACCCATTGTGCAATAATTTGCGCGAAGGCAATTGGATGATGGGTAAAAACACTGCAAGATAATCAGCTCCTTCCAATCTCTTTCTATAATCAATTATTTTATACAGACTACATTGCCGATCGCCTGCAAAATAACGAAACGCTGCATCCGCTCTCAGCTTGGCTAAGAGAGGCCTTTGAGCCTCTTAAAAATATACCACGTTACCTCATCCCCTGCTACTTTGATACCATTGTTAGTGGCGTTTACAATGTCCTATTGCAGCAGGTTAATGAACTGATGCCCAGTTTCATTCGGGACGGCCACAGCTTTCCGCAGTCTCTGGCCTTGTCCACGTTACAGTTCCTTGCGGTTTGCAAATCCGCCAATCTGCCCGGCTTTAGCCACGCCATTAGTCCACCAAAACCACCAGCTCAGTGCGTCACGTTGTCTGCCGGACTGCCCCACTTCTCCACGGGCTATATGCGATGCTGGGGGCGCGACACCTTTATTGCTCTGCGCGGCTGCATGTTCCTAACCGGCCGCTTTAATGAAGCGCGATACATAATCATTGGATTTGGACAGTGCTTGCGTCATGGATTGATACCCAACCTGTTAGACAATGGCACCAAGCCGCGCTTTAATTGTCGAGATGCTGTCTGGTGGTGGTTGCACAGCATAAAGCAGTATGTGGAGTCAGCACCAAAGGGCACTGAAATACTGAAAGATAAGGTGTCGCGCATTTTCCCTTACGATGATGCCGAGGCACATGCGCCGGGGGCCTTCGATCAGCTGCTACACGACGTTATGCAAGAAGCGTTGCAGGTGCACTTTCAAGGTCTGCAGTACAGAGAGCGCAATGCCGGGCACGAGATCGATGCTCATATGGTGGATCAGGGGTTCAACAATCACATTGGCGTGCATCCGGAGACAGGTTTTGTGTTTGGAGGCAATAATGCGAACTGCGGTACTTGGATGGACAAGATGGGTTCTTCGGACAAGGCCGGCAATCGTGGACGTCCTAGCACACCCCGAGATGGTTCCGCCGTGGAGCTTATCGGTCTGCAGTATGCCGTGCTTCGTTTCATGCAGTCCCTGAGTGAGCGCAAGCTCATTCCCCATACTGGCGTGGAGCGCAAGGGCCCGAACGGAGAACAGACAAAATGGAGCTACAAGGACTGGGCAGATCGTATTGAGAAAAACTTTGAAAAGCATTTCTTTGTCACTGAAACGGAAAAGGCACCCCTTGCTAATAAGAAGTGCATCTACAAAGATACCTATGGCGCGTCCCAAGGCTGGACAGACTATCAGCTGAGATGTAATTTCCCCATAACTTTGACCGTGGCGCCGGAGCTATGCAATCCGCAAAATGCATGGCGGGCTCTAGAAGTTGCAAAACAGCATCTTCTGGGACCGCTCGGTATGAAGACCCTTGATCCTGAGGACTGGAACTACAGAGCCAATTACGATAACTCGAACGATTCGACAGATTGCACCGTCGCGCATGGTGCCAACTATCATCAGGGACCGGAATGGGTATGGCCAATTGGTTTCTATTTGCGTGCGCGTCTCATCTTTGCCAAGAAATGCGGCTATCTCGACGAGACCATAGCCGAGACTTGGGCCATACTACGAGCACATCTGCGGGAACTGCGAACCTCGCATTGGCGTGGACTACCCGAACTGACCAATGATCGGGGAGCTTATTGTAATGATTCGTGTCGTACACAAGCATGGAGCATTGCCACGGTATTGGAGGTGCTGTACGATTTACACGCACTAGGTGCCGATATCTAAAGATGCTGCTTCGAGTTTAAACTCTTAGGAGCAAAGTTGTTGTAAACACATTATATACATTAACGCATATACATATATATATATATATATACCCAACCTCGTTAGTTGCTACCAAATTTTGTTATTAATAGTGTTACAATTTATGCTTAGCTATGGAGAATATTTGGAGCCGTAGCTTCAGTCTATCACGATTTTTGCTTCTCTATTAAAGATGATGCTGTTCTAAAATAAATCACTGTTTGTTTGCCTTGCCGAGAACCTAGGAGAAGTAGCTGTCGCGGATTCGTTCCATGCTAGGAGTTTGAGGCGGAACGATTGGCCCACTATTGCTGCGCGGCCACTCACGTCTCAATTCCAAAGCCGGCGATTTCGACTTGGACGTTGACTTGGACCGCTTGCGCGACCTTCGCTTACTGAGCCTCGACTCTTTCTTCTGCCTTATCTCGGGCATCGAAGTTTGCTTCTTTCGCAATCCGTCTCCTTCCATTGGCACGTGAGGGGTCGCTTTCCGCAACTTTTTACATGTATTCTGAAAATATCGGTATGCCTATACTAACTGTATATTTTATTCTTCGTCTGATTTCATACTTACATTACTAGTGTACTTGCTCAAAACTTGTTCTGCCTTGGACACCGTCAATTCGTATGCATTTTGTAGCACAACTTGTTGTACAAAATTCAAAACTATTGACATTGTAGGTTTAGAGGGTTCAAATGAAATGTTTTTGTATTTTTCTTGTTTTGGGCTATTGCTCTAATTTTGACAAATACCAACAAATATGGAAACTTAGACACTAGATGCTATCGTTATTTGGATGTGACTATTACTATGTACAAACATATGTACACAGGCTTATACAATATATTTACATTAATAGAGAATCCATATGTAAATATCATACAATAATAAGGGATTATACGGTTTGATAATTTTACATAGGACGATTGGTATTCCCAACTGTTATGGTTAACAAAATCTGGATGCTCTTCAGACGGCTAAGTCTATATCGACTCTGATTTGGATACAACGTTTTTACATATTCGCGTTGTTTTGTTTTGCAAACAATTTTCTTCACTTTAGCCTAATCCTTCGTATTCTCTCAGTACGAATATAAGACTTGAAATGTACAAAAATTGCGAAAATTTATTTTTTTATTTTTTGGGAAGAAAGTTTCTATTGCGGAAAAATATACATTGTATGTGTCTATGTACATAAAGCTTTGCATTTACTGCATACATATGTATCTACTATAAAGTGTAAAAACTAGAATTAGAAATATCATCTTTGTAAATGAAATACTTTATCATACTTAAGTTTAATATTGGTAGGATTGGTTGGGTCAGACCTCTTGCTTTGCACTCGTTTCATCATCATCGTTGACGGACTTCAGATCTCGTCCAATATTTTCGATTTGTAAGCTAATGGCTGCGGCGCTATTCATCACATTAAGATTGGGCTCACGCAGACAATTTTCATTCGTGTCTCGTTTAATGCGTGCTGATGGATGTGGTGTCGTTGTCTCTGCCCTCCTCATGTGTAGCAGCTCCCGACGTATGGCCTCCACATTTTCCACATCGCTGGTTTTATTTGTCTTATCAGCAGGCATCGCCTCTGCTGCCGACTCTTTTGCCACATCAGTCATAGTACCATTGGGCTGCGATGCATTTCTTAAAAGGGCCAGGGGTAGAGGTAGGCGTTGCGCCATAGCTGGAACGTCAATACTGGCATTTTTTAATAGTTCGCCAGTTTTATAGGATAGTGGCTCATAGACACCAGCGTGGGCTTCCTGTTCCTCGCGCGCATGTACATTTTCCGTAAGCAGTTCTATTAAGGAAGCCTTGGGTTTTGGCTCAACGGCTGGAAGAACAACCGGCTGAGCTACTGGTTGGGCTGCAGGCTGAGCTGCTAATTTAGCATCTGGTTGAGCTGCTGATGGAGCCACTGGTTGCAGTGGTGACGCCGCGTCTTGTGGAGCAACTGGTTGAGCTAATTGCTGGGCTACAACTGGTTTAGCTACAAGTGGCTTTTCCGGCTCCGGCCCGTCTTTTTTGACTTTGCGCTCAATTTCTTCAACTTTTTCAGCGACTTCATTGAGCTTTTCTGCAACCAGATTTTTTGCCTCTTGATTTTGTTTGGCTAGTTCTTCCTTCAACTCATCAACAGTGCGCTCCAATAGCTCTTTGGTCTTCTTTAACTCGTTTTGCGTTTTACGCAGCTCTTCGGCATTGGCTTTGCTCTCCTTTTGCTCCTCGGCGACAATTTCTTCCTCCTTCTTGATGGCAGCCCTATCAATCGTCTGTTGCGTTGGAACGTTTATAACCAGTGGCTTTTCTGGAACGGAAGACTCAACTGCAATGGCACCTGCTTCTACTAGGGATTTGTTATTGATCGAGTCCTTAGTGCTAACTAATGGCGCAGCAGCATTATTTGGTTTTTCTGGTATCTTAGAATTTGTCACTACCGAGGGCGGCAGAGAAATACTGCCAGAGTGCGTCTCATCCACGGGTAAGGGCGGTAAAGGTACTCCAGATTTTTTGAGGGCAGCGGGAGAATCTTTTAATTTCTCCTCAGTGTTTATATTGTTATCCTTCACATCCATGTTCTTGAGCTCCAGCTTAGGCATATCTTGTTTTTCAGGTTTCTTTTCTGGCTCTTTTGCCAGGTGTTTAAGCAATTCCGAATTTCCAAATTGTAGTTCCAGTGCTGGTTTACCATGAGGCAGTAACGGCGTTACCACTTGCTTGACATCAAATTGCGGCCCGGAGCTCTGCTCGTCAATGGCATTTAAATTGGCATAGGTTCCAAGTATCATCAAACAAAAGCCACCGACAAAGATAAACTGAGCGAACGTACGTTCGGTCGATTCTTTTTTAATAATTTTTCGAAAGCTTGAGGCGGGAAACATAATGCATATAGCAACGCCAATTGTGGACCCAACCAATCCAATGATTAGCTCCACTGAAGGTATCACTAGTGCAATGCAGAGAGAGAAGCCCACAATAAACAACGTAATGGCACGAAATCTCTGCTCTGGTATATAATTGGTGGCATCCACGTGCCCCTGCTAAACAAAATAAATAGATTAATGTTGATGGTACTTCATGACATTATAAATCTTTTTGATCACCTTGCGATAAAGCAGAGAGTATATGCTGGCTCTGCATGGAAATATGACCAAAGGGAAGCTAAAGGCAATTGACAGCACAAAGCCGATTTTGATTATGTCGCTTCCAAAAGAAGGCGATAGATTGACCAAGATGTTTCCTGCAAAAACAAAAATGGTTCAAATTATATGTTGGTTAATGCCATGTAACTAAAATGTATATTTTGATAGTATGAATCAGTCCTACTAAGGCTATATAATTAAAAAATTTAGCTTTTTTAATAACTATAATTCAAATGGATATGCAATAATTCAACAAGTTATGTACTCAAAACATAAATTGTGCAATCTAGTGATGCTGCTATGTTTACTATGTTTTGTATGTAGCTTGGATTAATACAATCTTAATATTAATATCTACTTACCCGAGAAGTTGTGTGTGCAAAAGGCTACATATCCAAAAAATCCGACCGCAATATAAACAAGAGTACAGATCCAGGTCGCGTTCGTAACAATTCCATTAAGCTTCTCTAGACTCTGATTATTTATGCTCTCAAATACCTCGAATAGTTGCCTGCAATACGTTAATTCATATAACTACTATATCACGTGAAATTATGTGTTTTAATTGTGCCTACATTTGACAGGAGAGCGCCATACTGAAAATTGGCAGGCACTGCAGCACCCCCGCTGGTTCCCAATACACAACTTTATCCGTCCAATCGTTATCCAAAATGTGCGTCTCCGACTCGAGCACGATTTTCAGCATCAGACACACATAAAAGCCAATCGAAGCTGTGCACAAGACCGATAGGCTATCCACATTTCGCAGCATACCCAGTGGTGCAATGCAGAGCACGGTGACCACCAACATGACTATAGTGCGTAGATGTGCGTGCTTGGCAGTGTCCAGTGCAAACATTTTTGATACGATTTGTGGACCCAGATCACCTACAACTACAAAGTAGGTGATACAAGTGCCAATTAGATAGCCAATGATGCATAGTTCAGCGAGTAGTTTGCCGGAAGCACCGAATGCGTGCAGACCAAGCAACTCAAAGCTTTTCCGACGTGTCAGCAGCGACGTTTTGATGAGATAGTGGCAGCACACGCGCGTAATCCAATTGCTAAGCACGAGCAGTACGATGGACAGTATAATACCGCATTTCTGTAGCGAAACAAAATATGTATTTTACTACATTAACTGCTATTAAGCGCAAAAAAATTCCTTTTACCTGAAAGCAAAATGGCATGGCCAGTATACCAACGCCTATAATGCTGTTGGCCAATGTCATTACATGACCCGAGTACGAGAACATTGTGCTTTATACGTATGTATGTAATTCTAAGTAAACCGAAAAGGCGCGTCCGAAGTCACTTTCACTTTATGAAGATCAATGAGCTAATCGAATTTGCACATGCAAATGAATGCACGAACTGGTTTTGTGGGTGTCTCACTAGGCCATTATCGCTGAATACACTAAAAAAAAGTGAGCAGGTAAAACTACAGGCTAAAAATCATGACAATAGAAAGCACTTACCTGCATTTCAGAGATAACGGTGCCTTCTTATCTTCATTTAAAAACAAGAAATGAACACCGAAGTCATGAAAGCAATTAAAATAAAACGTCGATTTTCAGCGGAGAGGGTGATACGAGCATTAATAGGTGTTGTTGGTGATTGTTTAGCTGGAAGTCATATGCAATTCTGCATAGCTCCTCTGCATTTTTACGGCGGAGTTTTTTAAGCGAGTTCTTTTGGAAACGTCACCATTGTTTGGCAAACAACATAAAACAGCTGTCGACACAGCTGCAGCTGTTTACATCGTAATATGGTTGCCACTTGCGAGAAAAGAATTCGCCACATTTTCACAGTGTTGCAAAACTTTAAAATACCAAAAACTAAAGGTCAAAAACTAAGTGACAGCACTTAACGCTTTTCTTTCCGTTCCGTAAACTACAAGCGTCAAGATGGCCGATGTAAATAATTTTGCAAAAATCTGGGAATTTATTTGGCATCCGTGCATGAATTGTTGAAATGTTGTTACTAGGAAAGCGTGCAACATAGACTGCACGGCTGCAAATATTATTTTTGGATTTTGTGTGATATTTTAGTTGAAAAAGGCTGCGAGAAATGTACACTAACAATTGTTTGTTTTATTTTCGCATGAACAGCAAGTCGATGAAACTCTTAAGAAGAAGCGTACCTTCAAGAAGTTCACCTACCGCGGTGTTGACTTGGATCAGTTGTTGGATATGCCCAAGTAAGTAGACAGCATGAGTTGCAGCGGTGTCCCACGAACTAACCTCAATGCTCTTTTATTTGGCAGCAATCAGCTGGTGGAGCTGATGCACAGCCGTGCCCGTAGGCGTTTCTCGCGCGGTCTGAAGCGCAAGCCTATGGCTCTGATCAAGAAGCTACGCAAGGCTAAGAAGGAGGCACCACCAAATGAGAAGCCCGAAATCGTAAAGACCCACTTGAGGAACATGATCATTGTGCCCGAGATGACCGGCTCCATCATTGGTGTGTATAATGGCAAGGACTTCGGCCAGGTGAGTTGTCACACAAATTTTCCCGAGCGATAATAGTAATCTGTGAATGTTGTCTTTTTAGGTTGAAGTTAAGCCTGAAATGATCGGCCACTACTTGGGCGAGTTTGCACTGACCTATAAGCCCGTTAAGCACGGTAGACCCGGTATCGGTGCCACCCACAGCTCTCGTTTTATTCCACTTAAGTAAGCAAGAGCGCCATCATCAAAAGGAGTTTACAAAGCTACCAACATTGTGCGCACGGCTTGTTTTTGGATTTTTACGCATAATAAAGGAGACGTAATTTTTTAAGAACTCAACAGAATGCACAAATTCATTTATCTCGACAATAGCCTCCACAAAATCCCCACGAAACAGTAAAAAGCGTTCATTTTAAGAAATGTATATATATAAGTTTAGTTAAGTTTATTGGAACTCGCAAATCATGTTAATGCACGAAAAATAGATTTGTGCACTTGGGACAGCGATGCATGAGTTATCTTCGCTTGCGGGCGCTGTTGCTGTTGGTGACCACTACGCGGTCGTAGGCCGTGTCCTTGGCGCTGTACTGCTGCCGGATGCCATTGTCGTTATGCGCGCTGCCTGTCATGGTCTGGCGTGCCATGGAGCTTCTGTTCGCTTCGCTCACATCTGTTGATCCGTAAGCGCTGTCTTTGACTTGAGAATCATTTTGTTGATGATTAAAATAGTTGGTAGACGAAACAGCCGTACTGGCTTTGGACAGCAGGGGAACTTGTGCAAGCGTTTGGAAGGCGTTAGTCAAGCCAGTGAACGTCACCGTTTTTGCATTGTGATTAGGTTTGGTGCTGTTATCTATTATTGGTGGCGCCACAAAGAAGGAGCTGCCATTAGGCGCATAACCGCTCTGAATTTGTTGTTGCTGCAGCAGCTGCTGCCTGCCTAGGTTATTGGTGTTAAAAGTGGCATAGACGGCGGAGCTGCTGCTCGTGCTGTCAATGGCTGGCATGCTGGCATACATTGCCGCCTGCACGGAATCGGACTTGGAACGCTGCAGAATGCTTTTAGTTGAGCCGCGGGTGCCTACTCCAATCGAGTTCTTTGGGGAAGTGAGTGGCGGTGACGGAAACGCGCCCATTGGCGGATTGGGTGTCAGTAGCAGTGGTGACGCATCATGGTCAGTTAGTAGCAAATTTCCGCTGCTTAGCGACTGATTAAGGATGCCAACGCTTGATTGCGACCTGGCCTGCTCACCTAGCCGATTCAGTTCCACATCCATCGAGTTGTACATGGTCAAGTTGCTGGCGAGGAGGTCCTGTCGGGAGCCTAGTGTAAGTAAACTGTCAGCATTGTTGAGTGTGGATGTAGTGCTGTAATTCGAGTGTGTGGCCATGCCCATTTCGCTGGGACCTTGTTGCAGTGCCCCCGTGCGTGGATCAAAGTGCTTCTGTGTTGCATCTTTCAGGGTGTTTTTGATCTCTTTGGGCTTCTCAGGGGGTGGTGGCTGACGTATGGAGGAGATATGGCCGGGAACGGGCCCGCGAGATATTGATGAGGGCGGTGAAGCAGAGTTTGTCTCCTCGTTTTCCTCCTGTAAGATGTCATATATTAAAACTTTTGTATATTTTACTATTATTAAGCCAGCGACCTCATCTTCTTCTGTAATTATAGAGGATTCTATCCAGTCTCTGATGCGATTCTTCTTAAGCTGTCGATCAACATTTGTCTCGATCCCGCAATCGGCCAAAGTATACAGCAAGCGGTTCTTCTCATCAGGGCTACTGTGAAATGAATACATAGAGGGACACAGTTCGTCCGTCTCGTATTCGGCCATTTCCTTTTCTGCCGTTTTCGCGAGCCAGCGGTCGTCCACAAACTTGGTCAAGTCACCCAGACTCTTTGGCCGACGATCTGCGCGGGGCTCCAAGAAGCGCTTAAACATGCGTTGAGCACGCGTAGTAAGCAACTTAAACAGCTTGGGAGTGCGTCTGATCATCATTATGCTAGCCTGCCAGGATATATAGCGCACATAGCGAGGATCGTCAGCAGCGGCCTTCTGCCACGGTAAACAACCAGTAAGGCATACAAAGAGGACAATACCAAATTGCCATACATCGTGACTAGGATCGGCTCTGTAGGATGGGGAAATGAGCAAATATTCAATGGCGAATCAATGTCTTACTCACTTATAGGTACCCTCCGGCTTTACCTCTAATACTTCTGGTGGACTGTAAGGCAGCCATTCGTTGCGCCGCTCAACAACGGTGCCAGCTTGGAACGACTCACCGAAATCGCAAAGCTTAACACGTTGAAAATCCGACCGGTATATAAGCACATTATCTAGCTTGATATCGCGATGCACAATGTCTCTAAAGAAATAGGGCGATGCATATACAGTAGTGTAATTATTTAAATACGTATACTTCTTATCATAAGATTAAATAAACACAATTTGGTATGTATTTTAGTCTGATCCATGGGCGGGGTTTTAAAACAATGACTATTTTTAGCATCGTTGTTAAAGAAACGGGCATAATATTTTAAAGACGTTTTAACTTTTTTAACTGCTCCACATTTTATTTTTTGGTAGAGAGCCAAAACAGCCACTTTTGTGGGTATTGATGAGATGAGAGCTCTGATTCTATCCCACTCTAACATTAAACATTTTTTGCCAAATACAGTATATTTTGCTTAGTTGCTTCTCATACTTTGCACAGGCTTTTGGGGCAGCTATCCTAAAAATGCAGCTAAAAAACTTAATTTTGTAAGTACAATTTGTATCTCTTGCGGTTTGTATATAATATATAAAGTTGTGTAATTTTATTGGTCCCAGTATATGTATATATGTAAATTTTTGCAATTTCAATAAAGGACCATATTTTTCGACTGAGCTTCTTCATTCATTCATTTTTTTCACCCATTTCTATAATTTAACAATTAATAATGTATGTATGCACTGAAAAAGAAACGATCAAACAAATAAACGGTAGTACAAATAAAATATGTACACATTGCCATTTTAATTGAATATAAAGAGACTAACCAATTTCCAAAAAATGTTTCACAGCTAAATTATTTAATATTGATTGAAAATTACAAAAAATGTCGACGATATGAGGTGGTTAAGTCCAAAACTGTTTCCTTGAATGCACCAAACGTAATTATTTTCAACACTTAATGCTGCCAAAGGCAAATTTCATGCAGCTACAGTATCTTGCCGATGCAGCCAAGTATCGGGGCAGCTAAGCAAATTATACTGTAGTATTTATATTTCAAAATCTTGTTTGTCTGCTTATTAGGATTAGCGAAGACAAACTGGAATCTTGTTTTAAATCAGTAAAACATTGGTAGTGACACATCGATTATATTTCGTATGGCTGGTATAAAACATCACAAATCTTTTTCTAAAGCATATCCTAATAACTTTTGATATCTAAGGACTTGTTGCGGTCGGTTATCTGTGCAAAGACATGTAACAAGACAACTAATCCCTTAATTGAAATACTCACTTTGAATGCATGTAATCTATGGCCGAAGCTAACTGTTTAGCTACGCGTTTGCTGTACACCTCCCCTACGCCCGTCTCGGTTACATTTGACGTTAGATCACCTGTAATGGGATGGTCATTTGAGTTTATGGTTGCATAGCTAGCTAGCTATTTACCGAGCGGCGCATATTCCTGCGTAAAAACATAAAAGCCGGCAGTTTCGAAGGCCACATCATACGTGGTTACAATGTGCCGGTGCACTCCCAGGTGCAGTCCATAGTGGAATTCACGATAAAAATCACGCAATGTGACATAGGGTTTTGGGACCGCCTTAAGCACCATTTCCGTCTGGGAGCCCCGATGCTCGACAAGCAAAATTTTGCCGAACCAGCCCTCTCCCACAATCTGTATGATGTCGAACTCATCCACCAAATGTATCTGTTGAATAGAACAAATAGGTGATTATATACATATGTGTTTAGTCATTAAATAATTGCTCTATTTTCCCCATGTAACTTGCTTATACCAATATGCCCGGTGACAGAGGGTCGCTGGTGCACGATGAAAAGTTTATTGGCTTGCTGCCAATCATGAAAAATGTTGTCTAAACACAAATCGCTTGTCTGGCCTGTTTGTTTTTCCTTGCGCTCTAACACAAATTTTCCAATTGCTCGAGGCACGGCGAGTTAAAAGTCTTGTAAGGTTGCGCTTTTCGGTTTTTATTTGCTCATGTGTATTTTAATTTGTGGATTTTAAATTAGCTCTATAGATTGGCGATAAATATGAGCAATATGCGTTCGACACTTTTACGGTTTGACACCTGATTTTGCGCAGGAAAAAAATTGAATAGAAACCACCTGTTTGGTGGCCACGTGGAAGGTGCGGTTACAGAACACAACGAAGGCTACTAGTATCAGGGTTGATAGCTTACTGGCAACATGAGATATTAGTATTCAAATACCTCAAATTCCTCGTAGGAAGATAATGCGCAATGAAAGTTATTTTAAATACAACAGCCAATGGTTCCTTCTAATAATTAATTCGAATAAGCTACTAGTATATTAAAAAAAACTGCTACAGATTGTTGTGAAAATTATTCTTAACGTTAATTTACTAATAAACATTAACTATATCGTGAGTATTTAACAATAAGTTATCTTTTCAGCAAAAATATAATAAAATTTTAATAAATTTTGTTTAAATCAAGAGGAAAAAAATGTTTGTAAATTGGACGCTCTTGTAAATTAATAGCTTCCCTTTTCAACATAGTTTATACTTGTACAAATATAACTCTTAATAACGACCAATCTTCTTGAATTCACTTCCGTGGATTATGACGAAGCTTAATCGTATTAGATTTGCTTTGACTTCTTAGGAATTGTTATGTTTATGATTAACCTATTAAGTTATTTTAAAGGTAAAAGGGTATTCTATAATGTCTAATTTACAGTCAGAAAGATGTTCAAGTCCTAAAAAGTATACATATTCTTGATCCTTATGACGAGATGTGTTGATGTCTGCAAGAACGAACGCAAAGAACTCGAAAAGTGTAACAGCCAGAATAATAATACCGGGTATTCATATTGTTCGCAATGCAAGAGTGGGGGGAGTAGTGAGCAGGTAGCAGGAAGATTGTAGGCCGGAAAAAAACACAAACTTAGGAAAATATGGTATTTGGTGAATCTAACCCTTATACTATCTCAGACCCTTGCGTTCAAACACACGGATGAGAGGATAGACGACAGGATCGACTGTAATGGCTACATCGACTGGTTACGCCATACTGATCAAAAAAATATATACTATTACTACTAATTGTGTAAAAACTTCTTGCCTTTGGGATACCGAATTCTAAATTATACTTAGAAATTGAAATTATAGGGCTTACAAATAAAATGAACTCTTTTTTGCTCTATGAATTGCAAAAAGTTAGCTGATCTTCGGATAACTGTGCCTCAAACAGCCTGACGTTTTATTATATATTATTTAATATAATATTTATTATTATTATTTCCTAGTGCGACAAGAAAAATTCTTAAAAATTACTTAAGAAGATTTGATTAACCTCCTTAACGTATTTTATTAAATTTAGAGTTGTATTTAATGTATTATTTATTACTTCGATTATTTTATATTGTTAGTTTCTTATTTTTTTAGAACAAATTTAATTTTCCCCTGAGTTGCTCGGTTCAAAATGTTCACAATGCTGCTGGAAGTTGCAAATTAATATGGCCTTGGTCTTAAAACAGTTATCTTGTTGCAGTTTAATTAATCGTTGAACTGCTTTTGATTTGTGCGCAAGGAAGTACATACTTGTAGTTTGAATACATAATTTAGGTACACATTAGCATACATTTTATATTTACCTTTTCCAACTCGAATTCCCGTATTTTGTGTATATGCCCTCGAGGTTTTTTAGACATTTTGATGCTGATTTGTAGCTCGCGTACGTAGAGTTGTAGTTTTTGTTAGAATTTAGTTTTTTATACAAATATGCGTATATTATCAATTAGAACTGTTCACATCACTGAACTTTTTTGTATTTCATTCACCATGATTAGGCAAATTATGCAAATTACGCTTTAATAAACGATTTCCTCTATAAAACCTATGAACTTAATTATAAATTCATTTGCAGAAACTGTCACTGCCTGCATTGTTCAACTACACGGCGGGTCGAAAGAGGGGTGGAGCGGGACAAGTGAACATTAATAGAAAATACATCAAGTTGAATAAAACCCATGCAATATTCTTTGTCTTTGCTTCAGACGCGCATTGTAAATATTTATAGCGGCACAAGAAGACAATACTGTGTAAAGTATATTGCCGCTTGTCGTTCGAGCATTGTATCTTACTTATTTATGTATGCACTTGCTAGTTACAGATGCAAAACAAAAAGCAGAACGTTGGAATTGCAGGCCAAAATATGAATTTGCTTACATCTCCCTGAAGCTTCAAAGCAAGCAGTGAAAATTCGCGCTAAATTTACGCGCCCATTGTTTGGGAGAGTGTGCATTGCCTTTTTAATGGACTTTACTTCCTGAAAGAATGGTTGGTGGCTAGCTATAAACAAACCGAAGGCATCGACTTATAATGGTTTCATGAAATTCTCGCTCTTTTTTGAACAGCTGCTGAACAATACATGGGTTAATTAATAGATTATCAGCTTAAGTTCAATGTTACTTTGGCGCCAGTTTTTTTTTTATTTTTAGCTTGCACTTATTTCTGCGGTAGGTAACATACAAGTTCGCTCTCTACTTTGCTTGCACTTAATTGAATTGTAGTTGTCTAGATACATATTCACGTTTAGTACATAAGTATGTATGTTCTTGTAGGTATGTATAAGAATATACGATTTTCTCATTATTGTAACATGTTAGCGAATTTTATCTGCTTCGGCAACTGACCAGCAAACATGCTACCAGCCTTTTCCTAGTCCGGCCTGGGTCCGACCGGGCCGACATCGCCAATCGGCTGGGAGCACGTTAAACACGCGCCATAGCCGACTGCCTTGCCTGCTTTTGATGTTTGTCTGTTGCTCTTCTTCTATGGCTATTTTTCTTTCACTTTTGCACAGCATCAACGGCGAAATTAAAAATAATGCGCGTTGCCTCTTATATAAAAAAAAAGAAAAATAAGAAATGCTCGACTATAATGGTCAAAGAATTATAGGGGAACTCCGACAAATTATTAACACGTTTACGTTCAATTTATTGCCGTCTTCAGACATAGATAGTGACATTCCGCATACGCACTGTTGCACACTTACAGCCCCATAAGCACAATTCCATAGAAATTTCGCAAATTGTTAGTTTTTTGGCTTCTTCTATTTATAAATGCGATTCTACTGCGCCCCAAACCACCAATGCGTGCAAGTTTTCGCACAGTTTCACGGATTCTGTGGCCGCATCCGACGGATAATCGTTGCCAACTGCCGGGAGCAGCTGTCTGGGTGCGGAGCTTCTTAATTCTGTTCTCACTCTTTTATCGCTCTCTTCTTCTCTAAACGTACATATGTATACAAGTATAAATTTCTCTCTATTGAATGTTTAAAAAAAGATTCTTCTTTTGTTTATGCTGTTTTCATTGGATTATTTGAACGTTTTCGAAACATTTGGTTTGAGCAGCTTTCGAAATAATCAAATGCTTCGCCTGAGCAGAGAGTTTGAGAAAGAGAGTGTTTGAACATTTTCCGCCATGATCTTTCAACAGTTTGACACACAAATTTCTCGAAAATTTATTATATTTCAGTTTATGGCAATACGTATGTTTGCATGAGTATGTGTGTGTGTGTATGGCCCATTTTTTGACTCATATGGACCAAAATTGTTGCCCCCTGCGGCAAATTATTATTTCATTCGGTTCGCTATATATTATGACTGGGCAGACGTGTGCGCCAGACGCTGTTTGTTATTGTTTTGCGGGCATGCGGTTAATGTACACATACTTGTACAAATACACCAGTTTTTAAAACATTTTAAAAACAGCAACACACCATTTTGAACATGTTGGTAAAATAATAAAGTAATTTAAACTTTTACAATTTATCACAATTTTGCTTAAAACGAATTAAAACGTATCCATATTTTATTATATTATTTTATCTATATTTAAAAAAAAAATGTATTTAGTTAAAGTGAAACTTTAAGATCGAATTAAATGCACTTGTTGCTGCTATTATTTCCGATTTGAGACACAGCGCGGTGCGTGACTATTTTCGAAATAAATAAGCGCGTCGACTGCAATCAATACTAACAATATCACACAGTCTAAGCGAATTAATGAAGCACAGAACAATGCATTTACATATCTGAAAGCTGTTTAACAGTGCTCTGTTAAAGTTGTATGAAAAAGCTTTCACACAGCAGGAGGATATTTAAGTATTTAAATGTAGCTTAACATGCGCACGCACACAAGCACATATACTCATACAATATACGTGTACACGCACACACTCTTGCACAAAGGCAACTCTAATTGGACACTTCCGTTCTGGGAACGTTTCCTTGGCGCATGCGACATTTGACTAGCAAAACAGAAATGTGACTGCTTCTGACAGTCAACACCCACACACTCACACACAACACACACACGATTGTGTATTTGTGTGTGTGCGTGTGTGGTGGAGTGTTCGTTGCAACCACTTGTCGCAGGCTATAAAAGCCGCTGTCAGCCAGCAAGCGCGTGCATACGTTCCAATGTTACCGTTAGCGCAATAACGGAACTATATCCTACTGCGCAAAAGAAATATTAATTTCCCTTTTGGTGCTCCATTCATAAAGTTTCATATTTTATATGCATTTTGACGTCTTGCGGTTAACAATATAAATTTTTGTCGCGTTTTATAACTATTTATAATTGAGCAATTTATAGTGTGTTCTTATAAACATTTTTAATAAGTTGGTTGGTTTTTGGAAAGACTAAACAAAAATATGGATTGGCAAAGTTGTACGATTTAAATTGCAAAAATAAAAGGTATGTACTGTGTAATCGATATATAAAAACAACAATATAGTATCCAACTGTTCAAATTGTAAACAGTTTACACAATTTTTAATGTAAATTTATGAATTTCTTCTTGTACAAATTTAAAAGTTAATTAAAAATATTATATTCATGGGGCTTGCTGTTATGAGCCAAAGCAACAACAGCAGCTGCTGTCGGCAGAGTATTGGCAGAAATTACTCTTATGGCTATTATTTTCTGTTATTTTTCGTTTCTAATTATCACAATAACACTTGATATGAGAATTTTATTTAAATTTATACATACACCTTTTTATGTATTAATGAAACGTTTGGGTTTTTTTTTTTATATGTGAAACGAAATTTAGCTATTCTTTTATTAAAAAATTCAGCTTTACTGTTTTCGAAAATATAATATTGAAACACAACATTATTTTTTAATCAATTATATATAAATTGGCCACATTGTTAGTCTGTTGGTTGTAGATCAGATTTTAAAAGTGGGTCTATTTTAGATGTTGTAACACCCAAAAGAAATAAGATATTACATTTTTAATCGACCACATCACAGACCACAATAAAAACCGTATTACTTAAAAAAATCTTTGTATTTGTTTTTAAATACATTGCATGTAACGTGCTCACACAATGCCCAAGTGAGAAATAAATAAACAATTTTTTGCTGTCGATAGATACAAGTATTTAATTAGTTTTATCTAATAATCACATACTACAAGATGTATATGTTTGGAAATATATTTAAAAGCCATCACAATGTTTATTTAAGGTACGCTTTTGTATAAATTTCATTTTCAATATTGTTAAAAAGTATTTTTGTAGTATTGTTAGCGCTAGTGTATAAGTTAATCTGTCATTAAAACACGTGATAATGCTTGTCTATTACATTATTATAAATTATTGCAAGCCAGAAAAATCCCTATCTATCTGTCTATTACAATATTTTCAATTATTATAAATTAGCAAAATCCCCACAACGCGTTAAAGTAAAAACAACACAATTAGACAAAAGTTAAGCAAAATAAATTTAAATACTAAGTAGAGCGTATAATGGAAATGTAAAATAGGTAAATACGCTTGTCTATAAGAATATATTAAGTTTTTAAAAATTAGCAAAATTCCTACACGGCATTAAAGTAAAAACAACACAATTAGACAACAATTAAACCAAATAAAATTTTAGTCATACATTGTACGTATATTTGTAGTGCTATAGAAGCAAATCCGTTCACTTTCAAATTTTGGTTTTAAGCTACCAAACCCTCATTAGCACAGAAATACCTTTTGCATATTTCAATTACTTAATTTGGTTTCACTTGCACGCAAAAGTTAACAAGTAGGTTTGTATGCAAGTATACATACATACATACATACGAGTATATACATAATTAATTGCAAGCTGCAGTAAAGCAAAGCCCCCTGCTCTGGTAACCGCAGTACTTTCGACTCTTGGTAGGATACCTAGACCAGAATTTGTTGGTTTTCGCAAATGAAATACGAGACAATGCTGTAGCGTATGGTCAGCGCCGTGTCGTGGCTTTTGTACAACTCATAGCTAAGTAGTCTGACCGCGCTCAGATACATTTATGAGCACCGCATCGGGTATGGGAAGCTGAGGGCGATGGCAACTGTTGCTCGAGCAAATCAGTTGCGTTTTAGACGCAGAACGTGTTGGTTGAACAGAGCGGACAGTGTAAGATCTGAGCAGACTATGAAGTACAAATGAATTCTGTTCGGCAATTATAATTAATATGTGGAATGTGCTTAAAGTATTAAGTGAATTAAATACGTTCTAAAATAATGCATGATCATTAAGCTACCAGTTTATAGAACAATAATTAAGAAGTGATTCGTGAAGAAAATGTCAAATTATGCAAGCGTGGCTCAAGCTGAAGGTAAATTGAGAAGCGTGTCATTAACAAACAAATAAATAAACCTTAAAACTTAGGTATCTTAATTACTTCTGCAAAGTATTCTTTGCTGCACCGTGTTATATTATTAATTAACTTGGCTTATGTATTAAAAGGACAGTGCGTTTAGTCCTTTTACACATGCTACATGCTCCGAAGTTTAGGAATAGCTTAGTGGCACAATTAAAAAAATATGCGATTCACTGAGCGTGCGTTTGTTAAATTTTTTAATTGCAAATGTGATAGGCAATTGTGATTAATTAAGAGACCTGCTGCTGTGCGCGCATTTAAATCTGAAGCTTAAATTAGATAAAGGAACGTAAGCGTCACTAAATGGGGCATAAGCTAAGTTTAATTAGCTGGACAGCAGAATGCTGCTAAAAATAACACAATGGTTTTCTCTTCTTTTCGTGTTGTTCGCCCACACTTTCAATGCAAATGATAGGCAATAAAAATACCAATAATAATCCAGCCTTTATTTTATTTTTTTTGAGCAGGTCAAGCTTCATATACGTGTATGTTTTATTCGCTGTCAGAGAGGTGTGTAGAGTGGTCGCTTGGTGTGTGTGTGTGTGTGTGTGTGAGCGCCACCTGTCGTATACGTAATATGCCAGCAAGCACTTCAAGGGCCAGAGCACATGTCGTGGCCAAACAGGTTTCAAGTGTTATGGACAGTTCAAACAACAACTCAATTGTGTATTAAGTGTGGGCTTAAGCAGTGTTTCTATGTATGTATGTTGTTGTAGTTCCTGTGGTTGTTGTTGCTGTGTTTGGTGACACGTCAAGAACATGCAAATATGCATGCTGATGAAGAGTGCGAAGCGGCCGGGGTGTGCTATAAAGAGTATTATGTTACCCAAAAAGAGAAAAATAGAAATAAATACGCGCATTTCTCTATCAATTTTACAGATTTTGGGTGCGACGACGGCAACAGAAGCGACGACGTCGACGTCTTGGGAGAGGAGGACATCGTCGTAACGGCGATGTCACCAACAGGACAAATAGGAAAGACGCCGACGCCACGCGATAGCGATAACGACAGCACCGATCAACGCGAAACATGGAGCGGCAAGGTGGATTTTTTATTGTCGGTTATTGGATTCGCCGTCGATTTAGCAAACGTGTGGAGATTTCCCTATTTGTGCTACAAAAATGGCGGTGGTAAGTGGCCAGAGAGTCGTCGTCGGGCCAATTAGTGGTCCATGAAACAATGCCATATAATTTATATTACTTTACGCATCATTGAGCTTCAGGAAAAGGCAAATGGCTTGACTTGACTTGACTTTTCTCAGCCCCATTGTTCGAGCTGCCAACGGCCGACTGCCGACTGCCGACTGCTTAACACTTTGACAAGTTAGTCAGCGTAGTACGAGGGTATAGGAGTATGCGTGTGTTTATACTCTCGTATGTAAGAGCTTCTAAAGTGCTGCTATTAGCTTGGGCAGCGTGCAGGAAGGCGAGCGCAATTCTTGGTTGTGTGAAGCAAGGCATAAGCGCGCACTTCCCGTACAAAATTACCCACACACACACACACACATACATAGCACACACACAATTACGTATGATCCTTGTACGCACCGCCATCATTCAAAACAATTTCAAAGTTAAGTGCTTTTGTATGACAACTAAATCTGGCAGTCATAATCGCATTTGGACTTACCGCAATATGCCACTGAGTGAGTGACTCAGCATATATGTATATATTTGCGTTTAGATGCGTGTGTGTGTGTGTGTGTGTGTGCGGAGCGAGTTGCGTTGACTTCTCTCTAGGCTTTTTGTGCGTGGCACCCGTACACCCTATCATCAAAATAATGCGCGCATTGTTGGAAATTCATGTGCTGCACACGTTTCTGACGGAGGCACTTAAGCGTTGAAATGATTTTTCATAGCCATCTCTACTTTGTACTTATGTGTGTGTATGTATGTATGTATGTAAGTATATCCCTTTTTCATAATACTATATGTACGTGTACATAGGTATGTGGTTTAGTTACGACTATTTCATACTTGTTGCAGCATTTGGCGCATTTCAACTTCAACGCTCTCTTAAAGTTTGAGAAAATAAAAGGAAAACCACTTTTCATTTTCATACGCTTCATTGCGTTCAATCAGTGACAGCTTAGTTGTCATTTTATGTCCTCCCCGGTCGCCTTTAGCTGTTGGCGTTGCCAAGCTCAAGGCCTGCCCAGCAACAGAAGCAGCAGCTACAGGTTGGGGCAAGCGAGTGAGCGATTATTAGAGTCTAATGCCAGCTTAGTGGGCATTTTATTATTACAAGCAATTGGTCAAATGTGTCGACGATAATGACAGATAGGATTTAAGTGCAACTCATAAGATCTTTAACTGGAGCTGTACAGCCTTCGGCAAAAATAGGCATCATTATGTGGCTACTGAATGATGATAGTAAATTTATTTTTTCGTTTTTATATACTTAAAATATTTGGCAACATTGCATTGGAACAATTTGTTTAACCCATAGAAAAAATACGGTTTCCTACAATCGTGTTTGATTTTATTTCTCTGGATATAGTCTACGATAATGACAGAAAGGAATTAAGTGCAACTCATAAGATCTTTAACTGGAGCCGTACAGCTTTAAGCAAAAATAAGCGTCATTATGTGGCTACTGAATGATGATTAGTAAATGGATGTTTAATTTTTATATACTTACATGTAGTAGCGAAAACACCAGTACATGATGCCATGGTTTTAACTTGTTCCATATATCAATCGAAAAATCTTGAACAGGCAAGAATTTCCGCTTTCAAATAAGCTGACTATAACTGGGCTTAACGCGGTGTGAAAATCAATTTTTTGATGTAATTCAGTTTTTTTTGTTTTCTTATATCTTTAAGATCTGTTTTAGGTAGGACAATTATTAAATTATATGCTAACCTTGAAGTGTTCATAAATAATAGATTAATTTAGTGTTTGTTTTATTCGATTTTTTGTTAAAACTATATGTAAATCTAAAGTACACATAAAACACCAGCACACTGAGTCGATAAACATACATACATATGCATTAGATATGTAGAGTTGAAGAGATCTTTAGATACTCTTACTAAGGAAGAAAGGTTATACATATCTTCTAAAAGCAATTTAATGCTAGATTGATTTGAAAATTGTATCAGCTTCTATTAAAATATAAGTCGAGAGAGCTGTTGCATAAATTTCTATATATTTGAACTTAAAGTGATATATTTTTTGAATATCGTATACAGTTTGTGTTCCCGAAAAATTACCACATTTTCCATTTCAAAGAAAGGTGCAAAAATGTGAGTGTTACAGCTTAGTCTGTACAATGTACTACTATCCTTATGTAGTCATCTTTGCTTATAAACAAAAGTCTGTCTATTTATATGTCAGCGTGTATATATGTATGTTCCTCCATCATATTATTTTGTTGCATAAAAAAACATATTGTAAAATTTTGTCTTCTCGGTGTTCCACAATGAAAACGAATGCATATTTGTAAAGGAATATAATTAATTAATTTAGCTCCCACTATCCACAATCGTATCTCTGAATTAGCCTAATTAATTCATATAAGAAGACAAAAGTAACAGTTCTGATATAAGTAATTCTTCTGGCAATCATTTGTACCGAAAGATAAGCAGCATTGTTGCTCACAAAATTTATTTTATTAATGTTTTGTTAAAGATGGGAAACAAGTACATTTGTATATATATAAGAATTTCATTTTAAATAATTATTTTTTATTATTACAAAACATATTTGAAGTTAAGTGTGAATATAATATAAAAGATAGTTACAAAGGAGCACATGCAATGTTCTTAGAGTCATAGTTGTAGATTGGTATCTTTGAAGAAACTTCGCGTGACAAACCCATTTTGTAAATCTAAAACGTTGGGAATGTTAAAAATGAAATTTTCATGTATAGTACATATATTTTCTGTGCAGGAATTTGGTTGTTATTAGTTTTTAAATTTATATAATACATAGTTTTGTTTTAGTTTAATTACAGTGTAGGGTAGGTATAGGGTACATAAGAGTCATTAAACCTGGTATGGAGTGGTCATTTATTGTCAGATTCGAAAGCGTGAACTACTGAATGTGTAGCTTAAAATAAAAGCGAAATTATTGATTAGCACACAGTCTACTAACATTCCTCATAGATTATTTTCTATTAATATCAATAGACTGCTTAAAACAGCATTGACTACAAAAATTTGTTGAATCTATGAAACAGGAGCATTGAATATGTTATTTTAGAATGGTTTGATTGACAGAACATTACTTTTAATCGTTTAAATTGATTATACATACAATATGTATATTACATATTGAATAAAATATTAATACATTATTCGACAATTAGCTTTAATTTTCTACCAAAACTGATTATTAGCAAGTGCAACAGTTGATGCTATGTCGTCTATACCATAATCAGATCACTTTGTATTTTAGTTATACACATGGAAACCGCATTAAAGAGTTCCTAATAATAGTAGGTATACAATTTATCTGACAGCTATATGGTATAGTATTTGTAAGTTAAAGCTTAGGTCATCATTTGGCATATTTTGATGTGGAAGTGAACTAATTCCAGCAACGTACGTAGGATCTACGCAGCTATTAAGCTAATTAAGATTTGTTTGATTTTATTTTCAGTTAATAAAAACTTTTCCAACGAAAAAGGCACGGAAATAGTAATTAATAATTAACTACACCTTATTCTGTTTTTACACGGCAGGTTGGTTCCAGAAAAAGTCCTGTAAAAAAGATATTGATCATATGCAAAAATAGGTGATTGGTTGCTTATATCTAAAATCTATTGAAATCAGTGAAAAAGCAAGGATTTATGTTTATTTTATTAAATCACTTATATAATGTGCATAACGACCCATATACGAATTTTTATTTATTTATTTTGTGCTATTTTGAATCGTGCTAAATGGAATAAAGTTTTTAATTTTCAATCCGTGTTAAATCAAAACCGTGTAAAAAAAGACCATGTAAAAACAGAATAAGGTGTATTTTATTACATAGTGGTAGAAAATTTTGGATTTGAGTTGAAGTTTTAGTAGAAGTTTTAATATCATTTACAATTGAAATTGACTTCATACATTTATATATTTCCGAGTAATTACTAGTAAGAATAGAAATTAGAATATATCTAAGGAGTCCAAGTAAAATGCACCTTTGGCATCTTTTACAGGTTCAGAAAACTAAATGTAGGTGAACCAACAAGTTGAACGCTATTTTGATATTTCATTTGGCAAGTCTCGTCTGTTCGTGGTTGTTTTGTGCAAAGGAACTTAAGAATCTAAGATTTAATAATAAAATGTTAATATAAATGCAGTACCAGTGTTGTATGTACTTGCTATCGTCTTCTCTTGAAGACTAGTGATTTTTGTATATTCTTCGATTGCTGCTGGTAAGATAGTATGTACTTGGAATTGCATATAGTATGTATAGTACGTTATATTCGTAAATATTTGTACACCACTAGTAACTGTCTCACTTTCGCTTTTGCCTTTGCCTATGTTGTTGTTTTAAAGCGTCCGAAATTCGATTACATAGTAGATGACGTCAACAGCGTGTATCTGTTACAGACACACACACATTCGGGCTTGTTCCTGCGCGTCCTATATCCGCTTGAAGTTTGCAATGTTCAAATGCTGCCAATGGCATGCAAATCGCTCCCCATTCGCAGCAACTGCGCTGCTTTTGACAACTTAGGTACTTCACGCTCATACACTGACATACATACATACTTATAGTATGCAAATATGTATGTTGTACTATTGAAGTAGTAGGTGCGGCTTTGATGTCGGCGCTGAGTTGAATCATAAATTTGATTACTCGCAGTCAGTTCCTAATAATCTATAAATGTCATAATTTAAAAACTGCTTTCATTTCGGTTTGTATTTAGTTGGTCGTCAACTGCCTCCACAGTCCGCAGTCCACAGTCCACAGTCCAGCCTCTCATAGCCTCGAATCGGCAGACCGGAAGTGCCGTTTAAGCAGCGGAAATTACAGCATCTTCAACAGATGCCTCTTCCTCTTGCTCCCCCTAATTTTCTTGGGCGAAGCTCAGTTCTTAGATTTGATTTAAAGTTCCTGTGCACTTTTTGTTTTTGCATTTCGTTTTACACTTCTCTGCATGGCATAATTGTCAATGGCATTTATGTATGTACATACGTTTCACCTACATACATAAGGGCAGGCATATACTTGTAGAGGCATACTTAATGGCCGCTGTTGTTCCTTCCCTTCTGGCCTGATGCCTGCCAACCTTTTCGACTTTGTCATCCACTTTGTCTGCTAATAGACATAATCAAATCATAAAACGCCCGCTGTCACTCAACGAAGTATCGATGGCACTTTAGCGATTGCCGGCACCAGGACGCAAAAGGAGGGGAGAGTGCCAGGCTTATTGACTGCATGAGACAGCCATGGAGCCCAAAGCGCCAGAGACAGTATACTTGTATGTGTTATATGGGTGCACCCCCACATTGAAGGGGTGGTAGGTAGTAGTAGGTGTGGGTCTTGGCACCACCGTCCGCCTGTTCGGCTGCTGCTAATATTTTTAAATGCCCTTAGAATGGCACTTGTAAAACAATTTGATTTTGTTTTCATACACTCTTACAACCAGAGAGGGACAGCCAGCCTGTCAATGGCTCTACATACGAGTATCCTCGTACACAGCAGGCACACACAGTGACTAAAAAATAGCATATGCAGTGGACACTAACACATCGCTCTTTGTGTCCAGTTCAGTTTTAATTTCGAAAAGCTTTCAGGTTTTTAAATGGTTTTAATTATATTTTCTTTTTACTGACTCTAATTTATTGCTTTAATGTGTTAAAGAACTGCAGGTTAGGCTATCATCAACACTACAAGAAGTCTTCATCTTCCATTCCTTAACCGTTTTTCCAATAGGTCGTGGCCTTATCCAAACTAAGCATATTTAAAATATATGTTGAGAAATACACCCAGAACTATTTTATGTAATTTAAATTGGTTTTAATTAATAAGATACAAATGGCACATACATATGTTTGTCAGCAAAGTTTTATATACATTTATTTTATTTATTTAATCTTTGGCCGCATTTCAAAAAGAATACTTGTATATGTGATTTTCATTTCATGGAGTGGAGTGCTTCTGAAAGTGTTTTTTTAATTACAGGAGATTTTACCTGCGATCTTCTTTTTTTGGGTTCACTGTTGGGCATAAATTATTTAAAAAATTGCAGTGAGATTGCTGTTGTGCCGGCCCTAGAGGCGACGTTGACGATGATAATGATGATGATAATGTGATTTCTGGCTTGTAAATAGTTGCCCTGCTGTCATTGTTACTCTGGTGTCCAGTAAATGGGTTCTCATGTGCATTTTGTAGCTAATTTTTAAAGCATCAGTTTATTGAATATTTTCAGGCGCCTTCCTCGTGCCCTACTGTATAATGTTGGTAGTGGGTGGCATACCATTGTTCTATATGGAATTGGCCTTGGGGCAGCACAATCGGAAGGGTGCCATCACATGTTGGGGACGTCTAGTGCCGCTCTTTAAAGGTAAGTTTTTACACCTGTAGTAAACGAATTTTAGACTCAACTGAATATGTTTTTTCAGGCATTGGTTATGCAGTGGTGCTTATTGCATTCTATGTGGACTTCTATTACAATGTGATTATTGCGTGGTCCCTGCGTTTCTTCTTTGCCTCATTTACCAATGTGCTGCCATGGACATCCTGCGACAATGCATGGAACACGCCCAACTGCAGGCCGGTAAAAACAACATTTATTTCCATTTATTCGAATTTGTTTATTCATAAAGTTTAACGCTAATATGTTATATTAAGCGTCAAAAACAGAGGGGATGAAACCGAGTTTCTCAATGGGACGATAAATAATTGTAGATAATTTTTGGCAGACTTCAAGAAAAGTAATATACTCCTGAGTAGTGGGTCAAGGCCAGTCGATATAGCCATGTCCATCCGTATAAGCCCAACTTATAATAACCAAACATGGTATCTAGATTGTACTTTCTATGACTTAGGATAAGTTTTAGTTTTTCTTTCGATGCACCTCACACCACCCCGAATTTCGATAACTCCTCTAATTCTAGGTATTTCAAATTCGAGAACTACATTCCTTTAGCGCCTTGTGTCCTGAAGTTATAGCAATAAACGTGCTCTGTCAGTAGCTATATTCAAAAATTCAGAAATTCTTTCTGCTTACCTCTACTCTCAAACTCTGTAATTTTCCTCCTATCAAATAAATGAAATTAAAAAAAAGATGCAATTTAGCTGTAGACATATGTAAGCTATTGAAGCTGTAAATAAACATATACTTGTATATGTCTCTGTGTACGAGCGGGCACATGGCTTAAGAGTTGTTCGCTCGACTCTACGTTTCCATTGTAGCTTCACTCGATAGCCATTTTTTTCCTGTTTCAATTTATTTAATAAAAGGAAAGGAATGTTTTTAAATGCATCTTTTATGGTCTTAGATTGAAAACTGCAAAGTAGGCGAAACTTTTAGCGGATCATACCTGCAAAAAAAATCCTTCTAAAACTCAATATTTATATAAAAACATTTGGGGAAGTACACACATTTGCGATATTCATTTTTATGTATCCGTAGGGTAAATTTGTGAAAAGTATGTAACAGTCAGTTGGACAAAGTATATGTATTGTTAATCAGCATGGCGAGGCGAATTGATATGTCCGTCTGTCTGGATGAACTCCTGGATTTCTGACACGGTTGAGCCTACATTCACCAAACTTGGTATGAAGACTCATCTAATATCAAGGCAACACGAGTTATTTAAATTTCATTTGAATTTAAACATCTCAATTTATTATTGTTACATTACGATATAGGTCTTAGAGCAAAAGTCCTTTATTTGAGATCTACCTTCGTTACACATTATTATATTATGCTCTAGAAGATTTAATGTTAATGAGGTTATCGAGGTTAAAAGTAATTAATGAGGAGGAATCATAATTTCTTTGCTTGAAAATCGTTTTTCATTTAAATTTCCTGTCTCTTGTCTTCAGTTCGAAGGTCAGAATAGTTCGCGCGGCCTTGTAGGTAACCTCAGCGACTTCTATGCCTTCAGCAATCAGAGTTTGTTCTATGCCAATGAGTCCTATACGAACACCACATTTGCAAGCATGGCGCCAATTGCTCCTGCAGAGCGTTTTCAATCTGCGGCCTCAGAGTATTTCAAGTAAGTAGGACAGGGAGAACTTCAGAAGTTCATCCCAACTAACTACATTTATATTACACAGCCGTTATATACTGGAACTAAATCAGAGCGAGGGCATCCACGACTTGGGCGCCATCAAGTGGGACATGGCGCTGTGCCTGCTCATGGTATATCTTATATGCTACTTCTCCCTCTGGAAGGGCATTAGCACGTCCGGTAAGGTTGTGTGGTTCACAGCACTTTTTCCCTACGTAGTGCTACTCATCCTACTCATCCGAGGCATAACACTGCCCGGCTCGGCTATGGGAATTCAGTACTACTTAAATCCGAATTTCGATGCGATCTACAAGGCAGAGGTTTGGGTTGATGCCGCCACACAGGTATTTTTCTCATTAGGCCCCGGCTTTGGAGTACTTCTGGCTTATGCATCGTACAATAAATACCACAACAATGTGTACAAGTAAGTCCTGTTTGAATAATCGATTTGTTGAATATAGACTAACTCCAACTCCAACTCGAATATAACATCTAGAGATGCGCTGCTCACGAGCTTTATTAACTCGGCTACCAGTTTTATTGCCGGATTTGTTATTTTCGCTGTTCTGGGCTATATGGCGCACACTTCGGGTCAGAATATTGAGGATGTCGCCACCGAGGGACCTGGTCTGGTCTTTGTCGTCTATCCCGCAGCCATTGCTACCATGCCAGGAAGTACTTTCTGGGCTCTAATATTTTTCATGATGTTGCTGACATTGGGGCTAGATAGTTCGGTAAGTGCGATAAAACAACTGAATAATCATTTCATATGTAATCTTGTAAGCTTTTGCAATGATAAACTTTTTGTTCGTGTATATAATTTCACTGATTTGAAAATTTGTATAAAAAACTAAAAAAAAGGGTAATTTTTTATCAAAAAAACTGTGGTAAAAATGATGATTTTGTTTTTGTTCGTAACGGTTTTGTTTTCTGTGTTTATAGTTTGTTTTCCAATTAAGAGACAATAACTAAAGCTTTTGTAATTCGAACAGTTTGGCGGTTCGGAGGCCATTATTACAGCCTTGAGCGATGAGTTCCCCAAAATACGAAAAAATCGCGAACTCTTCGTGGCGTGCCTTTTCTCGCTGTATTTTGTGGTGGGTCTGGCCAGTTGTACACAGGGCGGTTTCTACTTCTTCCATTTGCTGGATCGCTACGCCGCCGGTTACTCCATACTGGTGGCCGTGTTCTTCGAGGCCATTGCTGTTTCCTGGATCTACGGCACGGATCGCTTTAGCGAGGATATTCGCGACATGATTGGTTTTCCGCCGGGCAGGTATTGGCAGGTATGCTGGCGCTTTGTGGCGCCCATCTTCCTGTTGTTCATCACGGTATATGGTCTAATTGGCTATGAGCCCCTAACTTATGGGGACTATGTGTACCCAAGCTGGGCAAATGCTCTGGGCTGGTGCATAGCCGGCTCTTCGGTCGTCATGATACCGGCCGTTGCCATTTATAAGCTAATCACAACGCCGGGCAACCTCAAACAGCGGCTGCGCACCCTAACCACACCCTGGCGTGATCAACAAGTGGCTGTTAATGGCGTCACCACCGAGATAACTCTGGTGCGTCTGACGGATGCGAAGGAGGGCGAGGATGTCTGAGTTCGGCCGATAGCTCGTTTTCAAATTTATTACGTATAGATTTGAAAATTTACCAACAACTTGGTTCGCGTATTGTGAACTTCCCCGTTCTTATATTTTAGTTTATCTTATATAGGTAGCTCTTAGGCATTGTGTCTGGGACCCGAATGCAAACTTCATATACAACGTACTTAGGTTTCGGCACCACAAAATGTTGCAGCCCAAAAACCATAAGCCATTAAGTTAGGACTAGTCTTTAGTTTCATATACATATACATGCGTATCTATTAGAGCAATATGTAATTGCGTCGCCAATATACACGTATATCTAAATGCAATTAGTCAAAATGCTGTGTAGATAATACAAATAATTACCAATAATACAAACCGTAAAGAGTGACAAACATTTTTAAGCAACACAAATGTAAATCACTGTCGAACGTTGTGTTTTGTGCAAACGCAAAAGGGAATTTTTGAATATTGATAAATAAGCAAAATGCTCCGATTCGGTGCACATATTTTGTAAATAAGTAAAGTATATGTGTGTAGATCAAGCTTTAAAAAATGTGAATGCAGGCGCCTATACTATCTACTATATATATACAAGTATAGTTGAGATTTCAGTAACTTATGCATTCACTGAAATCAGTTAAAGGTAAAATGCTGCCGAAGTACGAGGAATATACAAACCCTGCCATATGTTTCATACTTACGCTTCAAAGCAACACCAAAATTATAACAATTACAAAATACGAATCAAATAATTATATCTAGGGAATTTAGAGACAAAATCTTTTCAAACAGCCATTGAAGAGGTTTTGTCATACTGCAAATATTGAGATTTAATTTCTTTGCTTCGAACACTTTGTCATTCAAGTTAAAGATGCTGCAAGTGTTTTGCCAAATCAGCCATTTTGAGCAAAACAATTGCGGCTTATTGTACTTTCAATTATATTTCATTCGTTTCTTGAATTGAAGCAAAATTTGCAGCCATCAATTTTGCTTCAATCGTTCATATCTAAGTACTACTATATATTTACTCATTTATACCGTAATAGCTAAAATTCTAATTTCATTTTTGTCATTGAGCTTTTAATGCAGCCATTTAAAAGTTCAATGGCCAGCTAATTAATTTCGTATTGCAGTTGTGTGCTATAAATAAGTTAAGCCTCTGTTCTGTTAACATTTTATATTAAATAAAGTTTATTTTAAGTTAAACAAAGGAAACGGTTGCGTGAGAGTTTTAATGGGCAGACAATTTGGAAATCGAGTACGAGTATATGCCCCGTCAATAGGCCAGCATCCTGATGGATGCTTCCAAAACGTGAACGGGTAGTTCATCGTCAGTGTCATACGAGTATAATCTGCAGTTTTTAATACTCTTGCCAAGCCTTGGTAGTCTCTTGAGGTTGTGGGACCTTGGCCTTACGCCAAGCGCCAAATTATGGCTCGTCTAGTTTCTGTATCTAGTACTTATGTGTATTTATTACCAAATAATACTTTGTTGTTCTATTCTGTCAGCAAACAATACCGTCGGCGCGGGGGTTGTGACTTATGAAGAGTCATTAAATAACACATTTCATTTACCTGCTACAACTATTGGTAAAATCTGTCCTTTAGCTGATTATTGTATGCTTTGCTTCTTTTAAATATCCACAGGCTTGTCCTTGCAGCATATGTAGTTGCTTTTGAATACCAGTCTGTCAAGTTAAATAGTAAAGTTAAATATTATGTTTGTGAACAGAGAGCTCCAAACTAGGCAGAATTTTCCACTTATACTTCAGCAGTTATGCACCGATCCGATGTTATTTACTTGTAATTACAGATGCTCCAAAATTTAATTCGTGTCTGACAACTATATATAATATACTAATGTATATAATAATAAGTTATTGGAAGTGGATAAGTACATTTGCAGGGTATTGTAAGCTTCTGCGGGACTAGTAAGTATAAATGGTTTAGGTCTGAATTTTCCTTGGCAAAATTCCCTTGGCAAAATTCCCATCCCCATTGGTACTTTTAGTAAAGTAACAAACCTTATCCATTCAGCGAAAGCTTTCACAGCAGCGACCTTTTGTCATCGACATAGTTATTAACAGAAAATGTGTGTGTAAATCGGTCGCTTTACAATTATAAAACACTGTCGGCAATAATGTTAATGTAAATTTAAATATTTATTTCATCAATCTGTCATTCCAATTTAGTTGTATGTGTATATGTGAACAGGTCAATTAAAGTCAAATCTATTTAACGAATTGATTTAATTCAACAACAATTTAGTGCACTTTTTGAACATGAAATCAATTCATATGTACTATATGTATATGCACTTTTCATACAGGTGTTACATACCAATACCAATGCATTGCATTGTTTCATGTTTGCGGTTTTATAGCAAGGATTCCTGAAAATACAAAAAAGACAACGGGCCAGTTATGCGGGTGGCGAGTGGCAGAATGTGTGCGGCAGGGCGTGTGTGTTTAACGGTTTCAAGTAAACATTTAACAATAGCACTATTAAGGAAACAAAAACAACTAGTCTTCAATTTTTGTAGCATTACATTTATTTATTTTTTTGGTTTCCTGTTGATGTTGTTTTGGTTGCAGTTGTCAATTTAGTCAAACACTTCAATCGCTTTAATTGGTCAAAGAAATGCAAAACTAACATGCAATTTAAGGTAAGTTTATTGGACTTTTTTGTGCATATTTAATAAATTAGCAAGATAATATTAATAACGCATTTTCGCCGTCGTTTTTCTTGCTAGCAAAACCTTTCAAATGTCAAAAAAATAATAATAAAAATTATATGTATGTATGCATGTATTTCTTACGTGTCAACAACTACTCAACACCAGGTCAACTTAATTTACAATTAATAATTTAGTGTTTAGATAATGCCTTGGGCTGAAATTGGGAAACAAATTCAAACGTTTTGGTAATTTGTCGTATGTGAGCAATTCGTACTGAAATGTTCATAAAGAAGCATTGTAATTTGCGTTATTTTAAGTGTAGTTTTTGTTCACATCAATGCTATAATTCCATTTGGTATTTGGTATACATAGTATATAATTACATACAATATATCTGTAGATAGGTTTACTTTTAGATGTACTTTTTTTGTATACACAGTTTATACTTTGGTTTCTGTTTTTCTTTTGAAATCGGCTATTTAATCTGATAAGCTTAAAAACAAATGAAAAGGTATTCCATTATTTTTTAGGTATTTCTTCTTCCGCTCATATTGTAATATTCATTAATTAAGTGTACATGGTTTCCTTTTCGTTCGCTTCGTGGTGCAAATTACGTATTTTGGTCTTGTTAGGTGCCTTTCGTTAGCTTAAAATATTTAAATAGTTCACGGATATTAATGAATCAGGTGTGTGATACATTTAGATCGAGTATTTTGCGTCGGTTGTGTTTCGAATCGTTTAAGCCCTGTAATAACGGAACCGTTGGTGGTGAAACCCACAAACCAAAACACAGAAAAAGTTGATTTAAATTAAATCGATGCTGTTCTTTGTTTGGCGGTTAATGCTAACTGAAATTTTAATAATCATAAAAAAACATAAAAATATCTCAACTTTAATTTCTAATTTGTTCGTTTATTTTAATCAAAGTTATATTCTTGAAAAATCGAACGGCTGTACGAGCTTTGAAGTGCAGGCTTGGGTTAGCAAGCTTGGCGCGAGTCCGTCTTTTCGTGCAAGATTTAAAATCAACCGAAAACGGGCAAAATGTAAAACACACCAGCATATTGGAGACTGCTGTTGTTTATATTGAAGTATACTTTTATGCGCACATAAAAAATGCTTCTAAAAATTATGTTTCTATGTGTTCTGCTTTCGTTTAATGGGAGCGTGTGGGTTCAATATGCGTTTCCATATATTTGTATACATATATTATTGTATATATAGCTATAGGTTGATATAAATATTTGCATTTATATTTAATTTGCGTTTGTTATGCTATTTCTTTTGTTTCGTTAGTATGTGTGTGTATTGTTTTGTTCTTGTTGTAAATATGTAGCAACTTTTAGTTTGCGCTTGGATAGATATCAGCTTTCAATGCTGCATGATGTATGTATGTATGTATGTATATGTGTTTAAGTTTTCTGTTTGTTTGACAATTTTCGTACTATGTTAGATTTCGTTTCCTTTGAATTCGTTAATACTTGCATGTGAACATGTGAGCATGTGAGTTAATAGATATGATTGCGTTGTTGACAAGTTTCGTTTGTGTGTATGTACCCATACATATGTACACATGTATGTACTATACATATGTACTCATAAGTGGTAAATATCCATATGCATATTTAATGCTTACACCTTTGCCAATCATGCGACGTGTGACACTTTAAGCTGATCTGATTGACATTTGTGTGCTCAACTAATGGGCTGAATCATATGTTGAAGTTATATCATTGTTCGTACAATTTAACAAATTACACTAAAGCAACATATTGTGTACATAGATGTGATGTGTGTATGTATGTGTGTGTGTGTGAAAGACACGTTTTGAATTGACGCATGACATGGGGTACTGCAAAATTACCCGAACTGAAACGGACTGACTTTTGAAAAATTTATCCGTGACAGTTGATCCTCTTTTGTTTTGTATAAAATCTAATAAAATATTTCGGCTTTGTGTGTATGTATGTGTATGTGTGTGTGTGAATGTTGGAAAAGCAACAAATTTCGGTGGCTGTTGTGTGAAGTAAGACTTAATTGCATTTACCTTTTACAATGCAACAGTTTCAGTTTCAGCATTAAAAAGAGATTAGTAATTTTTTTTTTTTCATATAAGCCAAATATGTATAATAGTTTAACAAATGCATTTCATTAAAATTGAAAATTAAATTTTCCTATAATGCACATCGATTTCCATTTTCATTCACTTCGGTTCATAATTAAGTTAAGTTGACTAAAATACTATATATGTATATGTTGTGTTCATTTGAATATTGTTTTGCATTAAAATTAGTACCTTGCATTTAGTATGTATTCGCGCTAAGCTTAAATTTAATTATATATTAATGCAAAGAATTAACTATTACAGCTACGTTTCTTTTCACATTCAAATTGAAAAATAATAGCATAATTGTGTTGCCTCAAATGAAGAGTTTTCTTCCATTCGTTTCAAATTTAAAATAAATAATAAAATGAGCTAAAGTTTCGAAAGCCTACAGCACGTTTAAGATTACAGTGTTGCACCAAGAGATTTCACTAAGTTATCAATTGTATCCATTATTTGTATAATGGTCACATACAATGGGGTTATACATTAATTATATTTTTATATTTATATTTATAGATAAATATTTATGCTGTTAATCTTCTTTGATCTGAGTAACAAAAATTAACTAATTTAATATAGTACAAATGCAATACTTGCTAGGTCTGAACTGTGTCAAGAGTAGCTTAGTTTATATTTTTGAAATACAGTACAATACAATACCACTTGTTAAGCGTACAGTTACAGCTATGGTTACAGTTACAAATATCATTTTGATTTTTAGCTTCCTATGCTGTCTGTCCACTTAGGTCTGCTGTATGGAACTTAAAAATGCCGGATCGACTGAAGCAACTTTTGCGGTCAAAAACGCATGCATGCAAAAGAGCAAACTTTGTAGCACTTGGCATTCGAGCTCCTGTTTTTCAGCGTTGTCGTTTTCGTTGTCGTTTTTGTTGTCGATGTGGTTGATGATGAAAGAGAAACATAGTATATATTTGTTGGAGAACATTTCTTGCGAAATATGTATGTACAAGTATGTATGTATAATATGCACGTATATATGGAAAAAGTAAGGCAACCAACACAGCTAATGAAAAGCAATAGCTAAAAGCATTGAAATCGCATTTACGGGCAAAGAGAGATTGCCATTTATATTTAAATCTTTTTTCCCATTTATAAGTTGCTTAGTTTTGTACTTGCCTTTGTTTCAATAGCGCGCGTCTCGTGATCCTGAAAGTGGAGTTTCAACTTTGATTTGCCATCGTCGCTGGAGCCGCGTAGCTGCGAGAATTTATATTGCCAGACCACGGCCGAATCGGCGCCTTCTGTGAGCGAAAATCCCGCCTGCCAGTCGAGTGTGAGGCCTCCACTTTTTCCATGATGTGAAACGGCAAAAGTTTTCCGCTAAAAAGAGTGTGCGCAAAATGGAACAACAAAGATATAGTTTCAATAGTGGGTGGTTGTGATGTTTTGCATTTATTAGGCGTACTTTGAAAAATATGCACGTTTTAAAACTCTGTTTATATGTCATTTGAGATATGGAGAGGCTGCGGCTCGGGGGCTGTCGCATAATGGTCAAGTTTTTAATGGCATTTTTTAATTAGCAAAATGAAGCACTTGCGACTGCCATGAGTTGGTACTGGATTGTGCAGAGCCAGGCTAAGTAACCTACGTGACACATTGTGAGCGCACACAACGCTTTGTATAATTTATGTATATGTGCATTAAGCCTATGCAAATAACTTAATGACTGAAAAGCGTCGAATCATTATGAGATTTGCTCCAAAAGTAACATTTTAAGCCGCTATGAGAGTGAGTAGGTCATTGATACACTATATTTATAATTTTATGCCCATCCAAATAGTGTGGCCTATTGTATCTATAACTTACATGTGGGGTCGAATCTGCCTAATAAACTCCTCAAAATTAATATTTTTGGCCTCCAAATAGAAAATAAATTAAAATTGAAAAGCCTTTATGTAAACTTGCTCTTTAGCTGTTCTCCTTCAAACAATTTTTTTTTATGAAGCAAACATTTTACAGAAGTACCATGTTTGGCAAAATATTTGTGGTCGGCACTACTAATACTGTATGCCGTCAATAAAATGATTGCTTACTTAAAGAACGTGCGCCGAGTTCTATGCTACAGTTATTATTCGCACACATTCGTATACGCCTCGTTGCCCATTCAACAAAATTTGCTTGTGACTTGTAGCCGGCTTCATAATTTTGCCCATGATTGTAAGCAATTAGCGGGCCAAGTGTGTGTGAGTGCACATAGCACTATTTGCATGAATTAATATAACACATGAATCGCACACGCAAACGTACAGACATATGTTCATTGGTGTACTACATAGTACATAAGTAGCGTCTAGGTAAGCAGCATTTCAAGCAAATTAAAACTAATTTAGGCATTGTTTGTGCGAAGTGAGTGGAGTTGTGTATTAAACAACCACTTATGTAGCCCTAATTCAATTCGAGTGGGTCGTATTCATTAGAAGCCGGTCTGTTGTCATCCAAGGCTACTGTTTTAGACAAAATTATACAAAACACAAAATTTGTTTGCCTTGTTGACGCCAAACTTAAATTGTGCATAATTATGCGAGTTGAGCTCGTTGGTAATTCGCAAACAAAACGCAAACTTATACTTCTATGCGTACACGTTAGGAAAATATTTCATATATGTAATTTTAAAGGCTTCAAATTATTTAAAAAAATATAGAAGTATATATTAATCAAATATATATTTGAAATGAAACATTTTTATGAGACTCTATTATATTCTAATACGAGTATCAATTTTAATTAAATAGGTTGCAGTGTATAATAAAACAGAATACAATTTCAAGTAAAGAAACAAAAAACACAACTTAAGAGCCTTGAGCTGGAGATAATACACCTTTGGAAATGTACTTATCCACTTATATATATCATTAAAATAAATCCATTCGATACAATTCTGATAGTTTCTATGGAATAAATAGGATAATGCCAAATGAGCTAACAATCTGGCTGTCTTATTTGGATGGTTTCGGTAAGTTACTTGCTGTTAGGTATTGTTGCAACATCAGTGCAATAGCTTTAAAACCGAGAGACTACTTTGCATATTAACAGGCAGGCGGACATGGCAGTACGAGTTTTACCTTGTCTCGTCGTGGGGATAACGAATAGATATACTTTTAGGGAATACAAATAATCAAGTGTTATTCATTTTTGCGTTTCGTCTAGACAAGAAGCTCTTAACAATACGGTAATGGTTTTCCAATTCCGTGACCCACTTGGATATGTCTTATAATGATTTTAGACTGGATTTATAGTAACCGATACATATGTTCATTTTAACTGCCCAAATTTTCACCCATCTTAATGGGAAAAGGGTATACTAATGTATAGTATGTAACATACAGAAGGAGGCGTGGCGTGGACCTTAAAAATTATATATATTTTTGATCAGTATGATACGACGAGTAGCCATGAATGAAGAATTGCGAAACTCTGTATCCTGATTCTTCAGAGTCTGAAAAACTCACAAACATATATTAAGACACATAGATACCTTTCGGACGTAAATGTATGCTATAGAAACTGCATTCTCAACGTTCATATGGGTTAACTATTTTTTGATGTATAAAATTACTTTAATTTGATAAGAAAAATTCATTTAACAAATATATATATTTTTTTATGGCACAGGATATTTAAGAATTGAGCCCGCTCGCCTCTAGCCCGCTCGCCTCTAGAAACTGCATTCTCAACGTTCATATGGGTTAACTATTTTTTGATGTATAAAATTACTTTAATTTGATAAGAAAAATTCATTTAACAAATATATATATTTTTTTATGGCACAGGATATTTAAGAATTGAGCCCGCTCGCCTCTAGCATTCCTTTCTTGTTTCTCTTGGTGTAGTCGTACATTCCCCTAAAAAAAGGTCAAACTCAAGTTCAATAGCCGGGTTTTGTTTGTTTGGGGTTGGGTATTAGTTGTCTGGGCTATCTAGGTGTCGAAATATTGCAAGCGAAATAATACTTATCGATTTCTGGTACTGGAACCGCCAGAGTTGGCTAAGAGCCATCAGCGTAATATGCTTTCTGGGCATGTTTGCCATGCGTCTCTGGCAACGGGTCATTGGCATTGCTTTTTTCTAGCCATGCCGTGTGGCTTTTCAACAGTTTTCTAGCCAAGTTGAAGGCGGACATTTTAACAAACAAACAAACACACACACGCACACACCCACAAACATATATATATATATATATACTCGTACATATATGGTCATGCACATGATGGTATAATGCCTTAAAGATTTTATTTGCCTTGCCACTTCACTGTGATATCCCTTTCTCCTTAGCTTTCTTGCCGTCGCCTTTGTTGTCCAGCAGCTGAGCAAGTGCGGGATTTTGTGTTATTGCTTGCGTGTCCTCTGGACATGCACTTGCACATTGTGCACTTAGTCTTTGGCCAATGTTTTCTTTTCAGCATTTTCATTTCTATTTCTGCACTCATGCACACAATTTGCGTGAGTTTTTGTGCGCTTTTGGCTGCCATTCGTTGTTTTCTATTTAGCTTTCTTTTTAGCTCATGAGCTGGTAACTTTTCGAAATTGTCAGAAATGTTTTGATGCGTGCAAACATTTAGACACTTAACTTTGTTAGGTGGCATGTACTTGTGTGTGACTGTGTGTGTGTGTGTGTGTGTATGTGTGTCTGACATGCACATTTTGCACGTACGCTGTTGGACGACATGTACGGCAATTGTCATTTGGATTTGGCAAATAGTAGCATTCCTTCCATAGTTAGCGGCTTAACGTGATGGCAGAGGGAAACTTCAAAAATAAACTTCTCATTTGGGAAGTTCTGCCTTATCCAAGCAGCTAAATAAATGAATTAACAGTGTGGCTTAGTTTTTGCAACAGGAAACATACCAAGACCAAAGTTGGTAAATAGACGGCCCTACTCACGTGCGCTGTATATGATTTATGATAACTCTTTAAAATTGAATTTAAATATGTGAGTCCTTAAAGTTAGTGGTGGCTTTGTTTGTCTTTTGCTTTAGTTTCTGGCAGGCGCGTGTAAATATGTATTTATAATATTTATATTAGCCAAAAAGTTATTGGGGACCGGATGGGAGTCATTACGAGATTCTTTTTTGTTAAACAGTTTTTTTTTAAATGAACGCAGTAACAAACACCTAAAATTTGACAGTTGTTGTTATTACGTAATGTCTTCTCCCAAGCAACACGCAATAAAGTTAGCAATCTAAGCTATACATAAATTAAATACATATGTATATAAAATGATTATATCCAGAATATTGGATAAATGCGTGCGATTCGATGTTGGCAGCACTTGTGAAGCGATTGTTAAAAAATTGACTGATTTAAAACAGTTTAAACTGTTTCTAAACAAGAAAAATAGTCATATTGTTTATACACTCTCTTCCAAAATATGTTTTTAAAAGCTTTCATATTTAATTGCATTAGAGTGGCAAACGAAGAAATTAGAAACAAAACGAGTGTTTCAAGTAATTCGAGCTGAAACTCGGACTTGTTTCATTTAAATTCATTTAATTACAATTGTGTCTGCAATTTGGCGAGGGTGTCAGAAATAAACTGAGTGCAAATATACTTTAGTGCTGCCAGATATCTATGGACTACTCTCCTAAGTGAACTTTCTTTTGATCAGCTGTTCAGCTTTTGAATTGTGCACTCAGTGGCAGCCCGGCTTTAATTGTAATGTTACCCTTTAGCAAATGAGTCCTTTCCTTTTCGATTTGTTCGCTTGTTAGTTTGAACATTTAATTGCGATATGCGGCCTTAACATGTAGTCAAGTATTGATTTACTCGATGTAAACATCCATGACCTTAGGGCAGCGTTTATTTATAAATTTATGAGCAATTTCTAAGCATGTGGGTGTGTGGGTGTCTAAGAGGATGTGTGGGTGTGCTGCCTGGGCGACAACAACAAGACTCGAATGTTACGAGTATATGAGAAGTAATTGCGACCAAACATGCGAAATGATAAACAAATGAAATGCACAGCTCGTATTACGTGCAAATCACAGTAATGTAAAGCGTGTGTGTACTGTTCGCCAACTTATTGCCCCGCCCTTGGCAGGTTACCCGCCTATAGTTACCCTGGCTGTCAGGTAATCATTGTTCATGCATAATTGAAGCGCCTAGTTGAAATATTGCAGCGTCTATGACTATAATGGCAGCCATGATTGATGGCCTTTCTACGTATTGGTGCCGCGTGTTTCAATTGGAGCCACCGCTTAGCAAAATTGCATACTTACGCCCAATTTAATGACACTGGTCACAATGGCCGCGTTCCAACTGTTCTCGATGCGGAGTAGTTCCTGACGCGTTTCCACGCTCAAATAGCGTGGCTCATGCCCGGAGCTCTGCAGCAGAAAGCAATGCTGCCGACTGTCGACGGTCTCGGACTCCTTGACAATGCGAAACATAGTCTGGTACACTTTGTATACCACCAGGGCTTTGCTGATGCCTGCCACGTTGAGCTGTAAATAGAAGAAAAGGGCAAATTTCAATTATGTGCTTTCAGGCAGGCGTAAAAAAAAACGAGCACGAGGACAGGCACGGGGCTTAGGCACAATTTGCTTTAATTACAAATGTTGAGAAAATAATGAAACGCGGGTATTTGAACAATATGCCGCTGAAATTGAGAAACGGCTACCGAAATGTACTATGTATGTATATGTACTATGTATATGTACTGTGTATATGTACTGTGTATACACTATATACGTGTACTATATATACATATAGTATGTACGAATATTGAGTAGTATTTTGGCGCATTTTAAAGGCAATGAAAACTTCATTCAGCGTTTTATTTTTTGTTGAACGTATGTTTGATGGCTGCCAGTCAGTTACGCAGACAGACGAGCAGTCATTCATTTAGTTAGTAAGTCCGTCTGTTAGTTGATGCAAAAAACGATTGCATAAACACACTCATACACACACAATTTACATACTCACACTCATGTGGCATGCACAGTTGTTGAAAGTGTTTCGTTGACTGCAACAAATAAATACATACATATACATACATATGGGAGAGAGACCGGTTGAATGACAGGCTGTCTGACTCCTCAGGCCAGGGCTTACGATTTACTGCAACGTTTTCCCTGCCAATTGGTTGCCTTGGCAATTCTTGAAAATCCGACGGCTATGCACTACATTTTCAATGGCATTTCCCATACTATTTTCTCATATTGCACTATTATACTTATCTTATTATGGTTTGCAATATTGGTACATATACTTGTAGTTATGCATGTAAGTGACGGACATTTCAAGCTACTTTTCTACGAGTACGACTGAATCTCCTGCAAGTCAACTTGGCCTGGCCCAGCATGTTGACAGGCTTTGTACTCTTGCTCCAGCCATCTAAGCTATGGAAAAATGCACAATAGACTGCATATTTAAACTTACTATACATTTCACCATTATGTCGGTTGTTGTTTTCGTTGCTTTTGTTTTTGCTGCTTTTAGCAATTATGTGGATTTGAAGCATAACAAGTTTTTCATTTTGTTTCGCATCCGCTCGACTCAACTCGACTCGACTCTCTGCCTCTTTCTAATTATGACAGCGGCAGCACAAAAGCTCAGACATCACTCGCAGCGTGATACGAAATGAGCAAGGCAAGCGTAAAGCTTTGAGCAGCCCCCACCCTCTATAAAGAGTGGAACGTTATTGTACCCATCACTCTTTAAAGTCCTGCGTATTCGAGCGGAATTTGAACTACAAAAAATAAACACAAAACTAAATGGGAGAACCGCATCTTAGGCCATTACGAATATTGAATGCGCTTTGCACTTTGAAAGTTGCTTCGATGTGAATGAATGCATAATCAAATAATAATAATATGTCTAAGTGTGTTAATATTTTAATAGGCGAATTTTCCAAATGGCAATTTCTAGTTTCTTGTATTAAAACAGCAGCTCTGAAACCCTGCCAGCTGTTTCCCTGATCTCGCCATAGCTCGTGACTTGAGCAATTCGTTCACGAGTGTCGGTCTGCTTCTAACTAAATACTATATACAAGTACATAGTATAAATAAGACTTGCCTTTAAAGTTGTGCGTTTGTGTATTGTTATACATTTAAATTGTTACGTTTGTCTCCCAAATTATTGATCTTAAATCCACTATGTTCAGCTTCTTATAAATGTAATATTATAATATTATAAAACTTTTTGAAAAACTATATTTTGAATAAAATTAGAACGCAATTGAAATTAGTGGGACAATTTTCTCTATATTTGTTTCGCCTTTTGCACGCTTAGAGAAATTTTGTGGGAAAAATTAAGGCTGAGAAAAATGTTGAAAGTTGCCTTCTCCACGGCAAGTATTTTTTTACCCAGTACCCAAAGGGCAAAAGGGTATATTATTTTGTGCGAGTGTACATGAAACACACAGAAGGAGACGTGGCAGACCCCACAAAGTATATATTCTATATATTCTTGATCAGGATGACAAGCCGAGTCGATATAGCCATGTCCGTCTGTCTGTCTGTATGAACGCAAGGATCTCAGAAAGTATAAGTGCTAGAATAACTTGGTATCTAGATTCTCCTAAGCCCGAGAAAGGCCGAGTTTGTTCATTTTTTCTGATCCCCCCCTATTCACGATTTTCTATAACTCCCGTAATTCTTGAAATTTTGAACTAAAATTTGATAGTCACATTAAGTTAGTGATTATATATCCGTATACCAAGTTCATTATGATAGGTTGATCAGAAAGAAAGTTATAGCCATATAACCAGGCCCAATGCACTCATACATACATACATATGTACAAGTACACAAACACGCATAGACACGATTCTGGTGTAAATGTATGTATACATATATGAAATATTTTATATTTAATTTAGTTAATTAATTAAATTAAATTAATTAATTAATTAAATTAATTGAATTTCTTTTTTTGTGGGGTGGTACAGGGTATTTAAGAGTTGAGCCTGCTCGACTTTAGCATTCCTTTCTTGTTATTACTGAATATGAAACAAGTCCGATAGTACCAATTTCTGTTAATGAATATATTTTCAAATATTCGGCTGAATTAAGGAATTACTATACATACTATATATACTGATGATGCTGGATAAATGTAGCTTACTAGCTTGTAGACTTGGTAGAAGCTCTCTGTCAAGCCGCAACAAGTGGTATGATACCGTTTCGCCTACAATATTTCGGAGTTCTGCTATGCTCCGCGATCAAGTTAATATGCTCTATCCTCGAGCATACAAAAGACATGCATCAAAAGCGTTCATACGAATGCCGACTAATTAGTTTATCTAATTTTTAAGAGAATATAGCGCAGGAATGGCGCGCATAAAAAGCCGTATGTAATTGAAACAACTAACGGCAACCATCCACATATACATATATGTATATGCGGACGAGAACATACTCAGAATGTACAATGCCCTCAACATAAACATGTACGTATGTATGTAAGCCTTGGGCTACAATTTCATACGCGTTGTATTTCCCATGCAAATCTCGCTCATTAGAGAGCATATAAATAGGACAAATGCGCGTGTGTGTGTGTGTGTGTGTGTGTGTAAGCGAGGAGGGGGGTGGGGTAGTCGGTTGAGCACAAGCTTCATCTTGACACCAAAAATTTAATGTATAGCATAGGGAACTTTAAAAACCTTGCATTCACGTCGCCGGTTTGAAGTATGCCGGCAAAGTAAATTAAAACCGCATTCATTATTTCAGTTTTTTTTAACCACACACAAACGCATACGCCAGGGAACGAAAATATATATTACTATACATATACTATATGTGCAAGTATGTACCATGTATTGTGCATAACTCATAAAAAGCTTAAAATAAAACTTGATTGCAAATGCTCGCAACAAATTGAAATTAATTTCAATTGTGGTGGAATAAAATGAAAAACACAAATACGCACGGATGTGGATATACGTACATGAAAAATCGTTGGAAAATAACAATTTCACGCATTATATGTGTGGCAAATGACATAGCCAGTCGGTATTTGTCTCTTTCTGTGTGCGTGTATGTGTGTGTGTGTGTGTGCTGTACGTCCTCGCCCCACCAGCCCCACCTATGACTCTTGTCGTGGCCTGTTGTGGCCTTTGTTGTAGCCAAAACCATGGCAAAAAATCGATAAAATTCTTGCCAAAATTTCGTTGGCTTTTCGCAGTTGGCCCAAGACTTCAGAAAAGTTTGTCCTTGGGTACTTCGGTTGGGGGGATGGGTGTGTGTGTCTGCTATATTTGACATTTTGCATGTTTGTGTGTGTGTGTGTGTCCGTGTTTGCGTGCGTCTGTTAGAAACTAAGGCACTATTGATCCTTGTCTTTGTCTGCTTTGTGAATGTTGATTTGTCTATTTTCGGTGCGCGTTTACATTTGGCGCGTTTTCTGCTTACCATTTCGCTACGCCTATTTGCGTTTTATATAACCTACGCTCCAACCAGATCTGACTCTAATTGGTCTGGCACTGAATGCTCGCGACCGTCATCAAAGCTGTACAATTTGTACGGATGGCTTTAGTGCTGGAACATTTGGCTGCCAGATTTTAAAATTGTATGAATGTTTGAAGGTAGGTATAGTAAGATCGCGGCGATGATTTGTCCTAAGCGACAATCAAATAAGCTGTTAAATGATTTTGGGCTTTGTCTGGCTCTCTTGTGTGCCTTAGTAATCTAATGATTCCAATTACTATTTGTTGTTTCGGGGGATTTGCGTTAAATGAATATAATTAAATTCTAGTCTAAAAATCTAGAGCAAGTCATTCTATATACACAGCTTGGATACTTCAAAGAACTAACCCAAAATACCCGTAGACTTTAGTGATTAATCATAAAGTGAACAAATGAAGTAAAGTCGACGAACACAAGTAGCTGATGGTTACATTTAATTAAATCAGTTATTAAATTCACGAATTCGAGAAAAATGTCAACTTTATCATAAAAGCACTTTTTCTAATAATTAATACAAATGTAAGTATACACTTTATTATATCTATATAGTCACTGCATTACAGTGTGTTTAATGTCGTTGGATTGGCCAACATATACAAACGGCGGTCATACAAAATAGAAAGTCACAAAATTTTAAATCAATTTATTAAACTCATCAATAATACGTTTCAGGGCATGACTAATATCACTTATGTATTCGAGACAAGTCCAACAAAATTCCTCGCCCTAGCTAGATATGGATAAGCATATACTTAGTTGTTACTTTGAAAGACTTTTAAAATAATGATTGGATAGTGAGTAGTCCTTATTTATTTAAACATATCAGTGATAAAAAGAAATTGCATTTATTAATTATTTATTTATTACTTAATGAAGACTTTCATTAATTTCAATTTTTCCTTTTTTTCTATATGTTTATAGTAATACTGCAAATGCTCTAATACAAATAATTTGTTAAGGGGGAAAGTATCTTGCCCCATTAGATGAGATTCTGGCATTCCATGCATTTTGAAAGTATTATTTGTTTATTTTTAGATAGAAAGTCATCTATTGTAATGGAAAGAATTGTAATTATCTATTAAGTCCGAATAACGGTAGAGTGAATCTGTTATTTATGTTACTTGGCATAACCTTGTGTTTTTAGGTAGTCGATTCTTCATTTTATATTCTTATTTTTTAGAGTGGATAGGCGCAAATTTAATTAAAATTCAAACAACACACTTGGCAAAACAAATAAATCAAATGTCTAATAAATATTTTGGGAGAAATTATGATATACAATACACGTATGTATGTATATACATATCTGATAAAGGTAAAATATGCTGCCGTAAGTGGTGGTAAAATATTTGATTTTCAATTATAAAACGATGAATAGACGGTCTTTATAACTCTGCGATATAATTAATGAAACGGCTTCAGTACCGACTTACAATCTTATTAAAATTTCAGGCATAAATAACAATACAAAACACTTGTACAATAAGGTAAGTGAGATACTTTTATGTAGAAGAAGTTCGGCTAAAACAAAACAACAACAATAATAAAATATAATAATTGCGAAATTATTATTTATTGAAGCGTGATATATGTATATGTAGCTTTCGTAAAGTCCCCTTCACACTTAGGCGTGACTCACCCTACGATAAGATAAAGCCAGAGCTTTGAGGCACATTCACACGAGCATTTATTTAATAATGTTTATAGAGTAACCAACACCTGTGCCTATATTATCAATACTATTTCAGTTTTATATTTATGCATACATAAGAGAGTCTTTCGATAACCTATACACTAAAACGTGGGCCTTTTTGAGCATTTTTAACGTGACAGCAATGCCGACAACGCATTTAGTCGATAAACAGAAGTTGAAGTGTTCTTGTGCTCCCAAGTGACGTTGAAATTCGCGCGATTTTAATTTTTAAATAAATCTTTGTTATCAGTAAACTTTGTGCCTTAAATAATGGGTAAGTGCGGGCAATGTAGAATAATGTAGAATAATATTATAGTTGCAAGCTTTATAGTTTACTTGTAAATGCATTTACTATATACTACCACATATATCATTGTATGTTGCTGTGAAAAATGCACAAAAAAAAGAAAAGAAGCTTCCATATGGCTTTATAACAGTTCATAAAATGCAATTTGCTTGCTTTCGAATGGAAACTTTTGTTAAATTCTGTCTGAGTGTTCTGTTTTGAACTCTTCCAGGCGCCGTGCAGCCGGGAGCAGTTGTGAGCGTTGGTAAGGAGTGCCTCTGGCTGTTCTACTTGTAATTGAATTTAACTATCGGACCAAAAAGCAAAACCTGCGTTAACTCACCCTTCCTATACACATATCTTATCACCATTATCCATTGCTTATCACATCAAACTGTCTCTCTTTGCAGAACACACATGGGTGCACTCGACGCCATATGCCGCTCTACCTCCCTATGCCGTAATCGGCGGCCACGACTGTGATCGCTCTCCCATATATGTGGGCCGTTCGTTCCATGAAGGGGAGAATTTGCCTGCCAAAGTGATACCCAGTAAGGGTTGTGCCTACGTTAGCTATGGTGGCCACGAGCACCAGAAGACACATTACGAGGTACTGGTGGGTCAGGGCTTTGCCTGGGTAGGCTGTGCCGGCGGCTCAGTGCCTCCAAATGCGGTGCGCAGCGGCACGACTCGCACCGGCGAGCCACTCTACGTGGGCCGCGGTCATCACGCAAATAGCCTAAGTGTTGGCAAGATCCATCCCTCGCACGGCTGCCTGTATATTCCTTTTGGTGGCGCAGAGGTGCGCGTGTCCACCTACGAGGTGCTTATTTATCAGCAGCAAGATGTTTGGCTATCTGCCACACCTAGTTATACACCCCCCGGTGCTGTCATTGCTGGTCATGATTCAGATCGGACACCCATTTATGCCGGACGTGCTATGCACGAAGGTGAAATGCTGCCAGCCAAAGTTATCCCCAGCAAGGGCTGTGCCTACGTCTGCTTCGGGGGCTACGAGTTTCAAAAGCCCACATACGAGGTGCTCACTGGATATGGTTACGTATGGGTACGCCCCCACCATCACAGCATGCCGCCAAACGCAGTAACCACGGGACGCACCCGCCAGGGCGATTTCATATACTATGGACGTGGACATTATCAGGGCAGTTTGACACCTGGTCTCATCTCTGCCCGTCAGCGTTGTCTGTTCATCCCCTATGGAGGACGCGAGATCCGCCTTGACTCCTATGAGGTGCTCTGTCGGCAGTAACTGACATCAGTTAATGGCGATTATGTTTATTATATTTATTAAAACCATATATAAAACCTGACAATAATAAAATGTCCTAAAGTAGCACAATGCTTGCTTTTGGAATTACTTCCAAATTGCGGGATAGTATGTATTTTAGATGGTTTTGAAATGTGGAATTTCTATGGACGTTCACCAAAATACAGATCATTATTTTTTTTTCGATAGCATTCAACTGAACGCTAGTGATAATTATTATATTTTAATATTTACTATCATCAATAGTAAATAGTAAAATAGTGTGCTACAATGTGCCACACCCCATATGTTTTTATGAATCGATTGAAGAATTAGCTTACAAATATTAATGGATCATAATTCTCTCATAATTATGTTATTAAAAGCCTTTTAAAATGTGTGGTGGTTACAAACAAAGTGTATTTTTATTCACGATGGTGATTTGGTGCTATTATTGTGACACTTTAAAAGATTCTTATTGATTTCGCTCGGTACGTTCTTTTGCTTTTTCGTAGCACCGTCCTTAACTTATTTTTTTAATTATGGACTTGCATTTTCACAATGAAAATGGATTGCAGGGCCCTGCGTCCTATCTCTTCTTGACCTAATTTGTAAGGTGGATTGTCCCCAATAAGAGCACCCCAAAAGCGCATTATTATGTATATTCTATACAATTTATTTCTAATTTCTTATGTTTTAAGTAAGTGCTCCAAAAGTGAAAAAATAGTAGGGATACTTATCATAGGAAATGTTTAAGATAGTAAAAATACGTTACATATTAGATAAGATTTTGAAGACTATTGGGAAACATTTTAGAGGGAGAATCCGGTTAAAAAGAAGTAATAATTTAATGAGCTTTTTAATGGGATAATTGCTGCGAATAGCTTGAAATTTTTTTAAATTATTTTATATTGGTTTTTGGCGACCTTTCTAGTAATAACTATTGAACTAGAATTACTTCGGGTGCCATGTAATTAATTCGTCCTGAAGCAGATTTTTGTAGTTGTGGCATTATATTGTCCATTAATACTTATACCTATCTGTAAGCACAAATTTGAATTATATTCAAAGAATTGGTTGTCAATTACATTGATTGTTCTCCGTGTGCATACAAATACACATATATACTCGTATGTAAGTTAAATGCACAATATTTATTATTTCACGCACAAGTGTATGTGTAAGGGCTTGAAATTATATTTTATGCTGCAAACAAAGAAGTGCAAAGCATGCAGGATCTGAGAGGATGAAAACTTCTGAGGTCCAATACAAACAAATAAACAAGCAAGAATTGTGTGCATTTGTATTTTTGCTACTCAGAGCGCACACATTTGAGCCACAAATTTGTGTCAACAGTTCTTAGCTACTAATCCTGGTAGTTCTGGGAGTATGACCCAAATTTGTTAGTTGACAAAGAACTTACATCGCAAGCGTGAAACATGAAAATGCGGCTGCCAGTGGTCAAGAAATGGCAGCAATTTCTGATGCTTTTACAAAAATTGACTTGGATGCCTGCTTTTCCCCGAAATAGGCAAAATAAAAGAGCAGAACTCGTTAGCGAAAGAGCCAAAGCAGCTTCAGAGGCCCCGAAGGCCAGGGGCAATGGATTGTTAAGTTGCTTACGTTTCAGTTTCGGCTTAGACTTTCGGTTTCGGGCGAAAACACTTACCGGCGGAGATTCAAAGAGCATTACTTCGGTGCCCTTGAGCAGTAGAAATCTGGGCTTATAGCTTTGCCACGATATGTTGTTGTTGATGACGCCCTCATTTACCCACCCCATGTACTCGATGCGTTCGCCGACGGCAAAATTGCGATTGTAGAGCTTCATCTGGAATTAAACATAAGCGCATACGTGTTAGTTATGTAATCGAAATCGTATATGTGCCAAAAAATGGCAGATATAAAAAGTCCATCGTCCTTACATACGGACACACGCGCATACCGTATGTAAGCATACATTGTTGTTTGACTCTTTTTGTATGCAACAGAAAGAGCAACAGAGTACAGTGGGCCAGGAAACATAATGTTAGTCAAAGCAAACAAATTTTAAAAATGTTTCCCAACGTATTTTCCTATTAACTGTAACTTTCTTTCTTTAAAAATTACCGTTAAAATTAATAAAATTTAAGAGTAAAGATACTGTAGAGTTAAAGATACTTCTTACAATTTACAAGTATATTCACTTAAGGAAGGTAAAGTTAAAACGAGTTAAAAAGCTGTCTATAGTGTGTATTTGAATTTGAAAGTTCTTTAGAATTTGATGTTCATTTGGAGTTTGGTCCAAAAACGGAGTCTGTAGGCCCACTGTGCCGTGGCAGATGCAAAACGGACGTTGCTCATACGCTCTGTATTCGCGCACATCTTTGTTGTTTTCTTTTTCCTTTCGCTTTTTTACTGACGTAAATATATTTTTTATCTGTTTATGCATCCGCTTGCAGTTTGCTGTTTGCACTGTTTGTGAGCTTTTTCGTTGCCATTGCATACAAATTGCTTAATTGAGTGCCAGTTGCAGTGATTAATGTTATTCGCTTTCGCCCCAACTAACCTGCAGATGTGTAAGTCCCACAACATTGTCGGTAATCAGTTTAAGCCACTGGCTCAATATAGCCAGTTCATCACAGTGTATGACGCCGGTGGTGACGCCGTTCAGTCCGCGAACCTCAAACGCGTTAGGACGCAATTTGTCCGTGCCATAGATATAGCGCGTCACATAGGCCATCATCAGTGGCACTGCAAAAGCGATATTAAATATGATTCTTAGTAAAATCGAGCACATTCCTCGCACAAATCGGGCAAAGGCTGACTCATATCAATTCAATTTTACATTTAAGCCCAAAGGTTTTACGTAAATCAAGCAATATTGGCTGAATCGAGGAAAAAACAATCAATGTTTGAAATACTTTTGTTCAATCAATCAATGTTTGAAATACTTTTATTATTACAATTTGAATACTACCATCACCAATATAATATGATTGCTAATTAATTATAGCCTTCAACATTTATTGGGTAACAAAGAATAATGTCTAAGAAATATTTATTTTGGTATACTTATTATTTTGTAATTGATTGCGGTGGCTGCCTGTCTCTTATTCCCAATTTCTCTGACTTTAAAAATTATTTAATTGGTCTTACTTCTTTGATTTCAAGATGTTTCCGCTTCTTACATCCCCATCACAAGGGTATTAATTATGTTGGGTTTTCCGGTTAAAATTAAAGGGTGAATAAATGAATAGTCTTCCATTTTGAGTCGACGCAAGCATTGCAAGCAAACATCGGCAGACCTACGTAGATATATAATTGCGCGTAAAGGATAGGCTCTGTGCGTGAATGCACACATACATACATACACGTATATACTATATGCATACTCATATGTGTACTTTTGTAAATATGTGTGCCACGCGACGGCGGCAGCTGCACATACCTACTATATACTAGAAGTAAAGGCACAAGCATTAATTAACTAAGTAATCACTGTTCAGATAGGGAATAACCTTCAACTATTCAACATATTTTCGTTAGACTTTCATGGTCACTATGCTGCTGTTCGATGCGAAAATACACATGTTTTCCCTGGACTTACTAACAGAGCTATCACAGTGTTTTCGATATAGTAAATAAATGAAATTGAGCTCACAAGGACTACCTGAGGATGTATAAAAGTAATAGTGTAATATTGTAGCCAGTGCGAGACTTGAAATAGGCAAGAAACTTTATTGGCTTATGTAGAAATGTCTTGATTTAACCGATCCTTTTTTCTCTCAGTGTGCATGCAAACATATTACTGTCGGCTGATTGCAACATACCTGCCACCACGTCTGTCCACTTTTTCTCTGGCTCTGAGCAAATGGACATGGGACGACTGCAACTGCGACTGATGGTGCCGCTATTGACCGAGGACTTGTAACCTTCATCGGCCTTCAGTTCAGCGCAGGTGACATCATTGTCCGATTCGGGCGTATCCTTTGTTACTATTTGGAAAATAAAAGAATTAAAGTTAAGTTCCCTTGATAGGCAAACGAACAATGTAATAAGCTGAAAATAAGGAAGTAGTTCCTTAATTTGGCTTCATTTAATTTGATTGTACATACAAGTACATGCATACTCTGGTATATATCTGAAACTTTATTTATGTGCATTTATTCAAATGCTTGAAGCTTGCCAAATCGAATTAGTCTTTTGACTACAAGTAATTAGATTAATATCATATGTTATTGCTTAAGAATTTATTGTATGCTAGGAATTATCATTTTCGCACTATTAACATACATATGTATTAACATACATACTTGTATATGCATATCTTAGAGTATCTTTATTCGAGTGTTTACTATGTGGTGCATGAATTATATTACTACAATAAAAGCACATACATTTTTAATTTTATCTGAGCCACTGCAAATGCCACTTGGAGCCTGCAACTTTAATTTGATGCACATTGTTAGTGCTGTGAATGAACATTAGAAATTGTCTCTTGAAAACTGACAGTATGTGGGTTTTATGGTTTTATTGAGATCTTTTGGAGCATGAAAAAAAGGTCTGGCGAAAAGGTCGCATTAAATTCTTTAGCGAATTCTTTAAGCGCGGCAGTATAGAAAAAAACGGGTGTTGAACGTACACAAGTAACGACCCCAAGACTTTGAAGGACACAACCTCAAATGCTTTGGAGCAAAGGGGCTGAAACCGTGCTCCGGTTCACAATCTAATGATTTGCACGTAGCATGTCAAGGTGTAGCGAAAAATGCCAAAGTAAAGACATAAAATGTGCGCCATTTTGCCTTTTTTGTTGGGCTGTTTGCCGCTTTTCAGTCATGCGTAATGCTGTTTAATTTTAATTTAATTAAAATAAGAAAACAAAAACAAGGGCTATGTTCAACAGTTAACAGACTATTCGTTGTCTGTTGGAATTTCTCTATATATTTGCCCGTAAGTCTGTCTGCTGGTCGTCTGTGGGTGTGGGGGGTGTCAATTTATTTAAACTCATGTCAGGATGTTTGTCTACTTACGTTGCTTCTGCAGGAAGGGCGTCGCAGCGCGATAATGTTTGACAGTCAGGACAACAATGTCGCCGGCGTTGCGCAGAATGTTGACCGCATCATCGTGCGGACATGCGGTGATATATTCGCCATTTACTTTTATTATCGCATCACCCACAAACAACTGGCCGGTGATGTCCGCTGCCTGATCCTTGTAGATGCGCGAGATTAATATTGGTAATTTATGTTCGGCGCCGCCTTTAATGCTTAGCCCCAGGCCACCCTGCTTCTGACGCGTTATCTGCACCATGCGCTCCTGTTCGAGAATATAACATTTAACTTTATTTAATATCGATAAATATTTATGTGTTAGGTTTGCTGCAAGCCAAGCTAAGTGAATTGATTTATGTCCCTTCACAATGTCATGTCACGTAGCTGGAATATTTATAAACAGTCGCCCACATCTATTACTTTTTAATTAAATTTAGCGAGTGAATGAAATCAATACAAGCTTTTAGAGCTCAGTTACAAGCTGACCTTTGCCAATAATTTCCTAGTATGTACATTTTGCTTTGTTGCAGTTTTCATGTCGGCCTTAATTGAGTTTCTATTTTTATATTATACAGTCATGCAATAGAAAAATGCACAGTTATGCAGTAAATCATAAGTTCAACCATGCTGGAAATCCTTTTGATAAAGCTTTCAACTGGAGACGCTTACAGCACTTTTGTAAAAATTAATGTATGGATGTTTTATCAGAAGGATAACAAAAACGAATAACAAATGAAAAAGAAATGAAAGTTCATTATTATTTCAAATGTTGAGGACAGGACACAGAAAAAATAGTATACTGTTAAACATAGGAACTATTCAGGAATTAAATCGGAACCTTTTCTAAACGTTCTTTAGTTTATTAAATAGTGAAGATGTGTTTTTGTATTGCTAATTCCAATATTTAATAATTTATATAAGAAGTTTGAATTTATATAAAGTATTTATAATTTATACATTTATAAAATCCATATAAATTATATAAATTATATAATTTATATAGTTTATATAGTTTATATAGCTTATATAGTTTATATAGTTTATATAGTTTATATAGTTTATATAGTTTATATAGTTTATATAGTTTATATAGTTTATATAGTTTATATAGTTTATATAGTTTATATAGTTTATATAGTTTATATAGTTTACATAGTTTATATAGTTTATATAGTTTATATAGTTTATATAGTTTATATAGTTTATATAGTTTATATAGTTTATATAGTTTATATAGTTTATATAGTTTATATAGTTTATATAGTTTATATAGTTTATATAGTTTATATAGTTTATATAGTTTATATAGTTTATATAGATTATATAGTTTATATAGTTTATATAGTTTATATAGTTGATATAGTTGATATAGCTTATATAGTTTATATAGTTGGTATAGTTGATATAGTTGATATAGTTGATATAGTTGATATAGTTTATATAGTTTATATAGTTTATATAGCTTATATAGTTTATATAGTTTATATAGTTTATATAGTTTATGTAGTTTATATAGTTTATATAGTTTATATAGTTTATATAGTTTATATAGTTTATATAGTTTATATAGTTTATATAGTTTATATAGTTTATATAGTTTATATAGTTTATATAGTTTATATAGTTTATATAGTTTATATAGTTTATATAGTTTATATAGTTTATATAGTTTATATAGTTTATATAGTTTATATAGTTTATATAGTTTATATAGTTTATATAGTTTATATAGTTTATATAGTTTATATAGTTTACATAGTTTATATAGTGAAAAATCGCTAGCTTTTTAGCGAAAACGACAACAAGATTTAACTATTTATCAATTGAGACGCGGTGTTCTTTGATTATTAATATGGCTTTTAATGGCTTGGTAATTGTGCAATAACGATGTTGACCGTGCGAGAAGTATTTAACAAGTGATTTGCCTGCTGCCGCTACAAGTCAGCGGGCCGGCATAAGAAAAGTAATGCCCAAAGAGAGCGCCACAGAGATCGCAGTAAAGGGCGCGATAGAGAGCGCAAAGAAAAGGCTTAGAAGCTAAGTAGGGTGCTCCAACATTCCGGCCCCTTTGAAGGACTCCCGGTCTTTCAAATCCACACGGAGCACCGCCAACATCGTGGACTGGTCGCCTAGCAGCGCCGCTGCCTCCAACAATCCTCCTATGTGAGGAGGTCGGGGAAGAATGAACCACCAATCGATTCGTCGCTCTGCCGCATAGTCCGTCAGGGCGTCCTTTCTCCGCTCGAAAGCCGACGGCATGTCCCTCAGCAAGCCGCTTGTTCCCGCGAAGTTCGTCACGTTGTCGCTAAAGACCATTTCCGGCAGGCCGCGCTTCCCGATGAGCCTTGTAAAGACGTTAAGGACAGTTTCAGTGGATAAATTAGCTACCAGTTCGAGGTGAACGGCCTTCGAGGCAAAACAAACGAATATCGCTACGTAAGTTGTAACGGGCGGTCTTCCGCGTATGCGATAGCTACCATGGAATGGGCCGCAAAGTTCGAGTCCACAAACCCTGAAAGGTCGACCTTCTCGAAGGCGATCACCTGGCAAATTTCTCATTATTTGCTCAACTAACTTGGGCTTGCATCGAAGGCAGTGATGTAAAACTGCTGAGCAAAACCTACGAGTATTTATCACCCAAATCTGTTGCTTTAGCAGCCCAACTAACCTCTTAAATCGCCACAGCTCTTGCCACAGAGTTTTGGCCGCTATGACGATGGGGCACAAAGGTCCAAGTTGCTCAGACAAATGAGACAATATATCTCGCTTTGTCGGCTTCAACGAAGTAAAGCTATCCTCATGCAGATGATAACGAAATACATCATTATGAGGAGCCAGCATGTCGTCAACATAAAAACAATTTTTAATGACATTTAACGCGACATGGTGACATCGAGCATAAATATTTGCCAATTCAAACAACAAGCGCACAGCAAAAAATGGCGCTGATGCAGTCCCGTATGTCACAGTGTTCAACTTAAAGGACTGCAGCTCATGAGAGGCGCTTTCTCGCCAGAGAATGAGCTGGTACTTTTTGTCTTTTTCAGACACGTTTACTTGCCTGTACATCTTGGAGATGTCGGCAGTAATTGCGTATTTATTCAACCGAAAATTTACAAATGTTGAATGAAGCTCCCTCTGAATAGTCGGCCCAACCATTAAAGTGTCATTTAATGATAGGGCCGTTGACGTTTTACTAGAAGCGTCAAACACCACACGCAATTTGGTTGTGGTGCTTTCAGGTCTCAGGACACACTGATGAGGAATGTAGTAGTGCTGTCCTGGAGGAGGAGATTCAAGAGCAGACATATGCCCAAGATCACGATACTCTCTCATGAAGTCATGGTACATGTCATGGAGAGTTTTGTCTCTTGCGAGTTTGCGCTCAAGTTGCAAAAATCGTCTTTCAGCAGTTTGAAAGGAAAGCCCTAGTACAGCGGGATCGGATTTGAACGGAAGTTCGACTTGAAAACGTCCTGTAGACAGGCGCTGTACTGATTTGGTGAAGTTAGCTTCACAGGCCTTTTGTTCAGCTGTCTGGCGCACAGCCTTCGACTCATTCGGGCTCCGATCGAGTTCCCAAAAGCGTTGAACTAAGGTGTCGAGAGAACAATCATTAACTTGAGCGACAACGTTAACTCTGAATTGTTGAGGAGGTATTTGCCCTGTATATCTTCCAGCAACAACCCATCCCAGCAATGTCTTCTGCAACAATGGAAGACAGGAATTGAGCTCGATTTGCCCAACGCATAATAACTTGTAAAAAAGTTCAGCGCCTAGGAGAATATCAACCTTGGCTGGCTTATAGAATTCTGGGTCAGCCAACTCAAGGTTTGCGGGTATTTTCCAATTCGATGTGGGTACAAAGTTACCAGGCTGACAAGTAGATATGGATTTAAGAACCCAAAAATCAGTGCCAAAGCTGTGAGAATTCAAACGAGATTGAATATCAGCGCACACCTTGTGCCTACTACCAGTAGTGGTTCCACCTGCCATTACAATACTCACAGCTGTGTCTTTACGCTTTAATCGAAGGCGCTGCGCAAGGTTCTCAGTCATGAGGTTCAACTGTGAGCCGCCATCAAGTAACACACGAGCAGGATGGTAATGGCCGAATCTATCTTTAATTTTTACGACTGCTGTGGCAAGAATTACTTGATCGGCACTTAAAACGTGACCTAAGTACGCTTCTGGAGGTGCGACTGCGTGTGGAGCGGGTGAATTTGGCACAGCTACAGAGTATCTGTGCAACAACGAATGGTGTGGCTTTGAACACACCCGACACTTGGAAGCCTCGCAGCTGGAAACTATATGGCCCACATTCAAACAATTGAGGCACATTTTTTGAGTCTTAGCAAACTCAAATCGCTGCATAACAGATATAGAACCGAAGGAAGGGCAAGAATAAATATTGTGATCCGCAGAACCACAATATGTGCACTTCGAGACCGGTTTTGAAGGCTTTGAAGGACCCTTTGTGCAAGAAAACGAAGCTTTACTATTTCTTGCAGGTTCTACTCGCGGTTTATTTGGAACCCGAGTTGTCTCTTCAGCCGCTAAATATTGGTAACGCCTGTTTAACTGCTTAGCGCAGTCATCCCAAGAAGGCAACTTGTCATAATCGAGCTGTTCCTCAAAACGAGATTTGGTTGCATGATCAACTTTGGCCATAACCATATGTATGATCATTGCATTCGAAATGTCCTGTTCACTTCCCAACGAAGTTAAAGACGCATAAATGGCAGAAACAGTGTCAATGATGGACCGCAAAGTAGACGCATTAGGTTTGGTCATACTTGGGATGTCAAACAATTGCGAGATAGTGTCGAAAAATATCAAACATTTGTTGTCGTACACAGACTTGAGGCTAGCAATGGCTTTCGAGTAATTGCAGTCCGTTAACTGAAACGGTTTCACAACTCCTAGAGCCTCACCTGACAAGCACGACACCAAATGATTAAACTTCTCGACGTTGGTCAACGAAGGATCGTCATGAACTAGGCTTTCAAATAAGCACATAAAATTCTTAAATTCGGCATGCTTTCCACTGAATGTAGGCAGCCGCATTTTGGGTAACTGGGACCGTTGACTGGCCACCATAGAACAGTCATGAGAAGTCTGACTTTCAACCTTTTGTTTCGTTGCCTTCACATACAACGCCTTAGTTGAAATGCACAAATCCTCAAGTGGCCCTCTACTATCGTTACTTGGATTGAGACTATCCAAATCTGCCTGAAGCGCCATAGCTTTCTTTATGTAATCTTCTAACAGCTGGAGACGACACTCGAGTTCTGTTTGTTCAAACGAAATTGTCTTTAACTGAAATGCTGTTCTCATACGAGCAATGTCAGCGCTAACCTTATCAAATTTCTGCAAGCATTGTACTAGTTTAGAACTAGATTTAGCTACTACTTGTTGCTTTTCAGATTCCGACATGGTAGAGTATAACCAAAATAAACTCTAAACAAGTTGCAAATCAAAGAAAATGAAAGCCGAACTTTCCTAACAGCCCTCGCAAATAACAACGCGCTAAAACAGCAAGAGACAAACTGAAATGCACGCAGATTACGTACACACGCACTCAATACAGTATGCACGCAAGCAAAGTAGCAGTCCAAGCGACCACAGAAACAACAACGAAATCTGCAAGCAGTCTCAGCTGTACTCAGAAAATAGGCGTTGATTACCGCAAGCACGCTTGTAGGCAACGCTAATCCAAACGGGTAGCGGGGGGAAGTTCGTTGGCCCAGCGACAAGTGTAGCCGAAAAAGGGCGCGCACAAAGGAGAGAGCGACAAAAATTGCGCTAGCGGCGCAAGCAACAACAAAAGCTATGTTTCTATGTATGCAGCTGATGCATCAAATCTTCACCAAAAAACCAACACAATAGAACCAAAATAACTTCAAAATATTTGTTTTCTATGTTAAAAATCAGCTTAACAGCCCTTTTTTAATTATTGTTGTTTGTTTTGCCTCGAGGTTTTGTTAATAATTATGTTTATGAGGGTGTATAATGTGTTAAATTGTGCAAGGTATGACGTATGTATGTATATAATATGTATTTGTGTATGTAATGTGGTTGCACAAATAATTTAAGTGCCAAAAATTGAGCCTGCATAAGCATACACGTACTATATATACATATGTATGTATGTACGTATGTGACTAGGTTTAGACAACTTTCGCTTGCACAAATTTGCAGCAATTAAACTTCTTAGAGGTTTATGCTCAATTGTTGGCACAGAATACCTGTAAGCTCTCAAAGGAGTCCACTGAAACTTCCCTGGAGTCCGAGCGACGATCACCCATTAGCCAAGCCAAACGATGCACAAGTAGGGCAGACAGCAGCTCCACAGTCCAAACGAATGTATGTAGTTGATGATATCCAGAAAGGCACCAAGCTCCAAATCCAAATCAAACGAAGTAATCACACGACCGCGCACAAAAACCAAGCCACAAAGACCGCAAACAAACGAGGAAATAATCTCCTGAAAACCGATGTCCCTGCTCGGGCGCCAATGAAAAATCGCTAGCTTTTTAGCGAAAACGACAACAAGATTTAATTATTTATCAATTGAGACGCGGTGTTCTTTGATTATTAATATGGCTTTTAATGGCTTGGTAATTGTGCAATAACGATGTTGACCGTGCGAGAAGTAGTTAACAAGTGATTTGCCTGCTGCCGCTACAAGTCAGCGGGCCGGCATAAGAAAAGTAATGCCCAAAGAGAGCGCCACAGAGATCGCAGTAAAGGGCGCGATAGAGAGCGCAAAGAAAAGGCTTAGAAGCTAAGTAGGGTGCTCCAACATATAGTTTATATAGTTTATATAGTTTATATAGATTATATAGATTATATAGTTTATATAGTTTATATAGTTTATATAGTTTATATAGTTTATATAGTTTATATAGTTTATATAGTTTATATAGTTTATATAGTTTATATAGTTTATATAGTTTATATAGTTTATATAGTTTATATAGATTATATAGTTTATATAGTGTTGGAGCACCATGTATAGTTTTTAAGTCTCTCTGTTGCGCTCTCTATCGCGCCCTTTACTGCGCTCTCTTTGTGCATTACCTTTTTTATGCCGGCCCGCTGACTTGTAGCGGCAGCAGGCAAATGACTTGTTAAATACTTCTCGCACGGTCAACATCGTTATTGCACAAATTCCAAGCCATTAAAGCAATATTAATAATCGAAGAATACCGCGTCTCATTAATAAATAGTTAAATCTTATCGTTTCGCTAAAAAGCTAGCGATTTTTCATTGGCGCCCGAGCAGGGACTTCGGTTTTCTCAAGATTATTTTCTCGATTGTTTGCGGTCTTTGTGGCTTGGTTTTTGTGCGCGGTCGTGTGATTACTTCGTTTGATTTGGATTTGGAGCTTGGTGCCTTTCTGGATATCATCAACTACATACATTCGGTTGGACTGTGGAGCTGCTGTCTGCCCTACTTGTGCATCGTCTCGCTTGGCTAATGGGTGATCGTCGCTCGGAATCCAGGGAAGTTTCGGTGGACTCTTTTGAGAGCTTGCAGGTATTCTGTGCCAACAATTGAGCATAAAGCATTAACAAGTTTAATTGCTGCAATTCGTGCAAGTGCAAAGTGGAAAAAAATCTATTTACATACATACATACGTATGTACATATAGTACGTGTGTGCTGCCGACTCAATTTTTGGCACTTGATTTATTTTGTGCACCAACGTTACTGCACAAATACCAAGCCATTAAAAGCCATTTTAATAATTAAAGAAAACCGCGTCTCATTTAATAAATAGTTAAATCTTATCGTTTCGCTAAAAAGCTAGCGATTTTTCATTGGCGCCCGAGCAGGGAGTTTATATAGTTTATATAGTTTATATAGTTTATATAGTTTATATAGATTATATAGTTTATATAGTTTATATAGTTTATATAGTTTATATAGTTGATATAGTTGATATAGTTGATATAGTTGATATAGTTGATATAGCTTATATAGTTTATATAGTTGGTATAGTTGATATAGTTGATATAGTTGATATAGTTGATATAGTTTATATAGTTTATATAGTTTATATAGCTTATATAGTTTATATAGTTTATATAGTTTATATAGTTATAGTAGTTTATATAGTTTATATAGTTTATATAGTTTATATAGTTATATAGTTTATATAGTTTATATAGTTTATATAGTTTATATAGTTTATATAGTTTATATAGTTTATATAGTTTATATAGTTTATATAGTTTATATAGTTTATATAGTTTATATAGTTTATATAGTTTATATAGTTTATATAGTTTATATAGTTTATATAGTTTATATAGTTTATATAGTTTATATAGTTTATATAGTTTATATAGTTTATATAGTTTATATAGTTTATATAGTTTATATAGTTTATATAGTTTATATAGTTTATATAGCTTATATAGTTTATATAGCTTATATAGTTTATATAGCTTATATAGTTTATATAGTTTATATAGTTTATATAGTTTATATAGTTTATATAGTTTATATAGTTTATATAGTTTATATAGTTTATATAGTTTATATAGTTTATATAGTTTATATAGTTTATATAGTTTATATAGTTTATATAGTTTATATAGTTTATATAGTTTATATAGTTTATATAGTTTATATAGTTATATAGTTTATATAGTTTATATAGTTTATATAGTTTATATAGTTTATATAGTTTATATAGTTTATATAGTTTATATAGTTTATATAGTTTATATAGTTTATATAGTTTATATAGTTTATATAGTTTATATAGTTTATATAGTTTATATAGTTTATATAGTTTATATAGTTTATATAGTTTATATAGTTTATAGTTTATATGGTTATATAGTTTATATGGTTTATATAGTTTATATAGTCTAAATTATTTATATAATTTATATAATTTACATATATAATTGGACTTTACCACAAGCGTTCTCTGAACGGGTCAGCCACCTTTAACTTTTAATTATTTTATATTTTATTATTTAATTATTATATGTGTATTTTATAATTTATTATTAAAGTATTTTAATTTGATATTTTAATTTAATCAAACTTCTTTATTTTTTATTGTAATTTTTTCTTTTTTATTTCTTTTTGTTAGATCTAATAACGTCTCTGACTACTTCTGCTGTGAATCGGGGCATGCGTTTGGCAAATAAATTTCGCCCACCGAGCCGGATTCGTTTTTAGATATTTTTATTATTTCTATAGGCTTTGTTTTTATTTAGTTTAATTTAGTTATGGGTCTGTTTTGTTTTGATTTTCACATCGACAGCTCTGATGAATAAATTAATAAATAAAGTAAATAATTAAAGATAAAGACATTGTGTATTTAAAAGATTACGCAAAATTGATTTTATAAATATCAATTACAATTTGAAAAGTCACATTTACCTTAGATTCCATGGGCGGAACATTGCCATGTTGTGCACTGGTCGGGGTTACAATCTCTAGTTTTTGCAATGTCAACAATTCCATTGTTAAATTCAGTCTAAGTGGTTCCGGGCGACTTTTGCCATCACTGACATGCACCATGCCGGTGCGCACCTGTGTATTAATGTTTTCTTTTTGCACATCAAATCACAAAAGTTCCAAATTAAACACTTTTACCTTCAAGTTTTGGTCGAGTTTTTCTTCAATAGGAGTGGCCATTTTGTCACAGAGCTTCATATTTTCTAAAAAGGAAGCAGAACATTTTTTATATATTTAATTTTGTTGTTATTGGCTGGCAATTACAATCACATAATCCCTCAGGCAAACTTGTCTATCAGCTCACAAACGCACAAATTATTATTAACCACAAAACCAATTTGCGCTGTGCTCGCTGGGAAAACCCAAAACTGTGGTAATTGCGCGGATTTTGCGCTAAAGTTTGCATAATAAGACTCATCCATATAGCTATAAAGCTTAAACAAAAGCGCATTAGTAACCGCATGCTGCCGCAGGCCGCTCTCAAAAGTATGCTATGAAAATGCTTGTACAAGTCCTTGACTGCCATTGCTAAGGTTACGCCACTGGCTCCTGGGCTTGCGGTTTACGTGCTTAACGCTAATCATGCAAAAATAATGCCGACTGTCTGATACATAAATTACACACACACATGCACACATAAATTTAGGTGAACAAACAACTCGACTCTCCAGACGCATGTTAAATGGTTCATTCGTATCATATATGTGTGTGTTTGAGTGTGTGTGTGTGCATCACTCAGCATGTTCATTAGCGTGTTAACATTGTACTGTCTGCTTGCCATATAAAAGGGATTTTGTTGGTTTTGTTTTACCTTTAAGCCAGCTTTTTAGTTAGCAAGTCTGCCCAAACATAAGATTGACAACAACGGCTACAGAGCTCAGGTCTCCCCTTTTTTTCTTGTATCTGTGTGTGGGTGTGTGTGTTTTTGTGCGCGTGTTTATGTATCTGTTTGAGCAAAGTAGGACAGACTTTCTCTTATGCACTCTCCTATACACATGATGTTCGCTTTTTGTTCTTTGGCCCTCTAGTTTTGGGGCCACGTGTCTCATTGCACTAGTTATATTTTTGGGTCAAAAACTCAACAACATGGTGGCCACTTAGCTCATTCAGAAAGTAAAGAGCATTAGTCCGCGAGCAATGCCGCCATCAGCAGCAAAATAATAACAAAACAGTTAAGCAGTGCGCCTAATTTAGCTGCTCTTGGTGGATTCGTTTGTGTGTGTGTGTATGCTTGCATGTGTGATGTGTGGGGTTCACTGGCTGGCAAGATGTCAAGTGTAGGTTAATTGAGCGTGTCAGCTAAAGTGAAAGTTTAATACACACACATACACCTACGTAGAGGCAACCCCTTTGCTTGTGGGGTCGGCGGTATAGTTTTGCTTGTTTTGGTCCCTGCTTTGTCTATGTTTTGATGAGCTGAATGAATGACAGAGTTAAGACTTTGTCTTGCTGTGTGTAGAATAGAAGAACACAACAATATACTAAGATAAAAATATATTTAATTTTGAAACCTTAGCGCCTTACCCTTAATGTTTTTATAATTATATGATTATGAAATGCACAAAATAAGAAGAAAAATCCTCGCAACATGCTTATTACAATATTGATGACAGTAAAAAAGTTGTTCTATTAATATTTATTACTAAATAATTATAATTTAGTATTTGACGAATGTGCAACAGGCAATCCAGTTTCTAGCTCTCAACCAAAAGTTGCAAACAACCTTTATTGAAAATTAAATCAAAAATTGGCGTCAAGAAGTGATATGAACGGAGGTTGTGACTTAGATGACCATATGGAACCATTTAGAAATAGGAAAAGGTTCTCCAGGAATGTAGGTTTTATGAGCAATATTTTTGCTGACATTAGTACTAATTGATGGAAGAAGGCTGCTATCGTATTTATTTCGAAAATCGTTATATTTTTGAAATGCTCAAATTACAGTACAGTAGTGGCATTACAGCAATTTTCAGGACGATATGTTTTCATAAGTAAGTAAGTAGTTTGCTGAAAAGTTGTGAAATGATAAAATTGAAAAATCCATAACAACCAGTTTTAATTTATATATTATACATTTTTTAAAATTCTTTATTTAACCTATTGGCAAATCAATGGAATTTGACAAATATTGGATGAGAACGTAATGGTAACGTGGCAAGCGTTATAACTTTTTAGGATCTTTATCTTATCTATCAGAGTTACCTTAAAAAAAGAAGATGTATGTCCACTTTTTGGTATCATCTTAAATTATATATTCACGTTTTACCTTTAATAGTAATTAGCACATTATATTGGGCTTTAAATATCGAACTCAATTTGAATCCATACTCGTATAGCATTTGAACTTTCTGTTTTCCCTCTTGGTGTCAATGTGCATCTGTCTGTACATTTAGTACAGGCTTGTCGATATGTGTGCGCAATTCTTTATTGATTTAGGTTACGTTGTCAGTTGAAGTACTTATTAAGGCTATTTTGTAACCGCTTGAGCTATTTATTTGCAGCTCATTTTCAAATCAAAGAAGTTCAATTGAACTGCAGTCAGACATGAGATTGTACTCATGTAAGTGTGTTGCATGCAGTTTCTGTTCGTCATCGTAGGCAACTTTTATGGAGCAGACGCACACATACATAAGCACACACACACACAAAAGCAAACACAGTCGCACTCAGACAAACTCAAAAGGCTTACTCAGCATTTAGCTTTCTCATTTCCGGCAGCCATCCATCCGCACTAAAAGCACATGCTCATCAATAATTGCTGCACTCAAGCAGGAGTTTGATTTCATACAACGATGCTAGGATCCTTGCATGAGCGAAATCTACAATGGTACGAGTATTCCTTAGCAACTCAGTCATCGCCATCAACATCATTATTATCATTTGCATTGCATTTTGCAAAAATCCAACAATTTTTTGTCACTGTAGAAGGGTTTTGTGTATGTATAAAATCACTTATCGTTGCTACGAATGTAAATATTATTACCCTTTTAAAGCAGCTCCAATAATAGGGGAAATAAAAATGTTGGGTCTATTTTTCATTATCGTAATGATAATAAGGAACTATCATAGACGATAGTTCACTAATATTACAGTTAATTTTGAACGTTTAATTGGAGGTGGTCGATTGACCAATCGAAAGATATTGAAACCCAGTTTCAGAATTGTACAAGGTGTGTTCTTTACTTTAAACATGTCGAACGAGTGTTTTTAGCTCGTTGGCCGGTATGGCCGCCAGTATGCCGGTGCAAGCCTTTTGAATGGCCTCTACGTCTGCATAACGCTTTCCTTTCATGGGCAAATGCATTTTTCCGAAAAGGTAGAAGTCGCACGGTGCAATATTAGTTGAATACGGCGAGTGGTTAATGGTTAAAGTGTGAATGTCACAAGCGTCGACCGTCTGAGCAATTTTTGGTCCTCAGTCAATTTGTGCGGAACAAACCGCCCAAATGTTCGATCGAAATGCGATTAATCGATGATTTGGAGATGTTCAATTCCATTTCCATCAATTTCAATGATGATTTCAGCTGATTTTTGATGAATTCACGCACAGTTTCGATGGAATTTTCAGTGATCACGAATTTTGATTGGCCCACATGTTGATCGTCATTTATGTCCTCACAACCACTTTGAAAACGTTGAAACCACTCGTGCACTCTGCTAAGGGATAGGCAATCATCCCCATAAACTTGTTCCATCAATTGAAAAGTTTCGGTAAAAGTTTTACCAATTTTAAAACAAAATTTAATTTTGGCTCTTTGTTCGAAGCTCATTTTCGCACCGATAACACAAACATTCTGACACTTAAAACGCAATAACTTCACTTCCAATCGATGAAATGTCATGAAATTCTCACTGGACAATTGATAAAGATAGCAGATTCTAACCAGTTGACATATAGATAGCGCCACCAGGGGGCGCTAGATTCAAAAATTCCTGTTTACTTTAACTAAATTTATTAAATTAATCTAAATAAATTAAAATAACTATTCAAGACCTGTCCTAAAAGGACAATTATTAAATTAGTGCATGTACCTTGAAAAAATAATAACATCTTACAAAATACAAGATAAGATGGGGTTAAATATTAAAAATTTGCATCGGGATTGTGTTTGAGTTTAAGGAGTTATTGTTCGAAGTATGTGTATACTTGTGTGCAACGCATTGTCTCTTTATTCTTTATGTCTTGCATACCCATCTAACTGTTCTTTATTTCTGCCTGCGAGCAGTTCTCTCTCTTATGCGTAATCGATTGTCAGTCACAAATAAACTCTACTCTGAATAGGTTATGGGCCCAGAACACGCTGTGACTAAGCGAGTTGAAAAAATAACTCGTTGTGTTTCTGGAATAATCGGCAACTTGTAAACGTGAGCGAGAAGATCGTTCTGGACGTTTTGGACAAGTGTATTTGTAAACGTGAATGAGAAGATCGTTCTGGACGTTTTGGACAAGTGTATTTGTAAACGTGAATGAGAAGATCGTTCTGGACGTTTTGGACAAGTAAATAAAAGTGAAAACGTGAATGAGAAAATCGTTCTGGACGTTTTAGGCAAGTGGTTTGTGTAAAGTGAACTTTAGAGAAGTTCTGGACTTTCGCAAGTGTAATAAAAATGAATTCAGCAATGCAGGCGATCGACAAGCTTGATGACCAAAATTATAGTGCCTGGGTCATTCAAATGAAAAGTGTGCTCATTCATGCCGATTTGTGGGCAGTGGTGTGCGGTCGCGTTGTGAAAACAAATGAAGACAGTGCTGAACAAAGTGCCGCGTTCGACGCGAAAGATGAAAAGGCGTTGGCAAGTATTATGCTTTGCATTAAGGCATCGCAACTAAACCACGTAAAAAACTGCCAGACATCAGCGGATGCATGGCAAAGGCTGAAGGAAATTCATATGCCAACGGGGCCGGCGCGTCGTGTTAGTTTGCTGAAGCAGTTGCTTCATATGAAAATGCTGGAGTCGGACAGCATTGCGGCACATATTAACAAATTTATGGAAGTGCTTGAAAAACTAAATGAGATCGGTGTTAGTATGCCTGATGAGTGCTTGGCCATATTGTTGTTGTCAAGTTTAACTGAAACCTATGACAACTTTGTGGTGGCAATTGAGACAAGGGATTCGTTGCCATCGTTGACGGCCCTAAAAATTAAGTTGCTCGAAGAAGGTGAGAGGCGCATGGCAAGCAAAGTGAGCACCGATGAAAACG